TGCCCCCTCCCCAGTGGCGTAGACAGGTTCGTACACCTGGGGGGGATGACTCAGGGGTGGATCTAGCTTTTTGCTAAGGGGGGGGGGGGGGGGGTTGACCAAAATAATGACGATGCAGAGCATCGTCCACGAGCCGCAAAGCAGCGAGCCGATTTTTTTTTGGGGTGTTTATTTGAACCCCGTAAGTGATGTTTTCCTGGCATCAATTAACACAATGGAGACCATAAAAAGCAGTGCATGATAACGTCTTTTTAAATCAAGTAACAGTTAAATACACAGTTATATCCAGAGTTATCATGTGTTCGGTTAAGTTACCAGATGAGTTGAATATCTTCTCACAATATTCGCACTTGAAAGGGTTTCTCTCCAGCGTGCGTTCTTTTTTCTTTCTTTTTTTCTTTTTTTTCCCTTTTTTTTTTGTTTGTTTTTTGGCCCGCCCAAGGGGGGGGGGGTTAAACCCCCTAAACCCCCCCCCCCCCCCCCGTAGATCCGCGCCTGTTTAATCTTGTGGTTATCTTGTGGTTATCTTGTGGTTTCCAAACCACAAGATAACCACAAAATACTTGTAAGATTTTCTTTTTTTTACCGTCTGAATTGGCTTTCACCGTGTGAATGCGGCTAATAACAATAAACACAATTACTATAATGATGAGGATTATTATTATCATCATCATAATTATTATTATTATTAATATTAAAATTGTTATCATTATTGTTATTACTATTATCATCATCATTATGACTTATTAAGTAAGCAAATATCATTCCCCAAAACCTGGGGGGGGGGGGATGATTGTACATGCCATCCCCCCCACCTTGTGAGGTGGGGGGGATGCATCCCCCTCATCCCCCCCCCCTCGTTGTCTACGCCCCTGCCCCTTCCTAACACCCCCAGTCTCTTAATTTAGAAAGAATTTCAATGTGAAGCTATTGTAAAAATAGTTGATGTGGAGCCCTGCTTTACACTATAATGGAAAATATGCATTGAATACTACTTCTTGTCTGAATATTGCATATTGTTCTGAGGTATTCCTTTGTCTTTCTTCATAGGGAAATCATAAAATAAATCAGTTTGGGTGTTATCAGAGAATACGATTTCAGGTTTAAAAGCACTATACTGTTAGATAATAACAGACATGCAGCATGAGATGACTGGTTCCTCATCTGTTGGACAGGTTTTGGTGACTGCCTTAACAGGTTCCCTTCACACTTGTTTGTTTTGTGTAAACAGAATTTGATAATTAGTCAGAAGATGCAGTAGGAAAAGTAAGATAAGTAGTGCATTATTTGGATGAACTAAGTTTTGAAAGGAGCAAAAAATAATGATTTAGTCCACTTCCTTTATATCATTGAAACCTGTAAATTAAGACAACTATCAATAAGTTAAACATATCACTGATATTCTCTACCTTTTCTAGGTGTTGGTTAGAGACCATCATGTTTAGCCCTCTCTTTGCAGTGAGCAGTTCAGTGTTTGCTTGTTGAAGAAAGGAATTATAAAGAGTAGACAATTTTTTATTCCATCATTCCGTTTGTCAGTCAATAAGAATTAATTCAATTGTAATAGTCTCTAAATTTGCAACCTGATGCTAGGAGAAAAAGTTTATTTATCTAGACTCTGAGAAAAGTTTGTATGATAATGTTTTTTGTATTTGTAGGTGTTGACGAGAGATAGCAAAGGAGCCCTGGAAGATTTCTTCAAGGCCGTCAAGCTAAGTCCACTTTCTGCTCATCTGTACTTCAACCGAGGAAACCTCTACACCTCGCTCAAACGATATCAACTGGCAGAGAAAGACTACAGCGAAGGTAGGAACTCAAACACAGTGTGATACATGTTTAAGACAAATAAACACATTGATTCCTATTTCTGGCTTGACAGAATTCTTGTGTTGAAAGGATTTTAGGTCTATTTTTCTTGGAAATTCATTTAATTAATACTTAGTTTACTCTTTGTCTTAATTTTCTTTTTGTATGAATTGTTTATCAGTAAGATAAGAAATCTGGACCCATTTCCATAAAAGCCTAGCTTGATAGTAATTCTGTATTTAGCTAGGAGAAGGAAATAATACTGGTACTCATAAGGATAGTTGGCAACTGACTTGTCAACAATTTTGTTACTGATCATCTGAGGGTATTTAACGTTTCCTTGTAAAATTCATTTCATTCCAACCCAAATCTTGTTTTTATCATTCTAAAAAAAATTCAAGACTCTCCCCAACCCCACCAGAAGATATGTTTACAAGGATGTATAAATGAGATGAATGTCTGTTAATTTCATGATTTTCTTTTTCTTTTATATCTGATCAGCTCTGAGTTTGCAACCCGATGATCCACTAGTTCATAAGCGAAGAGCAGAGGTCAGAGGTCGTCTGGGAAGGAGGGAGGAAGCGATTGCAGACTACAAGAGGGCTATTGAAATACAGAGCAAGAAGCATTTATGATGATATTGAAAGTACTTGATATATCTAAATTTATGTAATGTTACTCTAAATGTGTCAAGAATTTAATTTCTTAACATTTGCAGAGATCAAGACAAAGAAGCACTTGAGAAGTGCCTGTTGACTTTATTTGAAATCCTTGGTTTCATTGAATTTTAAAGCCCATCTGTACTAGTTTGCAGGAGGGATTAGACCACCCTGCAAGGTCACTAGACAGGTGGTTATCTCATCAATTATCATAAGAAAAAGAGGATCATGGGGGACCAATAGTCACCGTTTGCTATATAGAGGGCGCAACTAGCTATAAGTAGTGCAGTGGGGCTTTAACTACCTTGACAATTAGAATTGTCAATTTCTATCCAAGTATCTTCTCCGAAGTAGAGTCAACTTCTGCTTCTTTTAAAATTATATTAGGGTAGACTTTCCTGTATGGGATTTACTATTCCTGAGTAGAGAATATAGTGTGAAATGATAATCTTTCATGTGAACCTGAAATCTATCCAATTTAATGTTGAGGCTACAAAAAGCCTCAACAAGAATCGATAGATCCTGTAATGAAAACTAGCATCATTTGTTTTATACAACAAAGCTTCTAGATACTGGTCATTTGATGTAAAAAGAATTCAATTTGAGATTCAATTACCGCTGACAAATAAATCCAGAGTTTAATAGGCTTACTGTACACCTTCATGGGTGTTTACTTGCAGTGTAGGCCCGCACTGACCTCTTGAGAGTATGAATATATTTAGGATATATTGCCTTTCAGGAATTCTAAAATTTGTCAGAGAATAGAATCAAGATATTTATTTAAATGATCATTTGAAATTTATTTTTCATGAATTTATAATCCGTCCTATGTAAATATGACATTATTTATTTGTATTTTATTAATATTGTGCTCTATTAAGTAATTTCGTCTTTTTCTTGTCCTGATTTTGTGAATGGTGAAAAGTGTGATGAGCATAATTATATTGATACACGTTTCAAGTCAATTATCACAAATGCAGTATAAAAGGTGTCTTTCATTTTAATGACAATAAGAAAACTTGGCATTTAAAAGATTGTTTACCATAAGAATATCATATTACAGTCATAATGTATGTACATATACTGGGGATCATTTTAGCACATAACTCACGTTCTACCATCACTGAAATCTACGACATTTTGGCCCAATATCTGCAATTGTTGACAAACTTCTGAGCTTCTACTTACAGATTCATGTTGATCTGTATTAATGTATACACAACATATCTTTTGATGTACATTCATGTTATATTTTCTATTATGACTTTTATTGAAATGCCAGTAAGGTAGATGAACAAATGACATTGGTATGTTCCTTCTTATCAACTGACTACCTGTTTGCAATAGCATGTTTTTATATTTAAACACCATGAAAAGAAGAGTTTCTGTATAAAACATGCAATGCATGAGGACATACCATATCTTTTGTTCATCTATGACATAGATGTACATCAAAATGTCAATTTGTAATTTAGTCACCCTTTAAAGGCATCGTTTAACAATGTTAAATCTGAGATGCACGGCCCTATGTGTTGGAAAAGTTTAAGACCACCTGAAATTTGTTGGATGTTCTGGAGAGAGCTACACTGAAAATCTACATGTCCAGTAAGCAAAAGGATCATCGTCAAGACTTCTGTGCACAATGCTATATAAAAAATTTCAAGAAGAGCAGACCAAAAAACATACAGTTCAATAAAATTGCTTACCTCCCTGCATGTAAGCACCATCTCTTGCCAATTTCAGCAACGAATAAATTTTGGTGGTTTTTAATTTCTGAAGTCCCTAAATGTTGGTGATATCCTCTGACAAAACACTTCACTTGGGGCAGCATAAAGTTGAAGTGGTCCATGATTGCAAATACATTATACATGTACACGTTACCTCAACATACCACTCTCTTCCTTAGATTTCAACATGGAAAGGGAAATGCATAGCGCTCAAAAAGTCTGTAAATACTTTATGAAGCTAAAGGTACAGACAAGTTTCAAATAGGTCATTAAATATATTTTGTTTACACTCTGACCCAGGGACGTCTCATAAGTAACAAAGCTGTTCTTCCTGAGGAACCTGCAATTATTATTACCACAGCAAAGTTTTGGGTTGGATTTACTGCCCATGGAAGGCCATAAGGCCAATTCATTAGTTACAAAAATCTACAAATTAATCATATAGCATTTGGGGGGTACTCTGACATCAATGTTGTTAAAGTACCCAATATTTTGTATTAATATTATTATGTCATTCAATAACGCTAGGAATCGACCACGAGTTGGCACTTGGCAGTGGCAAAAGTTTGTCTTAATTGTATGACCCTCGTACCGGGTCATTCTATAAAGTACATGTAGGGGCAAAAAATATGACGGGTGTCCATGTAACGTAGGTATGAGATTTTTTTACTACACATGGAAGATGAAATTATCTGTTGGAAGATTTTTATGCAATGAATATATACCTGTATATAGTAGTGCCCTGTCAGAATTGTTCCTGTTTCAGTTTCTTTGCTTAATACACATCTCTCTTTTTACCAGCGTTACATGGACATCATATAACACTACGTAAACTTTCATACTTCTGAAGATAGTTGGCTATGCTTTTTATGCAAACCTCAATTTAAGCAAACATTGTTACAGTTGATAGCAGACATAGTTTCTCACTTCTGGTATGTGAAAAAAATTGCCCTAACTTTTTGGACGGACCCAACCCTGCAATTATACCATTTTACATATAAACATATAGTCTTTGATTGCCAAAATGGTTCAGCTTTTGCCCATATATTACTGACAAAATGACATAATCTTGAATGACCTTTTGACTTAGACAAGTATTTAGTAACCTTAAATTACTTTGTACACAACCTTACTTACTCATCATTGCATAACCCATTAGAACCAGCACAACCAATCTCTATTAGTACACTACGATAATCATATTTTCAAACATATACTAACTTGCATGTATGGTCAACATTAACCATATCCCCCCCCCCCCCCCTTTTTGCAATTGGCAGATATGCAAATATAACTAACAGCTTTACAAAACAGTTCAGAAATAGGGAGTACTCTTTTGGTAACAGCACTGCTTAACCTTAAATGTAATCAAAGAAATTGCTACCAGGTACAGATAGGAAAAAAATATATTCCACATTTAACCTTATTGTACTTTTTCATCTAGAAATGACAGACATGCATGTCTACTTCCAACTGCTATCACTTCCTGTAATTCAGATTCAATTGAATATTCAAATTTTAATACAACAATGAGATTATTCCATATCAAAATACAAGACGGGTACATGAGAGAGAATCCCTGTCATACAAAACTTGAAATTGCTTGCATTTCTCATATATTGCACCAAAGCCACTGTATCGTTGGCTCAGTGGAGTACTCAATTGGTGTTGGTGCCCTCAGCGGCACAAACGCAGCCCTGTGCTAAAGTTTCTCGGCCAATTCCATTCAAATCTATTTATCTCGCAGTAATAAATAAATAACACATCAATTTGGCTATTCAGCCGCAGTTTGACAAAAGAGAGACGCTGGATTGTTCACCGTTTGCGCTTTTTCCGAGGCACGCTATCTTCGCTACTGTCCGAGTCCGAGTCGCTTGTTCCGGACGAGCCCGAATCGGAGTCCCCTTTAGAGCTGAGGTTGGAATCCTCATCGCTTGATTCGTCATCGGAGCTACTGAGGGTGGAGGAAGAATCGGAATCGATGGTTCCGGAGGATGTCTCGTCACTCTCATCACCAGAGCTGCTGTCACTCTTGGGGTTCTCTAGCCTGAAATCAAATATTAATGAGGGGGATATTAAAGAAAGAAACATGGCTAATCCAGTAATAGACCTGTCTACTAATGTATTACAATTTATGCTGGTTTCTCTCTAGAACACATAGTTATCGGTACTAGCTTTTTGCATAAATTGTATTATAGTTGTTTCTTGCCAGAGGCTTGTCCAAAGACTAGCCTCTGGCAAGCTTTTTGGTCGTCAAGATTTTTTTTTTAAATCAAAAAGTGGTAAAATTAGTGAAAAGGTCTATTCAATCAGAACTGAGATAAAGCATTCTTAATTTTTCAAAGGCTTGAAAGATCTTATCCGAACTGAAAAATGAAATGGAAAGAAATGGATGAATGATATATTAACGGAAAGCTTATAACCCATAGAACTCAAAACCTAAAGCTTTGAAAATCAGAAGATGTTGACCTAAAAACTTGCTATCGACTTGATGACATCATCCTATGTGGAGTACCGTTACGCATATTCAATGACTTTGCATTAATCAAGCATGGCTCATCGCCTGAACTATATACCGAGGACACTAACCCCCCCCCCCCCCTCGACTTTTATCTTCTCAATACACTAACCTTTTTGCTCCTTCCTCCTCCTCTTTCTGCTTCTGCTTGAGTTTCTTGTTGAGTGTTGATATCCTTGAAGGCCGATGGACGTACTTTCTCTTTCCAGAGCATTCATAGGTCCAATGACCCATCTCTAGGCATTTTTGACATCTGACATTTTCCTTGTTTTGACTGATAAATAAACAAAGGACAAAAAAGTAAAATATCAAAAAAATGCAGATATGACTACATTAACACTAATTAGCTAATGGCTCGTCTCATTCAGATCACAGTACACCAACTTTAAGGCAAAATACTTTAAAGGGCAATCCAACCCTTGAATGAAAGCAGAAAAATAACAGAAACTGAAGGGTAATAGTTTTTAACAAATCGGACCAAAAGTAAGGAAGTTATGAATGTTGGAAATAAGAGAACACTACATGTAAGTCTATGCAAATCTCAAATCTGTAGTTTGGTCAGTGGATTGTGACGTAGGACGTGTACAAAAATATTATTAATTGTAGTCCGGCACTACAGCGCATTGACATAGCGCTTCAGCCAATTTGAATTGTGCATAAGTACAGTCATTACAACTTTCAAATAATCATAACTTTTATATTTAGTCAGATTTAATTGAAACTTTCATCAGTATGCTTCTCTAATTTTTCTATCTATTTGAGTTGGATTTTCCTTTAATAATGATGGCCATTGTGATGTCACTTAGCCAATATGGGGTGCACTATGCATGGTGATATAATTGTGCACAGCTTATAAAGACTGCGTATCAAAACTACATGCCTGCAAGTAAAAGCCTAAAAAGTAGGTGGCTAAGGTCAGCTAGGGAGCTTTTTTTAATTTAGGTAAAATACTCGGCCAAAAGCTTCCAACTGAATACTGAAGATGGCCGAGTATTTTTACCTCAGCCAAAAACTGAGTGAAATAATCATTTTTCTGACATAGGTACAGGTACTGTAGAAGTAGAAATATTTGCGGTCAGGCCTTAAATTTCAATATTTTTAGGGCAAGGCCACTGTGGTACATTAATTTTTGCGGATTTCGCAAATTTTAGAACTTGCAAAAATATAAGTATGACTTCTTATGCTTTTTTTTAACAGGCTGAATTGCATGCAAGTAATGCAACATGAATTTAAGAATTTTATCGCTCAGCGCGAAAAAATTAATCAGGCAAAAATAACACCGTTTACAGTATTGAATTGAATACTGGCCTATATCTCTTCTATTCACTTGCTGTTTCATTTTTTGGGCCTAACTTTAGAATACCCCACCAATAGGGTTAATGTACATAAACATCAAAGACCTAGGGTTAGGGTTAGGATTAGGTTTAGTGTTACTTAAAAAGCTTAAGTCTCGAGATTTACTGTAGCTTCATTGGTGAAGTTTTCGATACCCTACGAACGTTTGGTCAAGTTTAGTGGTGGGGTATTCTAAAGTTGTTCCTTTTTTTTTTATAACTCTTTTAATATGACCATTTCTGAATGGTTCTTCCTGGTACCAATTACTGATGGTCATATCAAGAGATTTTCAGATGAAATAAATGGATAAAAGATTTTTGTCAAACAGGGCATAATTCAGAGTTTTTCATTATTATACAAAAAAAAACAATACAGTATTCCTTGTTTTAACCACCGTTTTATACTTATACTGTACAGCATTATTCTTCAGGAGTACAGGCAAAATACAATCTTACTTGTACTTACTTCTTACTTGTAAAGAAATTCTTCTTAAAATGTGACAAACATTCAATAATAACTAGTTATGCCAACTAAACATGTACATTCCTCTTGCAGTTGAAGAGAAGATGAAAGAAGAATAAAAACAAACATGAGAAAAGATAGAAAGAAATTAAAGGATAGAAACAAAAGATAATGTAAGAAAATAGAAGAAATGAAAGAAGGATTATAACAAAGAAAATATAAGAGAAGAAGATGATACAAGTATGCAAACAAAGAATAACATAAGGGACAGAAGGGAAGATGATACAAGGATAAACAAAGAGTAACATGAGAAAATATATAAAAGAAAGATGTGCCGTTTGACATCTTGACAGACTTGTCAACAGAATCAAAAGAGTCTGCAAAAGTGAACCAACTTGAGCATTTAACGCTTTGACTTGCACATGGTTAACGAGAATGAGGTTTCTTGTTTACTCGAAATGTCCTTATTATCAACTTGGGGGTGTAATCACATGTAAGTGTAATTATCTATTTAACAGGAGAAATTTCTTATAAAACAGTTAGTGGAATTTCTTGTATTCCTGTCAGTATATTTCATGACTTACAGTCTTTAAGCTTCACTCTGAGATAAATGCAAATCTACAATAATTTCTTTAATATTAAATAATTTGCCTACCTTATCGGAGGTATCATCTAATATCACTTTTAATGTTACATAGAGTCATAAATGTGTACAACTACAAGACAATAATGCTGCATCATGCCACTTACAATTTGACTAGACAAATCTAGCTTGAAATATCCTGCCAGCCAGCACATGACCTTGCTGGTCATGACTTATGACAGTTTTGAGAAACGGGCCCCAAAAGGAAACATGTGTTCCTTCTCTGATAAATCACATGTTTCTCCCTATGGTGAGGTATAGACATACAGAGAAACCCCTCACACCCTATAACACTTGCACATTCTTTCATTCATGTACACTCAACCTCTCACTCAAGTCATTACAATGTCAAATCAATCAATAGACCAGTTTTCTAAGGTATTTCAATAATTACCGGTATGCATGTTTCTCTCCAGGACCTCTTCACCTGTTATGCATAATGATATCTCTACAGTGAATAGATGGAATTCACTCAACTAGATTAGTTGTTTTTATAGATCTGGCAAGCCTGTGACAACCTTTGGGAAAGATTATAAGAGCTCTATTTAGTCATCAAGAGAAACATTTGTTTTTGTTGAATGTATACAAATTTTAAGCGCGTCATTTGCAGACTCTTCTCTGGAGTGTGCCTCTACAAATGCCATAGAATTTAGGTTTAAAGGGGAAGTCTAGACCAAGAATAACTTGCCTTGAATACAAGCAGACAACTCGGACAAACCAATCAAAAAAAGGTTGATAAAAATAATAACAAAATAAAACCAAAGTAATGACATTTTAAATGATATAAAAAATAATGAAATACTATGAAAATCCCAAGCCAAATTGGCAACAATGTCATGAGTTTGTGACGAAGTTCAGAAGCTTCCTCATTCCAATGGAAATGCCTGATTTTGACCATCATCAATTTCTTTTTAGATACAGTAACTGACCAAGTGACCATCTTCGAGGTCTGGTCTCACACAAGGTAGTTATAAGTTTGATGGGGGGGGGGGGGGGGGGTTGGGTGCCTGGATGCTTAACAAACATAGAGGCCCGAATTCACAAACAAGGTTTGTAGACAAACCTAGGTTTATGAGCATCATATGACGAGTTTCAGACCAAAGTTTGTCTGAACCTTGGTCTGAAACGCAATGAAACAAGTCATATGACGCACAAAAACTAGGTTTGTCGACAAACCTCCTCTGTGAATTCGGGCCAAAAACTTCTGTATTACCTTTGGATTTAACAGAAACAATTCATCAAACAGCACTAGCCATCATGAATATTTGTCCTGGCTTTATAATATTGTCCAACATAAGTCTTGGAAGTTAGAAGATTTATGAAATATTGATTGTAAACTTCTTCAAATTGCTGTTATATATCAACTGTCAAGACACACAACATCTGAGTTTATGATATTGTACATGTTTTGAGATGAGCAGTGTTGAGTCTCGTGCAAAGTTTGGACAAGCCCTCACATTTCAAAATGTGGCATTTCATTCATACCTTCTCTCTCTCGCACACACACACACCCCACTGTCTCAGTCAGTGTCTGTCTAGAACTTGCTTATGTTTGTACCAATCTGAAAATATACCACCACTCAATCAGTGCATACACTAACTTACCATGCTAACACGGTAACGCAAGAACTGAAGAATGGAGTTTAAAGAAAAAAAGACGCTCACTTGCTACTCTAAAATTGCTCACCAACATTACTGAACCAAAAACTTGGTTGTAAATTCATGAAGCTCATACTCATACTCATAGAAACAGGGATGCATAGCATTTTCATAAGATTCCTACATCTTGACCACCTTATTCAGGATGTAAAGAGCCCATGTAAAGCTCAACTAAACAAAGTCACGGCGAAGCTTTCATTCCATTCTGCATCCATTTCACTCACTGAACCAAACATACAGAAGAGTGAATTAGAATGGAGTTCTTTTTGTGTGCAATTTCCGGTCGGTCTTCCGTTACTGTGTGAAATTTTACGTTCAAGATGAACCGATACGCATGAAAATATCTTTACATATCACACATTAGTTCATGCAGACATTACTGAGTAATTACAATCATACAATAAGCACAAATAACTTGAAAATAAGGCAAGTTTTCTTACCTTCTTTTGGCGTTTAACAATGCAATCCTGGTAGTCGCCATTTCTGCTCTCTGCTGCTGTCAATAAATTGGCCCTCTAACGACAAAAGACTCGACAGGGGATTTTCCCCTCGATTAAAACGCGTCAAAAGATATGACGGACTCATGAAGCTGAACGCTCATACACAATCATTTATTCGTACTTATTCAAGGTAACTAAAGATTGACTTCAGGACGCAGGTTGAGATGCCTCTTTGCCCATGCCCTCGTTAAAAAAAATTGTTATCCATAACGAGTGTCACATTTGCTCTCAGCCAATCAAATGCAACGATTTCAATAGTTTGTAACAGCAATTACAACTAATTAACATTGATAACTGTTATTTGTAGTATTCTGGCGGTATAGGCGCAGTCTGGAGGAGCTGCTTTAATTGTAATCGTACTTAAATTCATTGTTTTGCCAATTTAAGCCTATTCAGCCGATTTTCAAACTGAATGAAAGACAATTCTTTCCGTTATATTGGTGTTAAAATGTAAAATTTTCTACTTGCTTTCTTACAGTCTGTTCGATTTAACAACTCATTCAAAAGAATTAACAAGAAACATCTTCTCTCCCATTATAATGCACAATTTATTTTAAAACCACATCTCTCATACCAAAATAACTACCCCACCCGCCCCTCCCCCATTTCCCCCTTTTTTTCTAAGCATATTATTATGTTATCATTATTGTGCTACTTGTGCATTCAATTGTCAAACCTCAGCTTTTACGGATGCCCAATTCTCCATTTGAAAAATGGTTTATATTTACTTTATATTTTTTAATGTTGTTATGTCACTTTATATGTAATATTGATATTGTTATCTGTTATGATATTTCATATTCTACCTTTGTATAATATATTTGATGGAAATAAATGTTAATTATTAAATCGCCATCTTTTTCTAATTTTTCGACCTCTTTGAATATTAAACATTTTCTTCCCTTCAAATTTACACCTCTGCTCCTTTTTCCCATCACTTTTAGCTCGAAATATTTTTTCCAAATTCCATCTTAAAATTGAACTGTTATGACGCTAGACTTTGTGTTTTCCTTTCACTTCCAAATTCCAGAATTCTACGACGCAGCTTCCTCAGCCCTTAGTTTAGGAACTGGTACTTTGGCCCGGCTTTCAGTGAACGACTAAATTCGAATTGAATTTACTGACAGGCAAAATAAGAATATATTTGTGTAAGAATTAATCAGTCAAACAATAAGATACCAATCCAATGAAGGCCGGTAAGAATTTAAGCTTTTTGAAAGTGGAGAGATGTGCGTTTGGCGTTTTCACTGAAAATATCTTTCTAACGTTTATGATTTTCTTGTGCCGAGATTGTGATCCTCGATCATGTTTTATGTCGTCATGCGTGTTGGGTGCACGCGCATGTAAACATTCAACCAATCAGCTGTGAATATTCCAGCGAGACATGACGTAACAATCAGGAATGCGCATTACTCTGTGTTTACGTTGTATGTGGCAACCAGGCCAAGCCAACATAAATCAGACTCGGAGAATTTCGAAACGTATAGGTTATCTTCTTAACCTACAAGGATTTTATCTTAAAAATGGGTAATATTTTGACGAAATTATTGAACGCTGGCTTGCTAAGCTTTCGGGGGATGTTTATGTCGCCAACAGGTAAACATTTAATGTATTTTTGCTATATCAAATTAATCTATAACTTGTGAAGTGAAGGAGGGGGTTGAAATTAAAGGATAGATTTGATTCTTGGCCATTACATTCCGTTTACATACAGCTAATATTTCTTGTAAATTGCATTATCTGAAAATGTCCCAATTTTGGAAGTGATTTCAGGCCTCTTGTAGAACGTGCGAATTAAGTTAGACATTGGGTAAAATCATCCTTTCTTTTTATTAAATAGGAAAACAAAAATTAAATAGACTTCAAAGTCAAACGTAGCTGTACAGCGATTTGTGAAACGTTTAAAATATGTATGTTGTTCAATGTTAACCAATTTTAAGTTCATAGATAATCAAATTGTGATTAGTTTGCGCTTTACAACTTTAACTTTAGTGATATTATCATGGTAATTATTATTATCATTATTATTATTATTTATTTTCATCATTATAATCAATATTATCATTATTATCACTTTTGAACTTGAGATCTAATTAATATGTTAATATTTCAATTAAAACAAAAACAATGACTAGAGTCACTAGACTGGTCGACACCATTTACACACATCGGTTTTGTTTCTTGTTGTAGCAAGAATGAGGCAGGACCAGGAACTCAAATCAGAGCAGCTAGCAAATATAGCCAGTGCTGTAGAATATCTTTCTGTTACCGGCTCACTCATCTTCCAAGATGGCAGGTATGTATATAATGGCTCTGTGTAATTAGTCACTTTTCTTTATGAACATTCCGAATCAAGTGTTTTTACTCATTAAGTTCTTATTCTAGTTTCTGTTTCGTATTTTTCATCGAAAAGGAATTATTTCTTCAAAATTCATCATAGGCGTATGAGGTAAGACGGTCGGGCAGTATAAGGTGCCTTAATATGATTTGTATACCTAATCTAGTATATTTATAATGACGATTTTTTTTTTTTTAAATTTATTTTTTTAATTTTTTTTTATTTATTTTTTTTAAATTTTTTTTTAACTCGCCTCTCTCACAAAATTTAGAAACTGTTAATTTTCGGGCACGGAAACCTCAGCCCTTACCGACCCCTGCAGAAATATGCCTGTATCCTATTTATTTTCTCATCATTGTAAATTATACTTATGATATCTTGAGTGATTTCAAGTTCGGTGTTTGGTGTTGTGGCTGGTGTTGCTTTCGTAAGACACCGAACTTGAAATCACCGGGCAAAACATTCATTGTGTATATCATCTTGATTCTTATGCCTACATTTATATTAATAAGATTGAAATAACTTTGGCGTCGGTCTATATTTCAACATTAGTCTGAAACCTTTAGAGTTGTATATAAATAAAAGTTGTGTATTTCATTTTCTTCAGGTATGTGGGCTTGCTGACGGCAAAGAATTATAACGTAAGTCCAATTTGTCTTTGTTTTTTGTTTTTCATAATAAATGTATTTCATTAGCACAGGCCTGGTGAAAATCGACATCTGAGATTTTCTCATGAAATTAAATCACTTTTTAAAAAAAATTGAAGTTGCAAACTTTCCTTTTCGGAGGAGTTTATCTTTAGTCTTTAAAATTCACCAAAAAAGTACATTAAACAATTTTGTTTAAAAACATGCTGTGATAACTTTAAAAATGTTTTGTAAATTGTTTCGTCCTAAAGCATGGCGGTCCTCACATTGAAAAAAGTATAATCCTACAAAAGTTTTGTGTTGAAAGAATAATGTGGATAGTATTGTGCAAGTTATTGGAAGAATCTTAAAAATAGATTTATCAAGACATACGTGTGAAAAAAAAAGGTACAACGTTGATTTGGTAAGAGAAGAAATATACTAAGGACAGTGGTTTCCGCATTATTAAGATGACCCCCCCCCCTAAATACTATATTCATTACTTCTGTTGTCTGAATCTAGCATCACATTTGAAAAGTATCTGTTTCTTGAACATGAATAGAACTCATGAGAGTTAATTTATATAAGTTATATGTTTTGATATTTATTTCGAGACTGTAATAAACAATAATCATATCAAGAAAGTATGGTCGTCATTACATAATGACCGATGCGCCAAAATATATAAGTTTTGACCCTAATATCTAATATATTTTTGCTTCTTTTCTCCCTTTGTTTTCATTCTTATAACCATTATAGAAGGAGACGTGTTTCTTTGTAACACGATTCATCCGACCGGATACGTCCTCTGCCAAGGCACTGACCTGGATGGATATGAGTTTGCCATGTGGCGCCCTGACCCTAGAGAAAAATGTTTCAAGAACGAACCAGATCACATTGCACGATGACGTCGAAGCGGAGAATGAGCCACGACCCAGGGACAAATGTATGAGCTACCAGGATTGGTTCGTCGCCGAGATGAAAGCCGTGGAAAAAGAACTGATGAAGGGAGACATCGTCGAGGTGGCAAGAAGGTTTGGACTTGGCACCATGATCGATCGACCTATCTCCGCCACCAATCACGAGTTGAACGACGATCGTATTGACGAAGCACTTCCTGTAATTGCAGAGACCGAATTTTTGTCCAAATGTTCCTTGATACTAGATTCTTCAGATGTGACCCGTCAAGACGAGCGAATTCCAGTTCATTATGTCTCACCCTTATGGCCACTGCTACCCCAGAAAGATCAACCACAAGAGGGATTTGTCCTACCGTTTGGTCCTCTAAAAGAACAACTTCTAGACTACCTTACAGAAATGGCACAGGATTCTTTGGACAAATCTACACCGATTCCGTTCCCACCTCCTTCGCTTCTTATCCTGGAAAAGGGAGAAGTTTTCCAACCGAAGCCTGCAAATAAAGTGTCTACCACAGTGTCACCAAGAAATAAGAAGTTGGTAGCATTTGGTGGAAATAATCTAGGCCTAAGTGAGCTAGGACAGGATGTTGGAGAAACAGTTCTGATTACAGTACCAGACAAGATCTGCCAAAACATTAACAGTCCTACAGATCACATCCAAGGAATTCCATTATTTGACGAACGACAGGAATCAAATAATCACATTCACCAACTATCCAGGCAAGTCCGACAAAGTCTAAAGGAAGACAAAGCTCCAGAAAATGGCACTTTGCTGACCCTTCCTGTCTCCAATGAAGTACAGCTAGATCCGACAAATCCAATTTATCAGCTGGCCAAAGAAGTTCAACAAAGTCTGGAGAAAGGAGAAGCAGCTCCAGAAAATAACACTTTAATGAAAGTCCCTGCCTCACACCATGTACAGCTTGAACCATGGAATCCGATTTACCAGCTTGCAGAAGAAGTTCGACAAGGTATGAAGGGTGAAGTGGTCCAAGGAAATGAACCATCACTGGCAAATACTGCCTCAGATGATGTAATGTTGGAATCACTTCAAATTTACCAGCTGGCCAAGGAAGTTCAACAAAGTCTGAAGAAAGATAAAGCAGCTCCAGAAAATAAAACTTTGCTGACAATCCCTGCCTCACACGATGTACAACTAAATCCAACAAATCAAATTTACCAGCTGGCCAAAGAAGTTCAACAAAATCTGAAGAAAGAAGAAGCAGCTCCAGAAAATAAAACTTTGCTGACAATCCCTGCCTCACACGATGTACAACTAAATCCAACAAATCAAATTTACCAGCTGGCCAAGGAAGTTCAACAAAGTCTGAAGGAAGAAGAAGCAGCTCCAGAAAAGAACACGTTGTTGACAGTCCCTGCCTCTCATGATGTCCAGCTTGAACCATTGAATCCCATTTACCGGCTTGTAGAAGAAGTTCGACAAAGTAAGAAGGGTGAAGAGGCCCAACGAAATGAACCTTTGCTGGCAAATACTGCCTCAGATGACGTAATGTTCGAATCAATTCAAATTTACCAGCTAGCAAGAGAAGTTCAACAAAGTCTGAAGGACGAAAAGGCTCCAGAAAATGAGACTTTGCCGACAACTGATGACTCTAATGTCAAACTGGAATCGACAGATCAAATTTTTAAGCTGGCTAATGAAGTTCGACAAAGTCTAAAGATTAAAGAGGCTCCAGGTAATAAAACTCCCCTGAACACTCTTGCCACCAATGACGATGCAGATTACAACAAAAACTTCATTGTCCATCACGCCGGGGACTTTTCTCAATCTCATCACGACAGCACAAAGTCGCCGCTAATCTCGCCTTGGTCGACTGTAGAAAATAGTCCAAGTACAACACTTATTCTACTGGAAAACGAATCAGACATAAATATTATCCGAAAGTTGGCTATGGAGGTCGAGGAAGAAATTGAAAGAGCATTGAGGGCATCACCACAAAAGCCATTGGAGCTCCTTGCTTCAAGCAAACAGCAAGACCTGAACAATGACAAAGAACTCTCTGGAAAACCAACAGATGAAGAACAGAGTCATGCTGCCTCCAAGAGTCAAAACGAAAGAAAATATTCTGAAGACGAAGTAGAGGAACTATATCATCTGAAGAGTGAGGAATTGGAGATCCAATTGAATAAGCTAAAGAAGACGACCGAGACATCAGGTTCAGCATCCCCCTCGTCCTCTGGTGATTCATGTCGACGAGGACCCTTAGCCGCTTCGTGGAGGCGCTCTTCTTTTGATGTAATCTGTCGTCCAGGATACCGAGGCATCAGCAACCGTGCCATTCCAACACCAAGTGTCAAACGCGCATTCAGGTCTGGTGCTCTGGCACCCAGCACCTCATTGTCGATGAAGGGATCTCTCATAAGCCCACTGCCTCCAGCATATCCTGGCCGCAAATACACAAGATGTGGCTACAGGGGTCTCGGCCGTCGCTGAGGAAATTATTATTCGTTTTATTTGAAATAGAACCAGGAACTTGGGAGAGACTTTAGGAGTCTGATCAAGTCAAGTTTTTGATAATGAACACTCTGTACCTTTATGATTTACATGTGTAACTTGGAATGTTCAGATGAAGCTATCAATAGTTCAAAATTTCAGATGAAGATATGTGCAACCCAGTGACTGAAGATGAAGTAAGAAAGGAAAAGAAAACTGACAACAACAAAAAAAGAAACATTTTTTGTGATGTATTATGAGTTAAATGTTAAATACCTTCCGTCAATTTCAATGTATGACTGCAAGAACATAATGCAAGGCCTTCATTTTCATTTCTTAAACCAAAGCTTTTAATTTCCCAAACCAAAGCATCGTCAAACCATCAGCATAACATCTTCAAGATACTTTCAAGAAATCTTCAAGTTATCGCTGGAGTTTTTTGTTGGTTCTTTTAAACATGGAAATATGATAACTGATCAACGAGTATGCATGGACTACAAACAAAAACGTAAAAAATCATGGTTAAAACATATCTGCCTTGTCTTAAGACTGTAGGTTTGTTGTGAATTGTTTTGGTTTTGGTAGGTGATATATAACCACAAGATGTGTCACAGGGTGTTATCCGGCCAGTTTGATAATTAAAAACAGTGATTTGAAAAAGTTTTAATGCAAAATTTGCATTACAGTTAAAAAAAAAAAAAATTCTTTGCATCCTGAACTGTCACATTCATCACTCTGTCTCTCTCTCTCTCTCCCCCCTCATGTTTTTCCTTCTCTTTTTCCCACCTTTCAATATCTTTGTTCACTTGCTGAGTACTCTCTCCTGTTGCCATATACTCATCTCACTCTCAATTTTCATTATATAATGTTTTGGACCAATGCAATATATCAAGGATCACAATACCAATATATATTTCTTATATTCCTCAAAGGTTTATATCATTTACATATCTATTTCTGATTCAGTCATGTGTCCATGTATATTATAGTAATTAATCTTTATTTAAAAGTGCATTCATGAATATAGAATTAAACATTAAATCAATATACAATAGCCATAATATATATTGTAATCCTCCATAAACGTTTAAATGAACAATATTATTATGGATACACATGTTTCCTGAAAGGGGAAATCCATTTGTCCATCCATCCCCACATAGGTTCAATGTAGGTAAGTTTGCACTAGCATTGTACGTGTGGTGCCATATATGCTATGCTACTCATATTGTCAATAATTACAAGCCAACCCAACAGTTCATGACTGACATGCTATGAGTGCAAACAGGAAGAAGAGCCTCTATATTCTATAAATATACAATCAAACCTATAAACACTATCACTTTCATGAATGACCGACTAAAATTATCAGTACACTATACTCATGCATGCAAACCGTACTCCTCTTTTAAAGACAACTTTCACATAAAATGAAATATATCAAAGTACATGTAATTCCATTGAGTGGCTATTTTAATACTCTCTTTGTTTAGTGTTACACAAACCAAAAAGAAACCTTATCGAAGCTAAACCTATTACTGCACCAATAAAAAAAAAGTTTGTTTGAAAGTGAAACTAGCTTTAATGAGATAGTGCTCTCTGATTACTGTAATGAAGAATGCAGTGCGTGTAACGACATATCATTCGTTGAGAGCCAGAAGGGCGTTAATTCTATAATTGCGGATATGAGTTAATGCCCTCCTAGCTATCAGCAGATGATATGAAGTATATCTGTCATTAATCAAGCATGAAAAGTGAAAGTATTTTACCTTTACTTCGATGAACGATCAGATCAATGTACAATGATGGCACATACAACATGCAGAGGATATACAACATGCAGAGGATCTGCATCACGTATGTTTGATGTACACTCAAATGTATTTTTTTTGTTATTTACAATGAGATATTCAACATGAACAAACAAAGTTAGAATGAATTCAATATATTTTTTCAGAATAAAACTTTCCTGTTTAATTACACAGATAGAATAAATAAATACTAAAGAAAATGACCTGAAATTCCAATTTCTGTTTTAAACTGGGGGAAAAACATGAAAGAGATGAGAAACAAGCAACGTCGTAGACCAAAACAGGAAAGAGAACAATTTGAGATTTGTTCGCAACTTCTGCTAATGTAACTGCTACTTAGAAAAATTTCATTGATACCCTAAATCAACTGGAAACAAACTTATCATATTCTAAAAACTAAACTCGGTGAGTTCCAAGGAAGTGCATTCCTTCTATTTATTCACATTTTTGGACATCATAATTCAAGGCATGTGATGAAATGACCATGTTTGTCATTCCAATACCTAGTTTTAAGTCTGAAAGCCAGACTTTCTGTCATGTATTCAGTGTAACTTTCTTGATATCATAGAACATAAACAAACTTACATGACATTGACATTATACATTCATTGTTACATGTATTGCAAAATGTAGGTTGTGTAATGCACACCTGGTTAGAGAAAAAGGCCCAAACAATCCACAGTTACAGGGGAGATGTCAGACCAGTCGAATATCAGTCATATGACTATCCCTGATTTGTAACCGATCGTATCTTTCCTGGATCGGAAAGATCAATGTGCTTCTCCATTTTGAATTTACTATTTATATAAGACTAAAGCAGAACAGGAATAAGGAAGATTTCACACATTTATAATATCTACCGTTATCTTCCTGCACTTCCTTTTAAAGTTCAGTAGTGGTAAGGTCACAATGTTTGCAGGTGCCTTTGAAACAATCATGATGTTACCAGTAACTTTACCGGAAAATGCTTATTTCACTCACAAAAATATGTAGTGCTCACATAGCCCTCAAATAGACTCGAAAAGATCAAAACTTTCTTGTCATATCTGTATTCCAGTGATTAACAAGTTTAGTAGTCTACCAATTTCAAGTTCGAATAAGAGCATTAAATTTAATCCTGAAATAAATGAAACTAAGGATACCTAACTACATGATAGCTCATAAACGTGTTTCCTCGGTTTGCCCTGCCTTCACAGTCGATGCTGAAGAAAGTGAACTTTCTCTCCTCTTCTCTTTGACCATGTTGGTTAAGAAGTATTCCCCTGCAGGTGTGGAAAAGAGAGGTGGAGAGGGAGATAGAGGGTGAGAGAGAGAGAGAGAGAGAGAGACAGAGAGACAGAGAGACAGAGAGAGACAGAGAGAAAAAGAGAAAGAGAGAGAGAAAGGGAGAGAAAGAAAGAGAGGGGGAAGAGGTGACATAGAGGGAGAAAAATAGACAAAATGGTTAGATATGTGACATACATCATTTTTTTTTAATAAAGTGAGTACATTAGATTTACAGGGACTTCATACTTGAAGTACATGTTTGGGAAGAGTAATTGACTCTCCATCAGGTTGGCTGTTATTCTTCTTATGATGAAAATATGGCATAAAGATAAAACTCAAAATAAATCAAGGGTAACTCTGGCATGCAAAGTAAAGATGAATTACTAATTCAGGGTAGATTCCCTTTAAAAAGAAACTTTAGTACTGGTAAGGGGAATAATTTGGGTGAAAAACATTTTTACATGTATCAATTTAATTATATTTAATCAAAGAAAAATTGGTAACATATGATGAATTTGATTGTCCTCAAAGACTTTCCACATTTTGCATATGAAGTAAATTAAATCTACTTTTCGTAAATTGTAGATTTTTGAAGACAATAACATTTTGCATGCAGCCGTTCAACTTCACATATGATTCATATCTGCTTATATACTGCAGTATGGTGGAGATGCATGTATATTTGAGTAGCAATATGAATCTGTGTGGTTTTTAAATTCAAACTATCATTAATTCGCTCAATATCCATGCAAAATCTAGAGAGTGTGTAACAGCAGGAAATTTTGCGCATTTTTTTTTTATTGATATGGAACAAAATAGAATTCTTTTCTATTAATTTTAGAAGTATACACCATGAGTTAAAAAAACGTAAACTGATTTTCAAGTCCTAACACAAAGACGAAAATTATGAATAATTCATATATCAATGTACAACTGTTAAATACTGCAGCTCCAACCCTCAACTGCTGCCTCCCTCTCCTCAAGGGTTGCAGCAATGTCGGCATATTCAATTTGCTCCAAGTTTATTGAGAGACTTTCTGCTGCAAACACTACTCCTTCTCACCTCTTGCCTCTTCCGTAGCAAGAATAAAATCATCTTATAAAAGGTCATGTAAGCTGCTACATCTCCTAACGTTAGGAGTGGATTTATCAGAGGAAGTTGAGAAAAACTTTGATCGTCTGCCTGGGGGTCTGAGTGCGAGGCTGTTCCTACTCTGGCCTTCCATCTGGGGATCCATGATGGAAGATCGCCTGCTCCCGATGGTGGAGAGAGCATCATAGAAGACCTCGCTGTCTTCGTCATCAGCGGTAGTCAGGGGCAACGGGAGGAGAGCAGCAGGGATACTTCGGGACAGTGAATGGGTAGGGAATTGGATTTCCTCAAGGGAGATGGAGTAGCGATAGAGCATGAAGGGGCGCAACGCACTCAAGCGCTGGTCCTCCAGTGGGTCCAGACTGTTTGGGAAGCCTTGGCAATAACGGAGATCCAGGTCTTCACCGCTGAAGCTGCCCAGGTGTGGGGACTCTAATGCGAGGGAGGAGGTGTTGGACGAGCAGCACAGTATCTCCTCTGTGGTCATAGAGTAACGGTATTTCATAATGGAAGAGCTACGGGGGTGGACGGGTAGCTCTGCGCTATCGAGGCTATCAAAACCGTCGGTTTCACTATCTGCTTCAGTTATGATCATGTCCGGTAGGGAAACCATGTCTTTGTGTGTTGGTACATCTGAATCATCGTCATCTGAGATGAATAATGCCACATCCCCTTCATCGTCTGTCATCTCAACTGGATCACCAATATCTGATTCTTCATCACCAACCACCCACATGACCTTGCATTGACCTTCACCCCCTGCATTAGGATCTGCACTCATTGATTTGAGGGATCCTGCAACATTTTTCAAAGAATCAGACATACCTTCTGTGGAAGAGTCCAATGCATCTAACCCCTTCAGTACTTCTTCTTCAAAATCGCTCACAATTGACTGAATGTCATCCATTTTCTCTTCCTTGTCCTTCTCTTCCTCTTCTCCGTTGTAGACCTCAACATGACCTTTGAACTGATGACCCAGGTCACTTTCCTCATCGTTCACCACTTTGAGACAGAGGGAGTTGCTACTGAAGATCACGCTGCTGCTCCCATGTCCTGGGACCTCATGGGGCTCATGGAGACCCTTCTCGGAACAAGGTGGCCGCTTGTTCTGCCAAGGCCACGTGTTAGACCTTCCACCGCCCCTCCCGACATCCTTTCTTAGCTGCACTGTAGGCAGTATTTCGTTGGGTGTTTCTTTCTCACCGACAGATGTAGCATCATCGGATGACGAACATGGACACCTGAAGCAACCCTTCTTCTTCAGTTTAACTGTTACAACACCACAGATTGCGATAAATCCAATGCATAGTGCAGCTAGGCCAACATGAAGTCCACTCGCTGCTTCCAGAAAAATCATAATGCCTGTTGCTTGGTGTTACAGATCCCTCACTGCAGCAATGTTACAGCTGATCACACTACCATTCAGTTACCAAGTTCAGTTACCACTGTCATGTACCCTATTGAGACACTTCAATACTCGTCAAATCAGACGTTTTACACCATGTGCACGACAGAGCTGAAGAAATATGTCATCAGGAAGATAATATTTGATCAGTTTGCAGTTGCTTTGTTATGCTGATGTAATTGCGGAAAATTCCAATCGTCAGCTTTCAACACCACTTAGAAGCATCATGGGACACATGAACTACCGATATGTTTCTCCCTAATGACTCACAAGCAATGCTTTTTCTGAATTAAATTGAAAGCACTTCTCTTCAAGAGGACAGTGATATAGTCCGTTCATGGTAATATGAAACAGGGAAAGTTGTGCTAATGATAAATGGCACATTTGAAAGTGAAACTAGGTATAACGAAACTTCCATTAATATACATCTACATGACTGTACTTATTTTAATTGCTTGAAGTAATGTAGGCACTCCCTCTCTCCCATTTAAAACATGCGACACTTCCTGTTTTTGGTTTCCTTGTCTTTGTCTTTCCAAAGTAAATGTCATAAGGCAAATTTATGACATCATTTAGTGATGTATAATTACAGCTTTCAAAGCCCACGTACTGCCTTTGTGTTGAAGTTTGATACATATAACTAGATATTGCTTAAATTGAGCCCATAGAGTTATGGTATTTCCTCAGTAGTTACAGAACAGAAGAGTAGATTATTACCAGATCAATAATAATAATACAATATTTGTAAAGCGCATAATAAACAAAAGTTTCTCTATGCGCTGTACGAGCATGAATGACAAGAAATATAATCACATAAATGGAATCAACAAAGAGAAATATACAAATCGTATAACTACTAAAACTTAACATAGTAACTATTACATAATGAACATGACTTCTTGCTAATAATAACAGTAATATACACGTATAACACATTTATATTGTCTATATCATCCATCTATTTTTTTGCTATTACAAGGTGCAGGTGTTATATTTATCTTTTCTAAGAAAGTTGTAAAATAATATTCTGCAATGAATACTGACCTGCTTTGTAAGATGATCTGACTAATGGACCACTTGCTGTGTAGGAAAAGCCCAGCTTGTTCCCAACTTTCTCCCAGTAGTTGAACTTCTCAGGTGTGACGTACTCTGCGACCTTAAGGTGTCTCTTGGTAGGTTGCATGTACTGACCTAGCGTCAGGCAACTCACTCCTGCTGATCGTAAGTCTGAAAGGAGAGACATGTGATATTGATATGCACAGGATTGTTGAATGTACATATGACCTAAGGGGGGGGGGGCATTTATAGTCAGTTCAGTGCAGTGCAAAAATTATTTTAGTCCTATCCCCAACATGATGGAAGACAGGGGGTGAGATGTCGGAGGGGGTTTGGAAGGAATGGGAATTGTCTAGGGAAGGCCTTCTCAACTAGTGTATTAGAAAGTGCCAAAACAAAAATGTTATTGAAGTTGAAGTGCCAACCTGTATATTTAGTGACTGTGCTGCGGGGGAGCGTAGCAACTTAGCCGCCAACAGGTGAGGTCCAGGGGCGAAACCCCAGCTGGGGTCCAGGGGGCAGAGCCCCTGGAAGCTGGTGGACTTTAGGGCATTTTGAGGACCAGATGTGGAATTTGATAATCACAGTTTGATATTGATGTGAAAAAATTACAACAATTCCTGGGTACAATTACACTGGAAGTAAATTTATATGTATTATTTTGATGCGGTGAACATGGGAAATGTCAAGTTGGCTCAACTCGATGGTGATTTCTTGATTTTGCTGAGTTTTAATTTTAAAATATAATTTTTTTAAATGTCTTTAATCTTTCATCACCATTCCGACTGACTGCGCCACCAGTTGAGAAGGCCTGGTCTAGGGGATACTAAACAGACTTGATATTGACTTACCTTTGAGAGTTTGAAAGACCTCATCATCCTTCTCCCCTAGCCCAAGCATGATGGAAGACTTGGTGAATACATCTGGGTTGACTTTCTTTACATGCTCCAGGACAGTCAATGACTGCTTGTAATTTGCTCTAGGATCTCGTACAAACCTATTCAAATTCAAACATAAAGTAACAGGTGTAAATAATAAGTTCAATTCTTTCGATCACTCAAAAGTCTAATCTCATATATCAGGCTGAAGTTGAAACCATGTAAAGTTGAAGGATGTCAAAGTTGTATATTATGCACAATGTTTCCACTATATTCATAATCACAACTTTATGGCTTTGATTTGTCAACAAATAAAAATCTGATAAATTTCTATTTTCAAACTTCCAAAGGGAAACATTGGTAAAGCAGGGGTTACAAGCCCTGAGCCAGCAAAGCAATTGGAAAAGCAGTTTGAATAATTGTCCACTGGTTTTACTTTGAACATCTATGAAAACATGAAATTTGTACCATATTAATTTAAAAAGAGAAAGATAATATTCATGCACAGTAATTCAAATTCCAAAAGAAAACTTAGAGACAAAGTCGATATAATAATGGTAAATAAACAATCCAGAAAAATGTAATTAAAAATTCCTGTGAGAATCTAATTATTTGTAAATATCAAAACTTGGCATACAGATGGTTCTTTACTTTTGCAACTTGCTGACCGTCTCCACATTGTGAGCGTATACATCCAGACCCGACGCTGCTACCCTCTCCACGGCCTCTAGGTCTCCCCTGAAGTCTGGGGTAAGACACTCCACCAAGATGGTTGGATTCCTGCAGGGCAAAAAAAAAGTGTTATAGATGTTGCATCAATTATTCAATATTGCTCAACACTACATGAAACAATCAAATGTATAGCTAAAGCCTGGGTGGTGCTGAGCAGCAACCACCTCACTAAAACAAAAAATTGCTTCAAAGGTGTGAGAATATTATGAGACTTACAGTTGACATATTAGAGGTCGTGGTCGAGTGGATATGTTCAAGTCCCACCGCGGCACTGATGTCCTTTGGCAAGACATTGAACTACATTTGCCACACTCAACCCAGGTGATGTAAATGAGTACCTGGCAGGAATTAATTCCATGAAATGCTAGAGCGCTGTATTGGCAGCCGTGCTAAAGCCAGGGTAATAATTGGGAGCGCCAGGAGTGTTAAGTCTGACAGAAATGAGCGCTATACAAGAACCCACTATTATTATTATTGTTACTTATAAATGCTTGTGATCAATCAACTATCATTTGACTTTTACTAATTCAAGAGTTAGAGAACATAAATACGACATTTCTTTTTACATCAATTGTAAATGTACAATGAAACAAAGAAAAGAGAACTTACTGTCTTTTAATCTCCCTTACAGTTTCAGCAAAGTGCGCTGACCCGCCATCTGGTAAATCTAGAGGTGAAATAATAAGACAAACATGCATGACATAATAGCAATATATAAACTAATGTCCTTTGGCCAGATATTAATCTATGTCTGCCACTAGCCACCCAGGTGTAGTAAATGGATACTAGGCAGGAAAAAATTCCTGGAATGCTTGTGCGCCTTATCATACTAAAGCCGGGCTAATAATATGATTGCAGGGCCCTCAGGGAGAACATTATTGATACTGATGAGGGTACCCTGGGTAAACAAGGCTTATGTTATAATTATTTTTATTATTATTGGCTATTTTTAATCTAATTTAAAAATGTTCGCTTAGCTCCCTTTAACACCAGTATAGATTAATCTTCCAATGGAAACAGTTTAATAATCTTGAAACCTTTGAATTGCATTGAACTAAATTGATCCCATGATAAATACAGTGTGGCACAGGGAAATTATTTGTATGGTATATAAAGAATTAAGGAAGAAAGTATCAGTATGTATGGTATTCATGCAAGTAGGCTTCATTTGATCTTCACCAAGTCCTACCCAAAGATCCCTGTTTGAAGAACTTTGGAAATGAAAACTTTAAAAATGTTGAGAACTTCCAAAAGCAGAGATCATTTTAGGCATGTGATATGTGACAAAATCTCTTACCATCTCTGTCGACCGATGTAAGGACTATGTAGTCTACTCCCCAGGATGCGATGGCAGTACCTGTGTTGACTGGTTCGTTAGGGTCTGGTGGGGGCGGCTTCCTCGCTGTTTTGACAGAGCAGAATCGACAGCCTCTTGTGCAGGTATCCCCAAGAATCTAAATAGTAGAGAGACACATAAATCAAAAGGGAAGATATTGTAGACATGTCATAACACAACATATGAAGGTAAACATTGATAAATGCACAAGAGAAGACCAAGAGGGCATTTTACTGATTTGGGAAGGGGGGGGGGGGTAATGAAATCTTTCATTAGTATACATGAACACATATAAACAATGAATAATTATCACATATAAAGTCCATGTGCACTTCTGCAGCAGTTTGGAAAAAATTGTTCCTACTTTTCAACTTCAGAAGCCTTTATCAGTGCCCAGAGCATTTAAAATGAATAAATCCTGTCACTATTATTTTTTAATATTAAACCAACTGTATGGGTACATGCATTAGGCAGGGATTTGAACCGCCAACCTTCAGAATAAGAGTCAAGCAAATGAACCACTACACCACAGTTTGGATATATATCTGTATGGACCGTCTCACCATGATTGTAGCTGTAGCCGTGCCATGCTCTCCTCCACCCCAGCATTCTCCAATGTTAGGACACTTGGCTTCCTCGCATACCTAGCACACAGTAAATAGAGTAAAAAACCTAGTAGGAATGGGTTTTGGTTTCAACAATATACAGTATCAATGTGCATGACCATCCACTTTGTCATTGTTGTTGTTGCTGTATAGCATAATCACATGTATGCTTAAAAAGGGAGATTATTATGACTTAATTTAGTCAACAACACGCCTATATGGATCTAATATTTTAAAACATTATATTTTTGTTCACATTATTTATGCAGATATAACAATAGATATCACTGAAATTCACTATGATACAGATTGATATGTTCTAAAGGCTACACTTTATGAGAGCTTGCAAACAATTGAATTCCTTAACACTAAAAGGATCCTGTTCAAAACGAAAAAAACAGAGTACAGGCACTACATGTACATGAAAACCTACATGCATAAAAATTGTATTTATAGCTAGATGGGCATTAACACATATACAAAGTTAAAGATGAGCTTGAGTTCTAGTAATGATAGAAAATAAATTCTCACAGAATCCAACACAATTTACACTGAATGTTCAAGATTACAAATAAGTGACATGTTGTAGAGGGGCTGAGTGATAAAGATAAGGAAATCAAGGCAAGTAGGCCTGACACCATGTGGTTATTAAACACAGGTCATTATGTGCAAATGAGAGTTGTGGTTTTTATTAAAATGATTTTCAGTAAGTTTTTGTGGGTTTTTCTATTTTTTATTTTAATGGTTCAAGCAATCAATCTACTGCAGGATAAACAATCCAGAATGAATTATAGCCATGTTATACATACGATTCCCATACCAGAGCTCAAGATTAGCTTTAAAAAGAGCTTAACCCATTAGACAGAATGTGTTATTTCGTTCTTACTGTATGTAAATTGAGGCTTCTAAGGTTCTTTTTTATACCGCTGTAGCTTTTCCCAATGGGTATCTCTGTCTTCAACCATGGTGGAAGACGTAACCTAGAAGATAAAATAAAATACAAATTACATAATTATTTTTAGAAAATAGATGTTTTGTTCACTGTAGCTTTTTTGAGGAGATTTGGTACTAGTACTTGAGTTAAAAAGCAAACTTTCTTTAATCAATTTTAATATCAGGACTTTGTTTATGTGCCAGAGTTCTTCTAGTATTTTTTAGATCTTTTGCAGCTTTTGATTGTGAAATGGCTCACACCTTACGTCATTTTGATCATGTTTATTTTCTTTTTGCTATTAGAGGATGATTTTAATCCCTCCTAATAGGAACTACATGTCAAGGCTGAATGACTTTACAATTTATTGGTCTATCTTAGAAGTTTGCGTTACAATATATACATTTTTTGTACACATATACATAGATTGATCAACTTCTTGAATTCAAAATTTTACTTCACATTGCATAATCATGCATTTCCCGATATCAATGAAATTCAAATATTCACTGGCAATCAAAACATTTCAAATCACACATATAAACGTTTTATTAAAATTTCTTGATATTATTCATAATCAGCTTGGGGGCTAATTTACCTCTTTATACCCTTTTCTTTCTTTAAAGTTCCTTCATATCCATGACTTTCTTGTTCCACTTCAAAGTCACCTTCAATGAAATCCCCAAGACTGGGTCCCTCGGCTATCTTCTCCTTCTGTTCTTGAGTGAGGGTTCCATATGTTCTGCATAAATATCTGCTCTTAAAACTGAATGTACTTGCCAACCTCTGTGCAGAAAGTAGGTAGGAAAACACAGAACATAAATACCGGTATGCATCTTTGTTGTTTTAAATGTTAATAATTAGCACATTTCCTTGGGAACATTGGATGTATAGTTGTATAAATCTTTTAATGTTTGTTCTTCTAAGATTAATAATAAATATTTTTTAGAATGCTGCAAGGGGAGGAGGCAGCAATTGGCCTACCTTGTCCTCTACAATATCATTTGTGGAAAAAAAGTATTATGATTGAAGCTTTTCAAATTATAGCCTTATACAATATAATCTCTCTTACTTTTTTCTTCACCAAGTTTCTCCCTTTTTCCAAGACTGTGAAATTATATCTTTAGCCTTAGGGTTCAGATTCATAATTAATAAATCAATTTTTCTTCCTCTTCTTTCCATTCCGACCTGACCTACAACAGGATGTAGAAGATTATGTTAAGTCCAAACATACAATTTTAACCTTGGATTGTGGGTTATTATGCAGTATTACATGTCAGTTAATTATCTTTTATAAATATTGAAGTTCACTCTTCAACTTCAAGAGTAAAGTTAGGACTGAAGATCAGAATACAATCAAACTGTTAAAACTTCAATGAATTTTATCAAGAAAGAAATTTGGATTATAAATTTTGTTGGTACACTCATTAGTCATGGTCATACATATACTCAGTCATAGCCATACTGGCCCATAGTCATGATATTCTTAAAATCATTTTGTGATTCACATGATTTCTAGCACATTTAGCCAGCCCAGACATGTCTGTTGCGTTTCCAGTCAGAAATTTAGATAATTTCGACACGTAATTTGATTTTTTTTTCTTCATTTAACTTTCAACCTCTTTTGATTAAATACATAACAATAATTTCTTTTATAAAATAGTTTGAGTATTTTAAGCATCGTGATTTGCCAAAATGCGTTACATGACATGCAACTATTTTTGGTGCATGCACAATCGTGCCTGAAAAGCGCTATAAAAAGTGATATTGCACGCTAAAAGATCGATATCCAGCGCAGCGTACGCGTAGAGCAAGTAGCGAGGTCTTACCTTTTCATTTTCTAGAACCAACATAACTCTCCTAGACTCTAACGTTACATCTAGACTTTCGTTTGTTTTGATTTTCATGTTCCGCTATTTTATAAAACAACTACTAAATGCAGTGTACGCTCGGTTTCTTCAGATGGTGCGCACTGAGAAATCGCCGCAAGCGGCTCGTGCACAGAGACGGCACCAATCTAAAGAAACCTTGCATGCACTGCATTCACCACTAACAAACGCTGGGCTGTGCATTATTTGTATAATATTTTAATGACAATGTCAATCGACGTCCTTTGTTAAAAAAAATATTTGTAGAAGTGTTTGATGAATATTATTTTTTGGCGCTTGTTTAGAAGACAGCAACCTATCCAAAATTTGACCCGTAACTACGGCGTGGAGATACCCTACTAAAACATACCCAAAATGAAGTAAATATTTATTAAATGTCCAAATAAAGATCATGAGTTAAAAGTTGTTATGTTTAGACCCTATTACCTGTTTCGTGTCAATTTTCTTGTTACATGTATTTTCTTGAGTATTTTTTGGATAAACATTGATATTAGTATACGCTTTTTAACAGGTTTCAAGGCAAACCGCTGCACAATACAAGTACATACCGATCGCGGGTTGCGGACGGGGGCGCGCCTCTGTGAAGTTATCTACCGTAATGTCTCAGATCATCATTACGGTAGATAACTTCACACAGGCGCGGAGTTACGGGTCAAATTTTGGATAGGTTTCTGAACAAGCGCCATTTAAAACAAAATACAATCTGACAATTGAATTGCTGCCAAGACAACTTATGCCAGTGTCTAGACACACAACCCCCATGCATCGTACAGACTACAGAGAAATGATTTGATAATTTAAATGTCTTAATCCAAACTAGAGTAAGGTTACCAAGACATTCCACCCAGCGACCGCCGGCCGCCGGAACTCCTGGCCTGAGAGACCGGTGCAGTGCCGCCGTTGTCGACGGCCGAACGCGTCGGCTGAAGTCGAAGAAGGAATTCGATCGAGGAAAAAGCAAAATATTAAGTCTTGAACTCAAAATCCAGTCACTCTTTTTAATCAGACATTTCATAAACTCACCGAATGAACTTGATGTATTGTTGAGGAAAGATATAACGGCTTTATTGATGCCATTTTCATCAAAATATCACCTCGATTGCGTAAGTAAATATGTGAAATAAGGAGATCAATATAGTCTGATCTGTTTCAAGTATATTATGGTGTCTTTAAGTTGTACAGAATCAACATACATAACTAGGAGCACGTAATCATGCTTGCAATGTCTAAATTTCCCAGACCGACCTAAATTCATTTCACAGCTTTTTTCTTGCCTGTAATTTAGCCAACATTAGGCATTTAAAAGGTGTTCATGGTCATATAAATCACAACACACGTACATATAAGTTTATGATATTCACTGGGATTCATATTTTGTCATTTTGGAAATGATAACAGATACCGTATATTGGTATTTTAGAGAGAAAATAATCGCAAGGTTCAATTTGATCTAATCATGTGACGTGATCAGCTGGACATTACTACCGAATGAAAATTTTCTTGAACATCAGCGCGCAGTCATAAACTTTCAACCAATGACCACCAGGCATCACATCGGAAAACTTAGTAAATCTAATTGCATTTATTGAAGAGATAAGACTTAATTCTACCGGCTGTAACGATGGGTTCTGGGATAAGCAGTAATACTGCAGGATTCATAGGGTCTGCAGTAGCGATTGTTGGATTTGGAAGCAACTTTGTACCTGTAAAACACGTAGAGACGGGAGATGGTAAGTTTCGTCGAGTTTCTTTCATAGAGTCGGACTTTGCTAGCTCCCAGCCGCGGGCCGGTGGGTCGCGTACGTGGTGCACCAATAAATGTGGGTGGATCAGGAATTTCAAAGAGTTAGACATAGATCTATTGGAGTATTGAAATCATGGGCGTAAATCATTACGTAATACCTATTCTTTAGAGGGGAATGAGAATATAATCAACAATTTTGTAACCTGACTTTTTAAGACTGATTATACATTTTAATAATCTCCAAATGCACATGCACTCTTTACTTTGAGTTTGATGACATATATATTTTGTGATTGCTATAATTGTATAGTAGAGTCTACTCCCATAGTATCACAAATTCTGTTCTCTGATGATCTCCTGACTCTCCTTTCTTGTGATTGATATTTTGCCTACATTATTTTATCTTCTTTGATTAGGGTGTCTGATCACGCCTGCAATTTTGTGTGCTAAAACCCTTCCCATAGAGATTGCAGGCATCCCTATCCAGTCTACGTGCATTGCACGCTCATGCAAAATTGGTCAATATTTTTATTACCAAATCGAGATTCAAAACTGTATCACTCTTGAGCTTGAAGGCGATGCACAACAAATGTGTTGTCATATGAAAGAGCAGGTTTTTCTCCCTATGCCCCGAAAGGCTTAACTCAGAACTCTAAAAATATCTTGATCAAAACAGCGATTTAAACATCATTTCCATCTAATCCATCGTACTTAATGTAATATAATGTTTTAGTAGTAATTCAAAGATAGTAAGATCTAAATCTCATTGACATAATTCCTAGCTAGATCTTTATTTACCAAGTCGCATTATACTCATTAACAAATAGTGAAGTACACGTACGATTTTTAATAACAGAAGCTGCAAATATGATTTTCATTGTGAATATAAAGTTTTTATTTTTACACAGAATTGATTTACATATAATTTGCAGGTGTGTTCTTCCAGTGGATAATGTGCTCAGGTATTTGGTTTGTTGGTCTCATGATCAATTTATTCCGCTACAGTCCAATCTTCTATCCTCTCTCCATGCTGGGTGGATTCCTCTGGGCTACAGGTCAGTGTCAATTTAGAGTACAGTGACATATAAGGTAAAGACCAGTTTTGGAAACGCCCCCCTCTCATAAAATGAAATGGTAGCTCTTATTACCAATCATGTGAAAGAATATGTTTTGACTGATACGTGATCATACAAATTTTGCCGAGAAGCCCTCTACTTATTGATATATTTGGTAAATTAGTCTATCTATTTGGACGTGATAGATATTATGCATGTGTCGCACACGTGTGCATAGTCCCATATACATCTTTCTGTGTACAGTGCTTGTAACTTTACCAAGGCTGGGCCAAATTTCTTATCATTTTGATGATTCCAGAACCTTGCAGTACACACCAATACTTTTATGCTAGATGATCAACCTTTTCTGATCGATTTCACAACGTTTCTTTCACAATGCAATCGCATGACTAGAACTGATCTTTATCTTTAATCATCAAGTAAAAAGTAGCAACATTATGTGGAACTGTGTAACAACTAGCTGTAAAAGCAATAAGTTTTTGTCTAGTGATCCCCAATATTATTTTTAAAAAGAGATACAATAAATCATTCAAAATATTGTCTTAATTTTTACAGCATATATTTGTAACCCCTACACTCAATACTGAAGCTCTTGATAGCGTACTAGTAAAAAGCTAGTATATTTTTGTTATAAAGAATTTCAATGTACTGTAATGAAATGTCTGTTTTAATAGAACCATTATGAAACAGGGATTAAGCAACTGGCGGTCGTTTCTCGAAACCGTCATAACTACAAGAACATTTTGACACTTTCGCTCAACTTGTCTGCTAAATGTTCTACAAAACCATCCTTACCAAGATGAACAACAACTTCCGCGACAAGTACTTCAAACCTGATGTAGTACAGTACATGTTTATGCCTATATGGCGTTTGTATGTCAAGTGATTTTGACCTAATACCTTAACTCATATGTTTTATCTACATTTCAGGAAACATAATGGTGGTGCCAATTTTGAAGACCATCGGACTGGGGCCAGGCTTACTGATCTGGGCATCAGTCAATATGATAGCTGGATGGGCCAGTGGACAGTAAGTTCATTGTCAAGTTATGCCTATGATGATCAGTAACTAGACTTTATAATATTACTCTTCACAGGAGCCTCATCTTGTACAAGCTTTGCTATTTATTTAGGCTCCTCTATTTTTTTAATTTGTTTTTTTATTGTCTTTCATATCTACACTCCTCCCAAAACACCTTTCTATTTAATGTACATTATACTTCATTGAAGCTTTCTACCTGTGTTGTTTTGTTACGCTACAGCTTGTGTGGATCTTAATTATGTTGTTATATGTAAATGTGGAACAAATAAATTTAAACTTCAAACTTTAACAAAAATACATGTTTTGGGGTAATTTTAAGAGAAAATGTGGGGGGGGGGGGGGTAAGAATTTCAAATCGTGCCAAAATACATGTGTTTCTATTAAAGTACAATAATTCTTAGAAATTTAAGGTCATTGTGACTTTGAAATGATAGATTGCACTCATACCCAAGTGCTATAGCCCTGTCTTGGTCATGCATGTGACTGGCATCAAATATTTCAATAAAACCAGCAGAAAATGTTTTTAAAAATTCAAATCATTTCATGTAAATGAATGTAGAACCTACATGAAATTGCATTTATATGTTATCTTTATCTGTCTGAATATATTTCAAAACGTCCCATCATTTTTGTAAAGCTCACTATTAAGTTCTCTTGTTATTAAGACTTTGTTGGAGGGGGGGGGGGGCAAAACATTGTACAATATGATGTACATATAACATGATTGTTCTTTGAGAAGAACTGTACCAGTTTGATTACAAAAAAATTCAGATAAATGCACTTCTATTAATTGATAGAAGGCAGAAATGCATATGTCTGTAACATTTATTATTTACCACATTTCTTTTGGTATTTCATATAGCTTTGGGTGGTTCGGCTTAAACAAAGATGTGTTAACACGACCGACTCTGAATTACATCGGATTTGCTTTGGCGTTTATGAGGTAAAAAAGATTGAATTTTGATCTAGTAGGAAATCCCCAATGGATCACCAAATGTTATAATATTATAGACCATATTATTTTGAATAGAAGGTATAGAATTTGTATGAATAGAATGTATTTATTAGACACCTTGTTTTGATGAAATGTGTTAGGCTGTAAAACTTCAATCCGATTTGATTGTAAATTAATTCAGAAATTGGTTTAAGATGAAATGCCAGGAATCTATTACTGTCAACATTGTAAAATGCTCCCCCTCTCTCTCTCTTTCTCTTTCTCTTCAAAATCTAAAATGTAATATAGGTCTACTCTATATTTAGACCTGTAATCCTGAGTTTGTCAATCATTCATTTCATCATTACGTGATTTGTTGAAAATTACATATAGGTTTTGCTTTAGTGAATAACTGAGACATGAGATTTGTGCTTGTGATTCAAAGCTTAGACAGATTTTTATCAAAAAAATGTCTCAATAGTTGATCGCTTGTACCTCTGGTTTGTTTCAGATTGGTGATATTTGTTTGGGTCAAGCCAGATCCAGTTGGTCTAAAACAAAAGAAACTGGGTTCATCGACCTCTGCAAGCTCATCTAATGACAACAATCCTTTACTTAATGATGATCAGCATGCAGTAAGTTTCTATCCATCTTTCTAGCTCCCTTAAACAAAAGAACAATGGTAACCATGTGTTTTTTTGTCCAAATTACCATCCACCATGGTAACCATGGTATCAAACAATGACTTTCATTGTTTGATGACCCTATGTTTATCATTGTTCGATACCATGGTCACCATGGTGGGTGGTAATTTGGAGAAAAAAAAACATGGTTACCATGGTTCTTTTTTAGAAGGGCTAGGTCCCATAGCTTCGAGGCCATTTGGCCAAGCGACATTGAAGTGGACTTTGAGACACAGCTTCTCCATAACTCCATGTCTTTAGCTATTCCATAGCCACTCAAACAACATTCCTGTTAACTGCTTGATGTTGTCAGTCCATGCCCTAGTTGACCTGCCCCTCTTTCTTCTCCCATTAGTTCCTTCTTGCAAGATGGTGTTTGCCAAGCTATTCTTCCATCCAGTTATATGCCCAAACTACTGTAGCTGTCTTCTATTCACAATTATGACGAGGTGATTGTGTGTCCCTATATAACTCCTCGTCATCCCTCTCACTTTCTTGTTGGACATGAGCAAAGTGTGGTGGATATACAGAAGCCTTAATTCTCATACAAATACATGGTTTATATTTATCTCTTAGCCAAAATCAGTGTTGGTTAAATGTTCCTCAATGGCAAATTTAAAGTACAAGAGCCATTACCTTATATGAAAATGAAGAATTGTTCAAAAACTGATACTCTTGACTTCTGTGACCTTTTCTGAGGTTTCCCTGGTATAGCAGGTGCTCATGAATTCAACTGTTCTTCTGATAATTGAAGTACAATAACTTGGGATACTGTAGTTTTCCTCATAAAACTATGTTTAAGATAAGTTTTTTTCTAAGATGTGCATAAATATTGAACCATGATACTTGGCTACCGTACTTGCAACTTAAAGCATTTTATCCATCTTTGTCATTTTCATGAGTATATAGCCTATTTCAATGCACATGTGTTTCAAACGATAGTTTGCCTATAATATAATCTTCGTTTTACCCTCAGGTAAATGTATCACAAGAAGGAAGCCATGAAGCGATCGATCAGCCATCATCCACAGATGCATCATGGGTAGACAATCTGTCTACTTTGCAGAAGAGAATAGTGTAGGTACAATTGAATATCTATAATTGACCAAACTTGAATTAAACAAATCTTTCATTGGTTGGTGTGATTATAAATTCCTGTTCAGATGTGATGCTGTGGTTAACTTTAAACTTTTTCCATATTGTAAATGAACAGTATACAGTATGCAATGTTGTTGTGGGTACAACATGTTCTGTGAAAGAAATTGACTGCAGTAGAATTTGTGTTGTAATTGTAATGCCACTTGTATACAATGGGCAGTTTCATAGTTTTTTTTCAGTTGTTCTTTATTGTCAGATTTGACTGTACTGTGTGACTAAAAAAATGTTTACACTCATATAATTGTCATTTATTTTAAAAATCAGCTATGAATGGAAGGTTATCATAACATGTTTTGGAAGAGTGTTGATCCTGAATCGATCAGTATCATTTTTGTGTATTATGTGTTCACGCTTGGATGAACAGGAGGCATTGTTTGTGAGAGTACAAAAATCGACTCGCGCAAAAGTATTAAAGTGAGAGAATGAATTTAATGTATCAAATGAGATGCATATTTGCATAAGCTTTTTGCAGAAGCAAAGTCACGCACACACGCGCACAAATGTTCTTTGATGTTTGATATGTGTGGCATGATTAATTTGTTTAAGGGATGTTTTTGGATCTGCAAAGACCGAATTAATACCCAAATCTCAAATAATTTGGGATAAAGCACTCTTTCATAAGTGTATAATAGTAATTAGCAATTTGCTAGGTGTAGACTTTTTTTTTTACTCACACTATATGTGTATTCTGCTTTAATCTCTAAAACCATATATATTTTATTTTGTTTCTTGCAGAGGCTGTGTGCTGTCGACAATATCTGGCGTTCTATATGGCTTCAACTTCATTCCATGTTTATGGATTCAGGATAACGTCAAAGGAGCCAGTCAAGAGGGTAAAAAGAATTGGTATTACCCATTTCCTTGGGCATAATGATGTTTAAGGTCGACACTATATGGGCTCCAAGATTCATTCATTAGTAAATTTGAAGTAAAGGTCACAATTTTTACAGCTCTAGCTAGCTGTGCCTACCTCACAGACAATTAGACTTTGATTATTTATTGCATTGCCTCACTATTTATAAAGGTAATTTCAAATTCACACTACAGAGCTCATTATTTATAAAGGTAATTTCAAATTCACACTACAGAGCTCATTCGAAACCTATATTTTATAACTTAAAGCTTCTCAATGTATTTGATATCTGTGAATATCATATTGCAGTCTTTATGTACTTGTGTCGAAATGAATCTTTACCATGTGCACTTCTAAAGTATTTTAATTTAAATTCGACCTTTCATGACTATGAAACTAGAAATGCATCAAATTTCCACTTACCTCAAATTAAAACAACTTTAATGAAAAAGTCAATATCTTTCGATGGTCCGAAAATTTGGAATTCCATTCCAATAAATATAAGAAATTGCAAAAGTCTTCAAACTTTTAAACGAAAATATAAAATGCATTTAATTGAATCCTACGTGCTATAACTCACCAGGCTCTTTACCCCCCCCCCCTTGTTTTCCCTCTTTTTGTCTTGCTTCCAATCGTACAACATTTAATTTACCTTTTATTTATATTATACTGAGGGATGGGCTCTAGCATAAGGACCACACTCCTTTTTAGCTCATCCCTTCACTCCCATTATGTTATGTTATTTTGTTGTTGTTGAATGTATGATATTTTATGTGTGATTATTCCTCATTTAATTGTATATGTTCTTGTATTTTTAATGATGAGTGTAAATAAACGAACTTGAACGAACTTGAACTTAAAGGCAAAAAATAGAACTGAATAAATACTGAGATTCAAACCCGAACAATGGGTTGATGAAAGGTGGGATTGCATGATTACTATAACCCTATCACTAACCTTAAAGGTTACCAAAGGTGCGAATGAAAGAATAATTAAAGAAAGAACCTTATGAATGAAAGAATCTTGGAGCCCATATAGTGTCGACCGATGTTTAACCTCTAGGCCTGTGGCTAAGAACTTAAACTAGATAGTTCTTTCATGAAGCGTCCATATTAGCTTAATTTGTTATGAGATATCTTAAGGAACAGAGTAATGTAATATTTCATCTAATATCAGTTCAAGATTTGTGTATTTTCAGGCCTACATTTTGGGGCACTGAAAAGGAAAAAAATATGCATTAATGCATTAATTTATATCAATTTTTGTGGATTCTCTGGGTATTTATCACAATATCCTAGAATTCTGCAAGGGAATTAACCATTATGAATATGCCTCCACCAAATTACCACATAAAGCGACACATAAAGCAACACAATTATTGTTGATAGGTTTAATCAAATTTGTTCAAAATAACATTTTCTTATGAATTCCAAATTAATTGATTTCAAGGTCTTTCACTGTCCTTTTTGTCCTTTCCAGGTTTAGACTATGTATTTGCCCATTTCTGTGGGATCTACGCTACTAGTACAGCCTACTTTCTCATCTACTCTGCCTACAAGCAGAACAAGCCCCAGTACTCTCAGAACCTTGTCCTACCTAGTCTAGTGTGTGGTGCTATGTGGGCGGTTGCTCAGGCAGGGTGGTTTGTTGCCAATACAAACCTCTCTGAATCTGTGGCGTTTCCTATCGTCACAACGGTAAGTAAAACATAAACAGCTCTTGAAGTGTACCAATCACTCAATACTCTATTCAAAATATAAGCTGTGTAATGTATACTTGTTTTTCCAGCTTTTAATAGTATTAGCGTATCTATTTATATGATAAAATATGTGATATGATCATATATTATATTACATTATTTTACAATACATTATATTATATCATATTATATTGTATTATATCCTATTATATTTATTACATTATATTATCCTGTAATTATCTCCATGCCAGGGTCCTTCTATCCTTGCTGGCCTGTGGAGCGTGTTCTATTTCCGAGAGATCCGTGGACTTAAGAACTACATCCTACTCGTCATTGCCTTTACTGTAGCTACGGCTGGAGTTGTATGTACCGCTTTCTCTAAAGTATAAAAGGTGCAAGCATCTCTCCCTGAGGTACTGCCATTGAATTGAAATTTCATTGTCATTAACTTTATGATATCAAATGGTGAAGGCGATGTAAAGATGTGTTTGTAACTCATAACTTTAAAAGAATCAATCAACTCTGCCATTGACTTGCATTTATTTTTTTTATTTTCTCAATTGATAAGAAAAAACACACATAAGGTTAACAACTAGATTAATTATACCCTTACCATTTAAAAAAAAATGAAAACGAAATGTGAAAAATTTATACATTCAAATTTTTGTTTTTTGCATGTGGCTTATGCTATGGTCACATTACCCAAAAGTAGCCTGCTCGGCCGCTGAGCGGCAAGTTTTTAACCAATTCTGCCCGGCGGCTGCCCGGCCACCGAGCGGCGGCCGCCCAGACACCGCTCGAGTTTAGGGCATCGCTCGCTCGGTCGCCGCTGAAGTTTTAGCGCGGAGTTAAAATTTGGGCGGCGCCTGCTCACTTTTCACTCGCCGCCCAAAATACGCTCGGTGCCTGGGCGGTCGCCGCCCGGGCACCGACCTTACCGCTGGGCGATGCCTACATTCCAGCAGCGACCGAGCAAGCTACTGATCGGTCGGTCGCTGCTCTGATTTGTGACCATAGCTACAATGAAAGCTTACATCAAGTATTCTTTAAAGGCACTAATTCAACCAGTCCACTTTTCATTTTTGAGTTATGAAAAAAGAAAGAATTTTTTTTACAAGGGGTATGAATAACTTAGTTGTTAACTTTATTATGTGTTCACCCAACAGTTAGGAGCACTTACCTCTACCATTGACTTGCAATATTTGTTTTTATTACCTCTGTGATGTCAAAAAGATAAGATTGTACATAGATATAGCTGTACTTAATCAAAACAGGACCAATCATCTCCACAAGCTTATTGAAGTACTGCCGTTGATATGATGCCATTCTCACTATTGCCTTTCTATCAGTATTAACTTACCGGTAGTAATTCTTATTTTTGATAATGTGAAATTATTTTGTGAGGAAAAGCCATAATGTGTTAACAAATTTTGTGCATGAATAATCTGAAATCTAGATATTGCAGCTGGTGTTAGTAAAGTGTGATCTTTATATTTTCCCATTATCTATAATTTTTACTTGAATCTGACTTTGTACATTTTTATAATTGTATGATACAGTTTCATTAAGCTGTTAACAAATATAAATACTGTATAGAAGTAGAACTTCTTATATAATTTCAATATGATTTACTGAAGTACATAATCATGTGAGTAGACTAGGGCGTCAAGTTCTTTAAAGGTACTATGTCCCTTTTGCAGCCAACCTCTAATGCTGTAGAACTTTGCAGGAATTTTGAATATGTCATGTATATCCTATCTGTGAAATTTAAACGTTAGCAGTGTCCTCATATTCAAATTATGCAAGGAAACCCGTTTACTTGCTAGACTTCACTGTCAGACACTATTGAGTGACTGACTGGCTTTTTTTCTTCTTCGGTAATAACATACATGAAAAGAGTTGTAAAGGTACATGAGCATTTGTATACATCAATGACCCACTTCTTGTGATGGCCAAGATTAAACCGATTGAATCTCTGTGCAGCATAAAACGTATGACCATTCGGTACAATTGTCTGAAAATCAAGACTATTACTTTTGGGCTCTATAGCCCTAAAGTCGATTTGACAACTAATAGTCGTTATTTTCCCACTTGAAGACATTTTCAAGCCCCACCTTTTTTAGGGAAGTTCTAAATTACTATTATCTTTCAAATGCAGTTGGAATTTAACTTTTTCATTTTTTGGGCCTGTAAATGGGACATAGTACCTTTAAATGATCATGTAAGTTTTCGAGGGGGGGGGGGGGTTGGATCCTTGCCTGTCTAACCCCTACTGTACTTCAGACTACCAAAACTAATTGGATAGCCATACACAAGCTATAGCTAGTTAGCTGCATTGTTTATATAGTAATTAAAATCACCCTTTTCCTATTCTAGAATATTGTACAGCAAAACATTGTATAGCAATATGGATGTTTGGGCATAATTGTTTTGAATGCAAAGGCCTAATGAAAAATAAGGGTCCACTTCTTAAGTGAAGGTTGTATCGTACAAAAAATGTAAAACTGGCAGGGCTCATCATGGGTGTCTGCTAGACTAACACTAAACATCAGTCAATTGACATCTTCAAAATCTGTTTTTTGATGTGGTGTTTATTACTATACTCATTTTTACAGGCGTACACTACTTTCAATATACAATGATTCTTTAAATGATGTTTCTCTATACAAGTGTTGTATGAAATTATCATAACTCAAAGTTGCTACCCTGGGTAAATAAAATGTTATTATATTATTATTATTATCACTATTATTATGTTATCATTATTATTATATTATTATTATTATTATTATTATATATTATATTATATTATTATTCTATTATTATTATTATATTATATATATTATATTATAACAGTAATTGAATAAAACAGAGAAAGATTGACTCAATAAGAAAGAAGGCAAAGCGTAGAAAATACAACTCCCCTTTTTATATAATATATACTGCAAATATATTTGTGGTAAATATAAAATATGTTTACCTCCAAACCAAGTACCTCCACTCTATCGTATAATATTTCAACTTGACTGTGGCCTGTGGCCATGGTAAAATTATACTCATATAGGAAAATTTGAATTTGTTAGTTCATATACTCTGTTACACCTGTATTCAATTGTGCAGTATTGTTGTGTGCATTCAGTTGTATTTAACTAGTGCAATAACATATTAAAGATGAAGTTGAGTTCTGGTCATGCAATTGCATGTGAAAGAAACGGTGTGGAATCGACCAGAAAAGGTTGATCATCTAGCATATAAGAATTTGTGTGTATTGCAAGGTTCTGGAATCATCAAAATGATAAGAAATTTGGCCAATTCTTGGTAAAGCTATGGTCACAAATTAGAGCAGCGACCGACCGATCAGTAGCCTGCTCGGTCGCTGCTGGAATTAGGCATCGCCCAGCAATTAGTTCGGTGCCCGGGCGGCGACCGCCCGGGCACCTAGCGTATTTTGGGCGGCGAGTGAAAAGTGGGCGGCCCCGCCCAAATTTTAACTCCGCGCTAAAACTTCAGCGGCGACCGAGCGAAGCCCTAACAACGAGCGGTGACTGGCCGGTCGCCGCTCGGTGGCCGGGCAGCCGCCGGGCAGCCGCCGGGCAGAATTGGTTAAAAACTCGCCGCTCGGCCGCCGAGCAGGCTACTTTTGGGTAATGTGACCATAGCATAAGGTTACAAACACTGTACACAGAAAGATGTATATGGGACTACATGAACATGTGGCATAAAAATCCTACCCTGGATTTTTACGATGTTACATGACATATTTAGATGTTCTTCCACACTTGCATAATAAGAATGATAACGCTCACAAATTATTTTTCACCTCTTCCCAGAACTCAACTTTCTCTTTAACATAATACACATACAGGTAGTCAGAAAATGACTTGCAAATGCCTTAAAATACAAGGCAAGTTTATGCTCAAGAGTTATGTGGTTATAAGAAAACTGTAGATTACTCCATCTTTCATGATACTATGTGTTTTTCATGTCTAAATACTTTTAAGACAGAGTTCTCAGGTCACTAAATGATTTTTGTAGCATGTAAACCCATGTATTATGGAATGTATGAATTTGAAGAGGATATATACATATATTATCACTATTGTTGTTGTCGTTGTCATTATTATCGTTATCAATTTATGTCGTTATTAGTATTATTCTGCAAAACAGGATCAACTGAATCTGTATATATTTTTCTTGAAAGACTTTGTTATAACAAAAAGCACCAGGTGTTTTCAGGTGCAACTTTATACTGTTAATGTCCAGGTGTCCTCCTCCTCCTCCTCCTCCACTTTCTTCTTCTTCTTCTTCTCAAAACAGCTTAAGCCTAAGCATATCCATAACAATATGGTGTATATTGCTTCAAACAACAAAGAATAAATCACTCAAAACCAATAATATGATAAGGATCAAAATTTTATGTAGGATTGTATTCAGTATTGTTGGTATGAAAATATAAGTATTTTTAATTATGTTTTATTATTTATCCTAATGACATAACTTTTATGTTGTTGATGGGTTGTCAGATGCCCCTTATTGGGGTCATTAAAAAAAAATATCTTGACTACAGCATAAACCATATGAAAATGATATGGATCTCAAGTATACTTAAGATAACAGATATATTCATTTATACACAAAAAACCACAACAGTAATAAAATAAGAACACCTTGCAAGTATCAAAAATATTTCCCTTTCAGTGATGCACAAACACAATTTAAAACATCATTCTTTACCCCCCTCCGTATGATGGGTCAACAGGGGTCAAATTTGCTGATTTTACGGTGACGACATAACATGTGGACCCAATCAGCTTGCCTACACAGCTGATGTGATGAGCCTGCTTTACTGCAAAGTTATTGTGAATACAGTGTGAGTCAAAAAAAGATTACACCTAGAAAATTGCTAATTATTTTGAAAATTATCTATGAACGGTAAATTATTATACATCATATGAAAGAGTGTTTTATCCCGAATCATTTAGTATAACTTTGTGTGGTATGTGTTCACGCTTGGATGAACAGGAGGATTTGTTTGCAAGAGGGCAAAAATCGACTTGCGCCAAAGTTACTCATGTGATGTTTGAATAAAACAACTGGGATTTGGGTATTAATTCGGTCTTTGCAGATCCAAATAACATCCCTAACAAAAGTAAAACCATGCCACACATATCAAATATTGAATATCAAATATCAACGAACATTTGTGCGTGTGTGTTTGTGTGTGTTTGCCTTAGCTCCTACAAACAGCATATGCAGTGCATTTCATTTGGTACATTCAATTCATTCTCTCAGTCCACTTTGGCGCAAGTCGATTTTGCACTCTCGCAAACAATAGATCCTGTTCATCCAAGCATGAACACATACAATACACAAATGATACCAAATGATTTGGGATAAAACACTCTTTCATGAGATGTATACTAATTTACTGTTTATTGATGATTCTTAAAATAATTAGCAATTTTCAAGGTGTTAACTTTTTTTTGACTCACTCGGTATGCCTACTACACTTGAGATGATGTCATCAAATCGATATAAAATTTTTAGCTTTCTTTTATGTCGACAACTTCCCATTTTCAAAGAGGCGATACTCCTCTAACATACAATAAAATAACATATAATTGATATTATTGTAATCTATGGCTTATAAGCTTTCTGTTGATATATTATTCACCTATTCAAATTTTCACTTCTGACAGTGTCTTTAAAATGGAAGATTCCTTGATGTGTTTTCAACAACAAAAAGCAGAAGTTAGTTTAGAATGTAAGATGATATTGAATAGAAGACACAATAAAAAGGAAGAGATTTTGTACATGTATCTGTAAAATATACATGTATATATTGAGATCAAAAGTCCCAAGTAGAGTAATTAAGACCAATTTGACAATTCAGAATTTCACTTGCCTGAGGAACAACAAGGTACTTAGCTAATGGGTTTACTAGATTAACAACAAGTAAATATCATTACAATAGCTATAGAATAATCCTATAGCTTATCATAGTGAGATGTTTGTGGCAGTATCTGGGCAGTTGAGTGAATGAAAGGAATCTTGAGGCCTTTGGTGTTAAAGTTGATATTATCTCATTTCAATTGTTCACTGATGGTTTCCTGAAGCTTGAACTTCTGTACCTTGCCGCTGACCGTCATAGGGAAGGCCTCCGCCTCCATGAAGATGACGTGTTTTGGGATCTTATAGTGAGAAATCTGGACAGAGTACAAGAAGATGTTATCAATTTCCATACAGTTTGGCATAATAATAAATATGGTAATAATAATACTAGCAATAATAATGATCATAATTATCTGTTGATACCTGAACTGGCTATTGTTCGCTATTCAGAAAACTCCAATATTACCACCATTCTTTTAAGCTACTGATTTCAGTGCTCATAGCATTCAAGGAGTTCCTTCCTACCAGTACCAGTATAACACCTGGGTGGAGAGTGGCAAATGTAGATTAATGTGAATAAGGGTTAACTCCCTTCTACATGTAGCTCTTAACAAAACTATTGGAATGAGACTCACTTCTCCCTGACAGTACTCTTTGATGTCTTCTTCTGTGAGGTCCTCTCCTGCCTTTACTCGGATGCAAGCCACCACCTTCTCACCTAGTCTATCATCAGGTATACCAATCACCTATGAAGAATTAGAGAGAGAAAGAGGGAGGGAGAGAGAGAGAGAGAGAGAGGAGAGGGAGGGAGAGAGAGATGAGGTAGAGAAGGGGAGGAGAGGGAGGGAGAGAGAGAGGAGATGGAGAGAGAGAGCAACTTTCTTGTTTAACTTGAGCAGTCTTTATATACAGGTTTCATTGTATTTTTTTCTCCCTATGCTGTTTCAATATGTGATATACTGAACATTACATGTGATATGACCTGTGACCTCGATGACGTTTAAAAGACATTCCTCACAACATGGCACCTTAACCTACTGTAGACCTATGTTATTTGATTGGAGGATTGTTGGTCACATGAAATTCAATAGATGTACTATTGCACAGCATTTTTGGTACTTTTTGCCGTAGTACTATATTCAACGAGCGTGCAATTTTTGGTTATATGCAGACTGCATACCTCTCTGCCCTACCCATTGTTATATCAGCTGCAGGCATCTGACATGAAGTCAACCTGAATGTAATCAAGAAGGCCTGACTCCAACTTTAATTTATCTTTAGGGAGCAAAGCATAATTTGTTGAAAGATTAACGTTCTATTAGATCTACTTCGATGTTGTATAAAACAAATAATGTGTTTTTCATACGTTCAATATTGAACTCATAAGCATTCATTATTTGTATACTAGTCTTCTACAGAGTATGACTGAGAGAGTTGGAAATGACATTGAAACATGGTGGCATGCAGCGGTGGGATATGTACGTCTGTCAACCAGTTCATTTCTACATGTATTTATTTATTCCCACAAACATAAACTCACATGAACATCTTCTACTTTGGGATGTGTATAGATGTACTTCTCTATCTCCACAGGGTAGATGTTCCTGCTTCCCGTGCTGAGTCGACTGTCAACCAGTTCATTTCTACAGGTATTTATTCATTCCCACAAACATAAACTCACATGTACATCTTCTACTTTGGGATGTGTATAGATGTACTTCTCTATCTCCACAGGGTAGATGTTCCTGCCTCCCATGATGATGAGTTCCTTGAACCGACCAATGATGCGGCAGTACCCATCTTCATCCATAGTTGCCATGTCCCTGGAGAAAAAAGGAAAATAAGATAAATGATGATAATGAATGTAAAACCATGTCATTGTAGTACAGTGAAACCTGCTTTAATTTTGCAACCATCTGTATAGAGAGACCACCTGTCTTGTCTATAAAGACCACACTTTCTGCTTCCGATGAATAGTGTTTGTCACTGACAGGTGTAATACAAACCTGTACATAAAATACCACTGCCCATCTTTAAAAATCAACTTTAAGAGCTCAAGTTTAATTCAACTGATGTAACACCCCATGATACTATTTACAAGAGTTGCAGATAATAAGGAGGATTTCTAAATTTTCCTTGTCATCTAGGACTTCTGTCACCTTTTCTATCATTATCAGAACCCAGTCTGAGCTTGATTTTCGAGGGTGTAAGTTCATCTTTTCAATTTAGTTTTCTATTTTTTAGTTTTCTTTAAGGGGGGGGGGGGGTCTTTATTGTAAGCTCTGATGAGTGCAAGATGAGTGTTGATATATCTTTATTCAAAGCTCTATTCTCAAAATTGTAATCACTAAAAAAACTTAAAGCCTATCTGCACTAGTTTGGCCAGGAGGGATTAGACCTTCATGCCTGGCTGCTGACAGGTGCTTATCTTATCAAATCAGCTCTCAACAGAAGAAAAAGGGGATTATATGGGGGACCAACTGGGACCGCTTAGGCATTGTTTGCTTTATAGAGGGCGCAAGTAGCTACAAGTAGTGCAGTCCCGCTTAATATGAATAATATATAATAACAAATAATATGGGAATGAATTACCCTGTATGGTACCACTTTGTAGCATCAATACTGGCCTTGGTTGCCTCTTCGTTCTCCCAGTAACCAATCATGTTAGCGTAACCACGGACACAGAGCTCACCCGGTACATCGACAGGGACAATTTGACCAGTTTCAGGGTCTATTACCTTGCCCTAAAGAGGGATGATAAGTAAATGGATAGAAAGCTGGATTAGAGAGTGTGAAATACATGTTAATTGTTGAAAAGAGGAAGAGAGAGAGGGGAGGGGGGGGGGGGGGGGGGGGGGGAGAGAGAGGGGGAGCTAGTGGTATAGGCAGATTAGTGAGAGGATAAAGAGAGTATACATGGAAACAAGGTGAGACATTTATTGAGAGAGAAAGAGAGATAGAAGAGAGATAGAAGAGAGATAGAAGAGAGAAAGAGACAGGTATTGACAGGCTGAGACAGAGATAGAGAGAGAGAAAGAGAGAGAGGGGGGGGGGGGAGGGGGAGCAAAACATGGTGAGAACATACCTCCATATGCTGGCAGAGTCTTCCAATAGTGTTGAATTGTTTATCTTGTGGGTCCTCCTCATCAACGATAGCAATCATTGGTCCAGCTTCCGTCATACCAAAACCAACCTGTAAACATCAATCTTTATTCAGTTCAAATTCAAATTTTATTAATTAAAATCTAAACAAATAGGATCTTTTTTATCTTTTAAAAATAACATTTTTATCAATATGATAACAAGGCAACTGGAGGATATGCATGGGAGGGGGGGGGGGGGGGGGGGTGGGTAGACCTCAACTCAAAATTTCTAATAGCAATTACATGAGTATATTTAATAGGCATTATTAGCATTTTTAGGCAAATGCTTAAATTTTACAAGACATGCTCTGACAACAATTGCTTTATAGTCAATTTCCCTCACCAACCAAATTCCTACATGTATATGTATATTCCATTAGATTGGAACACTTGAGGATTTGTCCTGCCTAAATTATCAATGATATGAATTCGAATATGTAAAAAATCAAAGGAGAGATGAATTTTTTCTTTTGGAAAATACATTAAAGGAGACTGTTGTTTCTATTCCTGACAAAGTTTAGATTTTCATCATTCTTGGTGATGATAATGATGATGCTGATGATACATGTATATGTTTAGATTGGGACACTTGAGGATTTGTCCGGCCTTAATTATCGGGGATATGAATTCAGAATATGAGAAAAATCAAAGGAGAAATGAATGTTTTTCATTAGAAAGTACACTAACATGAGACTGTTGGTTCCATTCCTTTCAAACTTTAAATTTTCATCATTCTAGTTAGTGACGATGATGAGATGCTGCTGATGATGAGAATGATAAATGATGATGATGATGACGATGATGATGATGATGATGATGATGATGATGATGATGATGATGATGATGATGATGATGGCGATAAATGATGATAATGATGATAGTGACAATCATGATGATTATAGTTTTGATCATGACAATGCCGGTGACAGCAGACAATGATGATAATGATGATGATGAGGATGATGATGAAGATGATGATAATGATGATGATGATGATAATGATGATGATGATGATGATGATGGTGATGATGGTGATGATGATGGAGAGGATGATGATGATGGAGAGGTTAATGATAATGATTAAGAAAACCACAGTTACACCAAACGATGATGATGATAATGATTAAGAAAACCACAGTTACACCAAACGATGATGATGATAATGATTAAGAAAACCACAGTTATACCGAACGATTATGATGATAATGATTAAGAAAACCACAGTTACACCCAACGATGATGATGATTATGGTGAAGATCATGATGATGATTATGATGAAGATCATGATTATGAGGGCAACAACAAAAAATGATAATTATTAGGATGATAATGTTGATAGCTAGGGAATGATAGCAGTAACAACAAACGATTATGTTGTTCATGATGATGATTGATACCTACAGCAACATATTTCATGCCCATGCCCTTGGTCATTTGTCTGATTATTTCCGGAGAGACTGGTGCTCCTCCTATGATACCACTATGGACGCTGCTCATATCTGTGTCTTTAAAAGTCGGCTGGCTCATCAGATCAATGAACATGGTGGGTGTGCCGTAGACAAATGTGCATCTAGTACGTGCAACACATAGAGAAAAATATCAGGACAGGTTTGATGTCGCCCAGTCATTGAATTGAATTTCATTGAAATGGTATTGAAATTAACATCATTATAACTTGTATATAATCTAGCTATTTGGTAAAGTATGCTTGTACAGAGAAACCTGTATCGATTAAAAGACTGTTCCAGTGAAACAAGAAAAGTGGTTTCAGAGGATGAAATGCAAACTAACAAGGTAAATAATTAGGGGGAGGGGTGGACGTAAGAGGAGTTTGTGGCGTCATGTTCCCACCCCTCCCCCTTTTTTCCTTCTCTTTTGGTATCATTTGATTGAGGGCCGGGGGGGGGGGGGAGGTGCCCCTTGTGACCCCCTGTAGCTACACCACTACTATTTTGTACATGTCCGTCCATACCTCTCATCCTGGATGGCTTTGAGGGTAGCTACGGGCTCATATCCAGAGGTGGGGTAGACGTTGGTTACTCCGTGGGTGATACCGACAAGTGGCCCTCCAATACAAGCAAAGATGTGGTAGAGGGGTATAGGTAGACACATTATATGCTCCTGAATAAAAAACAAAAGAAAATGGAACAAATGAAAAAGAATGTGGATTCATTTTCAGGCTTGATTCTTGCAGCAGCATCTTGAAAACTTGATAATGCTTTGTTGAAGAAATTCTGATGAAAGCAAGTACCGGTAAGATTATTTTTGGGGGTCAGAAGTCAATAAATTTGTGGGACTTGTATTTTATGTTGTTTTCATGCAATTTTTAGGCAAATACATTACCGGTATAGTCATTCTTATGTAACACAAAACTGGCCATAATACATGTAGTAAGTGATTCTCAACAGACCTTTTGTCAACTATGATATGTGTATTCTCCTACTTAACTGCCTAATTAAGATATTAAACTTTATTCTCATATTGCAAATTATTTAATACCACTAAAGCCTTATGGTAACCAACTCCTTTATGGTAGTCAGTTTCCCACCATACCATCTCGATCAAGTCGCTGCCTTTTACAAACCCTTATGGTAGCCAAATCTTTTTTAATACTGTTTTATGGAATCAACATTGTTTCTACTGTACATACTGCCTTATCATAGCCAACTCTACAGCCGATGTGGTAGCCATTGTTAACAATTCTGTGGTGAGTCATAGTCGCTCCTTTTGGATTTCCAGTGGTACCCTGTAAGAAAAAAGATTTAATTAATTAGATTTAATTACTAATTATATATTACATATTGCCATATTGTTGGCTTAAATTTTTAATTTTTTTAAATTGGTTCACTGAATGACGCAGATGGTATTGATAAACTTTTTGATTTTGATATATCTGAAAAACAAAGGCAATTCGTCACAATAGTGAGAAATACACTTCCATTATGTTTTTGAAAATGATAAATTCCATACAGACTGATTCCATTTTTAAAGAAAGTAGAATTTGAATCTGACTTGAAATGACATTCCAACCTTTCTCACTTTAATATCAGAGGATATATGGTACGTGAAAGCTTGAACAAAGTTGAACAAATAAAAGAAATGTACATGTATCTGTGCTTCCACATTTGGGATTACAGAATGTACATGAATCCATTGAAATAATAATAATGATCATAATCTGGATTGATATAGCGCTTAATACAACATACTGTCTTTAACTGCTTAATAGATATTATTACCCTATGACACATCTACTTTGGTAAGTTGGTAATTCAAATGAGATTGGGTACAACTCTCCTGTTTGTTGTACATTCAAATACATACTGTATCAAATTATTCTAGTCCTCTCCTCAGAATCCTCTTTATTATTTGTCCAATCTCCATCAAACTTTTACCTTTATTATTACTAATTTTCATGCTTATTACTAGCAAACATGCTATACAGTTGAATATTCTAGTTAGTAAAACTGAAAATCATTAAAAATCCTAAATCTAGTATACTTACAGAGGTGAACATAATGGCGACTGGATCATCAAACTGCACCGTCTTTGCATAGCCCTCAACCATGAGCTTGTGCTCAATGTTTCCCATGTCAATGACATCATCAAACATATGGGCACCAGGGAAATCCCCTTTTCCCAGCATGATGATAGATTCTAGCATTGGTAATCTGTTTTTTAAGATGATAAAAATATCATAAAAAAGAATTGGATAACGGAATAAAGAATTGATTGAATTATACTGAAAATAAATATAATTTGGACCTACACATATTACAAAAAAATATATATTTGAATCAATCATTATGAAGTATTAAACCTTTGTAATAAATATCTTAATCAAAAGAATTATTAAATCTGATACAAGGCCTTACTGCCCCTAAAAAACACCATCTCATCTGATTTCATTCTTCGTATAATTCTTCGTAGCTAGGAGCTTGACAAAGTAATATGTGACTGAATTTTTATGTTGATAGAAAGCACTTTTTATTTCCATTACATGATAGTAAGTTTTTGTTGTCACTAAACCTTTGGCAACTGCTTTTATCTTTATAATGAAATAAAAACAAACTAAATTGTGATACATGGAGTACAAATTGCTTTCACAATACTTTTCACTTCTTAGTCTGCCTGGGGCTGAGGTTGCCAGTTCAGGACACACAGTGGAAAGCATCTCATAATAATTCTGGGTCTTGAAGTTCTGAGCCGAGACTATTGCCTTCACACCAGCCTAGGAGGTATAATTGATAAAGCATATGGTTCACACAGTTAAATCTTGTCTATGGTATTAAACACCAATGGGTTTGTATCCCACCGCCGCCATCCCATCAATGTTACATCACAGGGCTCATATTAAAAAAGGCCTAGGCCCTATTTCAATTCAGTGTGTGGATTAAGCCAGTATTTTACTCAGCATTTTAATTGGTTATGTCTTAATTAACTCATATTTAGATTACATCTTAGCATTTTACTTTTAAGCAGACTTTAAGGTAAATGACTTACCTTGTACTGATAATTATGCATTGTGATGTCACATGTGAAATAAACACATCGCATTATGCGTGCTAATACTACAGTGCCCAGATTATGACTGCATATGGAAACCATGCCTACCAATTGGCATCCAAAATAATTGGCTTCAGTCTGCTAGGTAGCTGTCTTAAATTTAGGGTAAACTGAATACTTAGCCAAAAGCTTGAACTGAATACCAAAGTTGGCTAAGCATTTTATCTAAGCCGAACACTAAGTAAAATACTCATATTTCCAACACAATCATTGAAATGAATACCGGCTCTGGTCAGACCTTCACCCATAATAACGATAAGTTTTGAGTATATCCATGTATAATGTACTGATAACAATCCCCAAAGTGTTTAGACTTCACCACCAAAATTGTTGTCAAATTGTAATAAAGGCTATTATTTGAAGGGTCGTCAATTGGGAAGTCGGCCCTCACATAAAACTCACCTTTTGTAAAGTGTAGTACAGCTCATTGGGTCTATAGGCTAGGTTGATGGTGACCAGAATAGCCCCAATCCTAGCAGCAGCAAACTGAGTCAGAACCCACTCTGAGGTGTTGGAATCCCATATCCCTATCCGGTCTCCTTTCTTCAGACCAATGGCCAAGAATCCAGCGGCCAAACGGTCAACCTGAAATGAAGTGCGTTTGATTGGATTTGATTGAAATTAATTTAATCAATTCTATTCAATCACATTAATTTTGTCTCATCTCATTGATTTGATTTGATTTGATTTGATAAGATATGATAAGAGTTTTATTCAACAATATTCAGATATTCAATATTACAGCTTACTACCTGATTCATCTTGAATATAAAGATTACAAAATACATTCATAGAAAGATTATATGTAATAATAATAATAATAATAATACTTAGTTTTTATATAGCTCTTATTAGAATCACTAAGCGCTTCCAAACTTGGAGATTATTACCCCGGCTTTAGCTGTGCTGCCATTGCGGCGCTCTAGCATTTCAAAATAGATAAATGAACAGAGTTCTCCAAAATCATCATGAGAAGATAATAGTGTCATAGTTGAAGCAGCGAAATTGGAATTTGAGAGTACATATTTTGTGGTGATCCTACACTGCCAGATGAATTTACTTTGATAAACTTAATTCTAATTGCTAGAAGGCATATTGCATTAAGTATTGATAGAAAAATCAGGTACCGGTAGTGTCTTCTTGATTGTTATTGTTTTAAGTTTACAGGTTTATTATGATCATATTCTTTTTCATTCGTCAAACTGTTAAAGGGAAAATAATGAAGTTCTGTTACATAACCATGTATGTTTGAATGCAGTCGACTCAGGCAATACAATGATTAAACAGTAAAACTGTACAGAGTGCACGGAATACAACATTGGTACAAGAAAGCTAATTGGTTGGATGGCAAGTACATGGAGAATAATGTAAATGTAATACAAATTTCACAGATTTGATTTCTTTGTTTTGTAGACTAATAATGATGATAAAATTATATAAATTCATAAAGTGCAGAAACCACAAAACATAATCTACTGCACTGCACAAGTACCCGATGTGCTATTTATGGTAGCATTCTTGTATTTTGGTCAGATATTATTTACTCAAGGAAGGAAAGACATAAAATGGGATATTTTTGTCTTTCGAGTAAACTATGGTAGCATGTTCTGTATTTTGAAAAGATAATACTTTATCAGTTTTCAAAGGTTTCGTTTCGTATCTCCTTTGCATAAATGATTTATGGCAGCATGCTTTGTAATTTGATAAGACATTTAAATTTTCAATGACCTGAAATGGTCTATTTTGTCATTGTGTGTAAAACAACATAACTAAGTAAGATGCTATTTGCATAAGATATGAAATGTGTATCTTTCCCTCTTGTGTGTGGTATTTTTAGAAGATATTATTTACTTAAGGAAGCAAAGTAATGCAATGATATATTTTTGTCTTCTGAGTAAACTCTGTACCGTCTTTTTTTGTCAAGTGCATGTGTAAACAATTTTAAGTAGGATACTATTTTCATAAGACATTTCTTTATCAAAGATTTGAAATAGTCTATTACTAATGCTGGCATCCTGCAGTTTCTTTTTATGGGTGCATGTTTTGGATTTTGCTACTCTAAAACTTGTACTTTATGGTTAAACAGTTTATTGGGATTAAACAGACAAGCCTATTTGAATAATCAATTGAGAAATTTTTTAATTGGGAATTCCCATGAAAATACAAAAGATAATTGGTTTGAAAAGAACATATACTCATGTACAACATTTGTAACTGTATGTTATCTTAATTCCTGCGATCCAAAAATACTGTAAGAGTGCTCATTTTTCTTTATTCATACTATATATTGACATATGATTAGTCATCTTAATTACTCTTAAAGCTTTCCTCTAATTGTAAAACTTAATCATATACTTCTTACCAAGTAGATTTGTGATAATATAATTCTTGTTTCTACTTGTCAATGCTGTTACATATTTAAATAAACCTCAGCCTGTCATACCTGAAGGCTTATAAGTACATTTATAAATATATACCGGTATACATACCTTTGGTATTGACAGAATTAAAGAATCTTTTACGAACCTGTTCTCTGAACTGGCTAAAGGTCCAACGAACTCCTTCCTCCACAAAGACGAAAGCATCGTGGTCAGGTTTCTTTTCTGCCATGTCATCCATGCATTGGCCCAGAGTCTTGCCCATGAGGGGTGGTTCTAAGCTCCCCTGAACATAGCTCATGGTGTACTTGGGGGTACCATCTGGTGCCCCTCTTGCTCCTGATGATGATAATGATGATGATGAGGTGGTAGAAAAGAAACGTGATGTTGATGAGGAAGAGGATAATGATGGAGAAGATAAAATGGAAGAAGAAGAAATTGAAGAAGCATTGGAAAGAAATGATTGGCTACCGAACATAGAATGAAAGTATCCCTGATCTTGGAACCTCTTTTGGTATGTTGGTGATGTTTGGGAGGCTAAAGACCTTGATGTGTGATAGCTGAGAGGGGCGTGGTATTGGTTTGATGGCTTGGAAGAGGTCTGTGATCTGCAAACAGAGATTCAAAGAGAAAATCATTAGATATAGTATAGATCAAAATTGTGGAAAATGATGCTTACTGGTACATGTAACATATATCTGTAGCTAAGAAACTGAACCAGACTTTGAGAAAAGGTTAATGATTATAACGACAATAATGATAATAGTTAATATTATTAAAAATAATGATGATGATGATGATGATGATGATGATGATGATGATGATGATGATGATGATGATGATGATGATGATGATGATGATGATGATGATGATGATGATGATGATGATGATGATGATGATGATGATGATGATGATGATAATAATAATAATAATAATAATAATGATAATAATGATAATATATAATAACGATATAATATGGGACATAGGACTGAAATAATTATTTGAATCAGGTCCTCTCAGTATATAGAAATGAAGAAACATATAGTTACCCTCTCATCATAAGGTTTAACTCGGTGATATTCCTTTGCCTGTTGACACCCACCATGTAAGAACGGATGCTATACAACATTGCTAGCTGACTCTGAAGACGTCCGCTGCCCAGGGTTGGACAGCGTAGGCCTGGCTTCAACATGGCTGGCATATTGCTAATGCAGATATGGCAACCAGAAACGCATCTAACACTTCTCAACTGTATCAACGGACTGTTCTTAACTCACTGCAGAAGCATTTTCAGCTACCGGTACTATATCATCACCAAAAGGACTAGGTACTAGGCAACACAAACTGATTTGAGTAAATAAGCACTGTTGGCCGGATGCCATATACATGTACTGTAGTTTGTTGACAGGATACTAGTATAGCATTTCACAATGTCACTGGCTCACATCTGAGACGAAAAACAAATTTGCTTTTCCTATACTTTGCCCTCAAGATAATAGGGACAGATCAAGCAAGAGCGCGATCCCAGTGTGAGGCTTTGACCTTTATGTAGGCCAGGGGTAGACTTTCAGACACATGCAAGAAGTTCTCCTTGGTTTATGTTAATACAGTCTTGTCAATACCGTATGTTATAACTGGGTCAGCATGAATTTAAACAAGCCCTGTAATTGACCTTTAGGGTTTATTTTTTGGTAAGTTTTTTTATTGGGTAATATGTGATCAAATCAAACATATTACATATGTACATGGATCACAGATTTTAATGTCTAAGCTGCAGGAAGCCAATTTTCGTATTGACCTCTTCCTTGCAGTTAGTGCTTGACACTTTGCTCCACAATTGCCCATTAAAGTTGGAATAAATTTACTTTACCTCTTTCCCTGAAATGATTGTGACAGTATGATTTATTCTTGATAGTTAAAGTTTATATCTTCTAAGAACTTTCTTGATCAATATACAAGAGTCATAGAGATCGATCAATAAAATTCTGGGAAGAAAGAAACTTTGTTTATCAATAATTAATCATACTGTCACAATCATGTCATGAAAAGAGATAAAGAATATATATATTACAACTTCATGGGCAACAGGGAAGTATAAGGGCTGCTTTAATTAAAAACAAAACAAAATTTAAAAATTAGTTGAGCAAAAAATACAGGTAGGAATCCATTCCTTGTAACAAAATAAATGGGCCTTTAGATATTTCTTGTATATATGCATCCTTATTTTCTCTCATCCATTTGTTTTGGATGAAGATAGATGCATGGTATATGAACAATTCACTCAGATGTAAGATAATTTGGGGGTTTATTATATAATATTGAATGGCCTAGAGTTGAGAGGGATCAGTACAAGGGTATATCCCACAAGATGATGAGCATATATTTAACGAGTCGGCATAAGGAGTGAAATATACTCAAAGTGAGTGGGATGTACCATTGTATCTCACAAAAGAAAAGCCATTCAATACTATTATCAATTGTATGAAACTTCAATTCAGTTTCCCAATTTTTCTGAATTTTGATGGTGAAAAGGGGACATATTTTGCAGTGTTCTATATCCTCTCGTTTGGCATGTATATAATTAAATTAAAAATTCCCACATATATAATGTTTCTTTTCTTCTTGTTCTTGTTTTTTTTTTATATAAAGTTATTTATTTATTTATTCATTAAATTTAATCTTGTATTAAACTTTTATCTATTGTTATTATATTTATTTAAAATTATTATTATTATTATTATTATTATTATGATTATGATTATTATTATTATTACTGTTATTATTATTATTTTTTTTTTTTTGGGGGGGGGGGGAGGGGGCTATGTAAAGGTAATGGGTACTGGTAGAAATTAATTCATTTAATGCTGTAGCACCTTCACCGGGGAAGCTAGTCTAGAGCTGGGGTAATAATCCAGACCTCTTTAGAAGTTCATCTATAGATATTTAAAAATATTTTGGATGCACTATATAAGTAATAAATATCATTATTATTATCATTTTTCAACTTAAAACACAACAATCATTCAATATTCTCATTTGATTATTCAGATTTATTCCTTTCAGACATGTAAAATAATTCATTTATATATAATACTTGTATCAAAAGTATTAGTTAATAATCTCAGGAGATGAACTTTACTTGCTTACCTCAGTTAGAATGTTTTCATGCTGATACTAACAATTATGTCTCAGAAATCGTACAAGTCTCATAGAAAATCATATTGATAAAAAAATACATAATTTGAAAAAATGTTTAAAATTATTTGTGTATTTCCCTCGAGGTAAGTCCAGTGTAGTTCACACATGTACTGATATTGCATCTGTAAAACTTGATTTGTCATTTAATATTAAGCAGCATTTAAACACCTTTTGGTACATTAATCATGAAAATCAATTCACAAGCGAATTCATTACAAAACATCAAAGTAATATTCATATCACAATTATTTTGTTTCACATTATTTTACATTACATTTAGTACATTCATTTGCAAATTCATAATAAAACATCAAAAACAATATTCATATCACAATTTCCTTTATATTATCCCTCATAGCACATTTATTTCCATTCACCTGTACATGAACTCAGCACCAAGAGAAAATCATGACACACAAGGTTATTATCCCCCCTCCCCCCAGCCCCCCATTTTCATTTTTCATTTTTACAGAATATCTGTTAAGAATAATTATTGATAATTTTACACTAATGTTACAACAACTATTCCTTTTCCACATTGGATAAATGATAGTTCAGTTATACAGCAGTTTGGAATATGCAGTTTGACTGCATATCATGTTGTGCCTGAGGATTTGAGATAAAATACATGATGAAAATAATATTTTAACAGACTTTCCAGCATTTCATGGAGATGACCCTGATTTTCCATTGATTTTCTCTGAATTTTCAGGATCATTACCGTAGATAAATTAATTTCTAATTTGAAAAAAAAACTGTAATGAACATTTGTTGCATACATCCAGTGGATATGCTGTTAGAACATGAGACCAAATTACATGTATAACAAATTAACGGACTGCTTACTTTCTTTGAGGTTTAATGAAATTCCCTGACTTTTCTTGGATTCCAGAGATTTTCTTCAAATACCCAGAGTTTTTGCACGATTTGAAAAAGGAGAACTCCTTTTCCTGCTTTCCACAATAACTGGAAACCCTGTATACAAAGAAGTAATCTGGATGTGACAACTCCTCTTCCTGAAGATTCTAATGTTCATTACAAATCTCAATATGATCCATTTGATATCAATATACAATTCATCAAGGCTGAATATTGCCACACACGAACACATAAAAGAAACATAAATTTTGTGCTATAATCAATGCATACATGACCAATTTCATGGGACTTTATTAATGCCATAGATTTTTTTTTTCCACTTACTCTAACCAAAAGTTCCAATAAATCAAAATCAACATGATAAATGACATTTCATACGCTATATAATTCATCAACTTACACAATTTTATGATTGACTAGGCACAGGCGCGCCGGAAGCAGTTTGGGATTGGGGTGGCAAACATTCCAGGGGGCTCACCTTCCAGGGGCAGTGACGTAATGAGCAAAAAAGTTTGGAAGGAGGGGGGGGGGGGCAGAAGAAAAATCTGCATCACCACCACTCTTACACGTTACATGCAGGCCTCGCGGAACGCTTTTCAAAGTGGGGGTATTAACGATCAGGTAGAGCGTAAATTGGCTTGGGGTCCAGGACCTGAGCCTCGGCAGGGGGTCAAGGGGCTGAGCCCCCGGAGCTCACGGATTTTAGGCATTAAATTACGGTCAGATAAGCATATTTAGATACCTTATTATTTTGTGACGCTGGCAGGTCACTAATTGGCGGAGAGTCCAGGGAGCAGAGCCCCCGGAAACTTAGGGTTTTTAGGTATTTAATTACGGTTAGATGAGCATCCAGGGGCCCTATTTAAGGTCATTGATGTGGTCCAGGGGGCAGAGCCCCCGTAAGCTCAGATGTTTTAATATTTAACTACGGTCAGAGGAGCATCCAGGGGCCGCTTAGCTTAGAGCCCTTTGTGGGGTCCAGGGGGCAGAGCCCCCGGAAGCTCAGGGGTTTTAGGTATTTAATTACGGTCAGATGAGCATCCAGGGGCCGCCTTAGGGCCCTTGGTGGGGTCCAGGGGGCAGAGCCCCCGGAAGCTTGGGGGTTTTAGGTATTTAACTACGGTCAGATGAGCATCCAGGGGACCGCCTTAGGGCCCTTGGTGGGGTCCAGGGGGCAGAGCCCCCGGAAGCTCGTTTTTTTTTAAGGTATTACTGTCAAATGAGCATCCAGGGGACCGCCTTAGGGCCCTTGGTGGAGTCCGTATGCTCTGAGGTTTAAGTTTTAATTACGGTCAGATGAGCATATTTTGATACCTCATTTGTGACGTTGGCAGGTAACTTAATATTTCTCTCTCTCTTTCTTTCTTTTTCTCTGTAACATACTTTTTCAAAAAGTGAAGGGGCTCGAGCCCCCGAGCCCAGCGGATTTGCAGACCATGACATAAATGTTTCTAAATAAGCATATTTTTCGCCCGACTGTAAATTTGGGAATTTCTAATTTTCCAACAAACGCATAAAAAGGTATGACTTACAAAAATACTGGAAATTCATGTCATTTCAGCAACATTTGTAAATCACTGGTATCGAATAAAAAAATACCCCCCCCCCCATCAGTACGCCATCGTTCAGGAGCTCATGTCTTCTCACCCCTATATAACAAAAAACAGACACGCTTTTACATTCTCTCACAATACATGTATGTCCACGATATGCGCGTATCGCTATTATAAAAACCTCCATTGATAAATATAGGTGGCATGCGCAATTTTTAGGAAATTTAATTCCTATTAACTTTCCTTTTCTTTGAATGGAATTTATATGTGATTTAATTCTGGTTTTTATTATTGTTATGTACTTTTGGGTAAAAATACAACCATCTTTACTCCTTTACTGCCTTTTTTTTTTTTTTTTTTTGGAGGGGGGGGGGGGCGTTTTGGGGGGGCAAAAATGCGTTTTGCCCCCCCACTTTTTTGACTGGGGGGGCAGCTGCCCCCCCTGCCACCCCACTTCCGGCGCCTATGACTAGGCACACTTTGACTGGAGGGCATCATTTGGAATAAAACTCTTGTATGATACATCACCTACCGTATCTTACTAAACATCTAATTATCAAATATATGATGGTAGTCAATTCCGAGTGAGAATTTCCTATTTTGAATAAAGAATATTATAGACATTTCGTTGTTGAATACCTGCAAATTAATGATATGATATATCAACTAATAACATTAGGGTTTTCTATCACCCTCCATCAAATTTATGAAACATTGAATATACTTTGGCACATAATACAGTACAAAATAAAACAAAAATGACGTTTGTCTAGTTATACTAAACACCAAATCTGCACTTCTCATTACCAAAATGTATGTACTGTTGCGTGTCATAGACTCATTGTCTTTTGTTTGGACCAAACAGTCTAGAACTTGTAGAGACAGAAGATCTCAACTGACATAATACACATTTACACTACAAAGTGTAAAGGTTAAAAAAATAATCATTCATTGGCAATATTTTTACAACAGAATTCAAGATCGTATTGTTTTCTGTTCTTTTTGAAGGGCATTTCATGATTCTTGCTGCTGCAAGTATGTTTAGTAATAAAGTTCAATACAAATATTTCTCACACTTCGATAAAGACAGCCCATAACTTGTACATTATATCTTATGAGTTGTCATCAGAGAGAAAGTTCAATCTTTCAATAACGTTTTGCTGCTATATGTATGTATGAAAGAGGTACTAGAAAAAAAATTGATCATATACACCTGTTTATGAAGACTAATGAAAGCACCATGGTCACTATTTTATGTTGATTTTTTTTTTTTAAATACAAAGTGAAGTTTGATATCTTGTACATTTTCTCAACAAATTTCCTCTCTCAAGGCCATCAAATGCTTTCAGTCTGTTGCCCCCACACCTATGGCACAAACTTCCTGCATATCTAAGAAATAGCACTTTACCAGAATTCTATCAAAAAAAAAAAAAATGCTTTCAAATCAAACACTGTACAATCGTGTACTTCTACAATTCTTCTCAATTTGCTCATAGACTAAAGAACAGCGCCTTGTATCCTCTGGAATGGAGCTCTATAAGTCAAATGATTACCAATATTCTTCTTCTTCTGCATAAAGATTAGCAGCTGGTAGAAAGAAACTTGAAAAATTCCTAGAAATCTCTCATTGCTACTAAATGGCAGTTCAGGAAACCAAGATAATATCAGCAAACACCTCTTAACACATTTGCTAAACAAATGATTTTCTTATACAGGGTACTGAAACATGTGGATTCTTTTGTTTACACTCCTGTGTAATAGTGGCATGGCTTTGCGATTGGGGAGGAATTAGGCATATTTCACTGTGGAAATTTACCCTTGGTCCATGTTAATAGTTTATCATTTTAAACTTATTTTTCCCCATCTCTTTCCTGATATATGTGTATTTTGTAATGGTGCAAGGACTGGTTCGTTTTATAAAAGCTATAAAAATACACCTCATTTCCGCAGTTCCTAGCTTGTGCATAACATGTTTTAAAACAAAGACTTATGTACAATTAAAAGCAGGCACATAATGAACAAGTAATTAAATGTTAAAACATGGCTGTCTAATCATATTCAAAATCTTATGGATCTTAGTAAAAGTTCTCTGAACACTTTTGTATCAGCACCACACAAAATAAATTCTATATATTTCTATTAAAAATATATGTATCTGTTTACATACAAATATGACATAATATTTGTAATTGATTCATAATTTCAGATTATTCACAATATAATTTAGCACTCGGCAGCTTGATCAGCATAGGTCATATGAGGTCATGATGCCTTGTTATCTTAGATCCAGGATTTCATAGCCTAGGGGTCATGAACCCTGACCCCATATGGGTCACGCAGAATTTTTTTTTTTTGCCATTGAAGGCACTTTAAATAAGGTAAATCCATAAGCATTCTATCATATGATCTGAATTACAGGACATGATTTCATCCATTTCAATGACTGAGAAGCATTTGAAACCATTTACTCATAAATCACACTGGTTTTCTTTCCCAATGGTTGTTTCAGTGGTCATGATGCATGAATTAAGTAAAATATCTGTTGGGAGTAGGGGATCGAGAGTGGGGCTTGGACTCTTGATAATTATAATTGACTTTACAGCAGAAATGTATAATGGCCAATTCTGCCATATGGGACATTAAATAGGGACTTTTCTATCTTATTGATTGATTGATTGAACACATAATGGTTGCCAATTAGGATTAGAGTTATAATTAAGGTTTGTTAAGGTTATGGTTACTTATGTAGTGGGGTGATTCCAAACTTTATGCAATCATTACATGGATTTATTACCGCACAAAATGTAAAATATGGCACAGTTTAAGAAATAACCCACAACAGGTTGGGGAATTTTCTAGATTACCAGCTGCATCTTAAAAGTGGAATTCATCGGTGGAACGAAACAAGAAGGAAACAAAGATTTCATCCTACTTTTTCATCTTTTCTTCCATGACCTGTCTCATCTTGAACTTCTGAACCTTGCCTGTCACCGTCAGAGGAAACTCATCCACAAACTCAATGTAGCGTGGGATCTTGAAATGAGATATCTGCAGTAAGAAAATAAAAAAATGTTAATATTTATATATATATATATATATATATATATATATATATATATATATATATATATATATATATATGTTGTGTTGTTTTTTTTGAGGGGGGGGGGGAGGTTGGAGGGGGAGGGGGCTTCACTCATATATTCTTAACTCCAAGGTCTATTTGACTTTCTCAGTGCAAAAATCATTAAATTTTTAAGGGGTATGAAGAAATAGTTGATAACTACACATCCTGTAATGCTTACCTTTCCTTTACAGAACGATTTAATCTCTTCTGGCGTAGCTTCCTGTCCAGCCTTGAGTCTGATCCAAGCACACAACTCTTCACCCATCCTCTCATCTGGTACGCCAATCACCTGCAAGTCAAATATTTGGAGATGAAAAGAAAAATACACATTTAAGATAGCTTTAGAGCAAAAATTTGAATTATTTCATCCTTTATATCCTCTCATCTGGTACGCCAATCACCTGCAAGTGCAATATTTGGAGATGAAGAGAAAATTACACATATAAGATAGCCTTAGAGCAAAAATGCAGATTATTTCATCCTTTATATTCATATTATTTTGGATTTTTGTGATACAAATGGGATTGCAGCTAGACTTGAAGAATACATTCTGATTTTGCTTCATATAAGAACAGGAAAGGTAGATATAATGTCTTTCATTTTCTAGAGTCTGTCCAAAGTTTGTGTGACTTTGGGTGCATAAATGCTTGTACACATTGTGCAAGGGTCTTTTGGAATGTTCATTGAGCCCAGTAACACAATTACATCACAATGCAACCAATCCTTGAACAGCAAAAACCCATTCCAACAGGGAAATACGAATCTCTTCAAAGACAGCATAAATCCAAAATGACGCAAACAAAATTTTCTAAAATCGATTACTTACGTGACATATCTGGATCTTTTCAAAGCCAACCCCCCAAAAAGTATCAAGTTTCAAATGAAACTAAAATTTAAAAGAATACAAGTAAAAAAAAAATTCCCCTTTCCAGTCCTAAACCTTCTCTCAACATTATAAAAAGACTTGAAAAATCAACTGAAGGCAATTTCAATAGCCTTGTCCATTACGTTTGGAAACATGTAAACATTACAGTGAGGTATTGCATAATCCCAATATGATTTCTATAGGATGCACAATAGTGCTTTGAAATTGCCTTCAGTTAATTTTCAAAGCCTTTGTGATTTGTTGTTCCCTGAGAGTGAAAGACTTTGTGGATTACCTGTACATCTTCAATCTTGGGATGCTTGTAGAGGAACTGTTCAATCTCGGTAGGGTAGATGTTCTCACCCCCTCTGATCACTAGATCCTTGATCCGTCCTGCCATGGTAATGTACCCCTCTTCGTTCATCGTGGCTATGTCACTGAGGGGTAGAACAGGGTAGCAACAATGTATTTCACTTTTTGAGGGGCAGTCTAAAGTTCCCTTGTATCAATGACTATAACTACACACAGCCTTCTTTGCAGGAATGGTTTACCCTTGTTCCAAATTAAGTACAGTTAAACCTGCCTTAGTTACCACCTGTCTACAAAGACCACATTTTTAGTTTCCCTTGAAAGGGGGTGGGGAGGGCAGAGGAAAGGGGGAGGTCTTCACTTGTAACTGATCAAACACAAAGATATTTATGGTTTTCTTTGAAGGCGTCAATGTGTAACTCCCTCTAACAATAAATTGTCCCAACCCAATTTTTGAATATTCCCACCCGTTTTTCCATGAAATAAGACATAAAACGGGCTTTTTAAAATCTTTCAAAACTTAAATGTTTGGAATGGTATATAGAGCCAATTCATTGCTTTGTGACCGTTTACATTCACCTAAAATTTAATTTAATTATAATAATATAGTTGGGAGAATTTAGGAATCAATCAGATCAGCTTTTCCCAATTTTTATGATTAATAATGGTCTGTTTTTACTAAATATTTCAGATTATCTTTAATTGTACATCTAGCATTGAAGTCGCTACCTTAGCACCAATTTCTCTCATCTGAACAATGTTACCAAGTCCCTTTAAAAAGCTTTCATCTAAAAGTATTCAACAAAGGCCCTAGTCAACCAGCCCTAATTCAACCATTCTTGAGTTACAAAAAAAGGCAAACACAAAAAAAAAAAAAAAAAAAAAAAAAAAAAAAAAAAAAAAAAAAAAAAAAAAAAAATCAAATTTACAAAGGGTATGAAGAAATAGTTGTTATCTGTAAATGCTTACCTTTCCTTTACAGAATGCTTTAATCTCTTCGTTAAAATCTTAAGTATTTGTATCACTGACTCGGAGTGGGTGGGCGTGTGGGGAGGGGGGGGGGGGAAGGAGGTCTTCACATGTAACTGATCAGGATGGTTGAAATCTTACCCTGAATGAAACCACCCAGTCTGATCAATGGCCTCCTTTGTCTTGACCTCATCCTTCCAGTAGCCCACCATGGTGGTGTAACCTCGACTGCACAGCTCTCCAGGGGTGTTATAGGGCACCAACTCTCCAGACTGGGGATCAATTATCTTGATCTAGGACAGAGACACATACACAGGCAAGTAGATTAAGCACGGGAGCACCAGTGGTTCATTGCCTTGAAACTTAATTCAGAGGTTGAGGATTCAAATCTTTGACAAATGCATTTGACCACAGACAGGGCATTTTATTTGACCCTCCCCCTCACTCACTCTCTCTCTCTCTCTCTCTCTCTCTCTCTCTCTCCCCTCTCCCTCTCTCTCTCTCTCTCTCTCTCTCTCTCTCACTCTCTCTCTCCATCTCTACTCAAATGTTATATGTATATCTGTCATGAAATACACCATGTGCTTATAAAAGATTTTGAAGCTAAAGCCAGGTAATAATTCATAATGTTCTATGCAAATTCAAAGGGATGTGAAATCAAGATGTAATATGTGTTACATAAAAACAGACCACTGTCACTGTTGTGAACATTTCAGTTTAGACCATGGGTTCTGGATATGGGACTGCATACAAACTACATATTTTATTCCTTGGATATTTTTTGTGCTGGTAATAAAAAATGCAGTTTTTAAATAACTTGGCTAAAATGAGCTCAAAAAAGAAAAAGGCAATATAAAACTCCTCCAAAAGAAAGCGCAATACTCTATAGGAATTCAGAAAAATGGCATGATAAAAGAATCAGTAAAAAGCTGAATCCCTCCCTTGATTTCCAAGTTCTATTCATGCATAATACCTCGTTGTGGGGTGAAGGTTTTCCCACAGTGGATACTCGTAGGTCAACTGGGTCGTGCATCTCCGTCTGGCAGATCACCGGGCTCACCTCAGTCAAGCCATAGGCAATCTGTTCAGGGAGATAATGGCAAAGTGACAACATCAATTTACAAGTGGATACCGGTACTAATTATATATATATATTAAAGAAAGACTGTTTTAATATAATACACAACAGATATACAGAAAGAGATTAGAAAGAGAAATGTGACTGACAGAAAACATAGCATAAAGAGCGAGGGAAGAGGGAAAAAATGGGGGAAAGAGGGACAAAGAGATGAAGAGAGAGGGGGGGGGGGATTTATCAATAAATTGACAAACGGAATAATTTTTGAAGGAGATTTAGGTGGATGTGTATGTAGCTCAAGATAGGAGAGAGTAGACAGACTATTGGACAAGAGGGTGAGGAGAAATAAAGAGAGATAGAGAGAGGAGAAGAGAGAATGTTGGGGCAAGGTTAGGGTCATTTTTATTCACGCTTTAATCAACTTACACAGACATCTTTCATGTTCATAAGTGATCTTGTTTGTTTCATGGTTTCGATGGGACATGGTGACCCGGCCATGATTCCTGTAGTTAGGCTACTCATGTCGTACTGGTTAAAGTTGGGATGGTTCAGCATGTCGATGAACATGGTTGGCGTACCGTACTGTGATGTTATCCTGGGTAGGAGAAAGACATTTTTTAAAATCCCCATCTATCAATAAAAATACTGACAAATCAAAATAAATACAGCATTTGTTAAGCGTCATCGATCTAGTAAACCATTCTGTGGCGCAGAGGGATATAATTAGAATGAGCTACAGAGAAATGAGAACAAATATGCATAGATGTACATTCAAGATATAATTAACTAAAATAACATGCGAACATACATGTACATGTATATATATGACTTTAGATTCTTTTAAAATGTTTCTAGGGATTCTAGATCATTATTTCTTGAGACAAATTATTGTTTGAAGGAGTATGCTGTAAAAATGCTAAATAAATGTAAGAGACTCCTGAATGTAGATTTACATTATTTCACGTTTTTTTAACCAATAAACATTGGAGATGACAATGGGATGACAAAGAAAATGATTCATGCATAAATTGGTAAGAAATTATTCACAAAATAAAAGCAACCATAAGCAGATACAGGATTCTCTGATTGTGTATGTGTGTAGCGTGGGGGGGGGGGGGGGGGGGCAGAAGATGAAGCTAAGAGGAAGTACATTACAGCAAGAAATTTACATAATATATTTGGAGAGCAATGCCATTAACATGAAATAACCTTTTACATTAATGGGTGCATTTAAACCATGCAACATGCCGGATATCAGCGAAAGTGACAGGTCAAAAGGTCGAATGTAAAGGGACCACCAGGAAGCAGTGTTGAACATAGATATTGCTTTGTAAGGCCTCATTTTTCCTTTTTTTTTAAAATAAAGACATTTCTTGGTAATTTGCCCTCGGCAACGTATCTATTCAATTTTCACAACAAAATTCAGAGAAAGTCACAGGAAGGATCACAAAGTGACAGGTCATGAGGTCAAATGAAAAGGAACAATCAGGGAGTACGAACAGGAAGTAGTATTAAAGGAGATATAATTAAAACCAAACTAGCATCCTGTTAAAACCATACTGTACACCTGCTTTATTCAGGGATTTTCCCTTTAATATAGTTTTTTGTTTCATGTTTTATTTTAATCTTGAAAAAAAAATTCTTTTTTTATCTTTTAGTTTTTCAAGTTTTTGTTCTTCTTCTTTTGGAGTCATAAGTGCATGAAAATTGAAAAATTGTGACAAAAGCACTTTTTCATCAAAAAAAGTAGTTTCAGCAATAATGAAAAGTGCAAATATTTCAATATCGATTTTAATATGAATAACAGATTTTTGTAAGTTTTTACTACATTACTATACATAAAACATACTGAGAATGATTTAGGATATTGTTATTACCTTTCTTCTTGGATGCCTTTCAGACTTGCTTCAGGTTCAAAGCTTGGGGAGGGAAAAACGCACGTGTTACCGTGGACCATGGCACACAAAGACCCTCCTACCATTCCAAAGCAGTGGTATAAAGGGACAGGGACGCCAATCCGATGCTCCTACATCAAAACACAAGGTAAGTATATTACGGAACAGACCTTGACGATAATGATAATAACTTTAATGATAACATTTATCACAAACTTCTCCCCTGTTGTTTTTATGGCAAATGCATTAGGAAATTAATGTTAAAGGTCAAACCTCAACAATTTTTTTCCCTTAAGAGCCTCCCTCCACATTTCTTTTTCGTCTCGGTGGGATTGCAACGATAACAAATGTGAACCAATGATTTTACTCCTTTTATTTGACATCAGTTCAGAAGAGATCATATGGCGGGGCAGTGTCCATCATGTTTGATTGACAGCTAGACCCCCAACAATTTTACCATTCAGGTTTTACAATTTTATCGCTACTGTTATCATTACAAATAGTTATGAATATACAGTTAATAACTATCAAACTATTTCTACCCCTCGTAAATTTGAGGTTTTAGTGTCTTTTGTATCTCAAGAATAAAAGGTGGACTGGTTGAATTAGCTAGGCCTGTGTTGAATACTTTTAGAAGTATGCTTTAAGATTTCACATTCTTACTTTAATATAACTTCACAGCTACAAATGTACATAGGGTTTTATGCAACTATTCACAACCCCCCCCCCCCCCCCCAATTTTTTTTTTTTTTTAAATAAATAAATAAAAATAAATAAAAAAATCAGAGCACCTCAAGAAAAAAAAGTAAAATTTATCCTGATTAATGCACAAAAGCTCTCCATGTTTACTGCATGTAGATGGTAGTATGACACATGCTCTTGTGAAGTTTGGTCTGTGGTCAGTTCCTACACCAAACGAATTCCAACTTCAACCCTGGACCCAACACTTTACTTAACCCTAAACCTAACCTAAATAAAACTTAATAGCACCCTTAACCCTAACCCTAACCTTACACTTTTGAAGAAATAAAGCCCGCAAAAATCATGTATCATGAAGACAGAGAAGTTTAATACTCTACCTGTTCATGATATTTCAGAACAGCGCCGATGAAGTAGCTGTTGTTCACTATATTGTGATGAGTGAGAGTTGCTCCTTTAGGTTTCCCAGTGGTTCCCTGTGGAAGAAAAACATCTCAATTAAAGCAATATCTTCTTCTTTTTTCTCTTCCTCTTTTTTCAATTGATTTTGTTTCGTTTCAGTCTCTTTAAAAAAAAAAAGGGAGTACAGAATCATGAAATTCATATGTCTGGTTGAAAGTGATTCCATGCAAATATAAAACCAAAAATTAACCCTCAAACCTATTTCCTTATTTTGTAAAACACATTCTTAGCTTTGGAGAGGACAGAGGACAGTCTCGATCATTGTATTTGTATTGTACCATAATTCTATTACAGCCTTCATAATAGAGGCTCGCGTCTTCTACAGATCATCACATCTTGATCAATGTGAGAATGTCTTTGTAACCTTGCCTTCAGTTACATCAATGAGACCGACATCAGACCGAACAATAAATGGCATCACCTCGGATGGCCAAAAATCTGACAGTTTGGAAGCGGTGTGAGGTCGGTTTGACATCATGACCAAGGTATTAGAGTAGGCATTTAGTCTGTAAATTACAATCAAGTGTGATTTATAGATAAATGAACATTTCAGGAGAATAACTACCTGAGATGTCTGTACTGACATGGATTTTAACTGTAGTTTCAAACATGTGTATTTTCATTTCAAATGCTGTATTATCTTTTTTTTCTTTTTTCCTTTTTTTTTGGGGGGGGGGAGGGGGTACAAAGTTCATCTACATGTATAGGTTACTTTTAATCTTAAATAGCTTATAAATGTTTCTAATGACATTTACTAATACCAACTCATATTTGCTTTTCCTTCTTATAACAAAATAAGGCATTATATTGATTTAAAATAAAAACACTGGTTGCTGTGATGTTAAATTGAAGTCATACATGTAACTCTTTTGTTCTAGTTCTCCTTGTATCTAATCCTCCTCAGCAGTCTGCATACTAGCTGAACATTCACATTGCATCGATTGATTTCCTGATAGCAAGATTTGTAAATGTAAGCTATTGTATTTTTGTACCAGCAGAATAATGTGGATTAGGGCTTGAGTCTTTGTTTGCATAGACTGTAACTGATAAAATAGTATTATGTCATGCAAAGAAGGAAAAACAGCATTATAGGATATATGCTTTTGTCCAATTGTGCAAGTATTTGTTTTTTCTCTTTAACATGCACTCCAAGACTTGCGAAGGACTGGGAAAGGAGGAAAGGGGGAGGAAGGAATCAGGGGAAGGAAAAGGGGAAGGGTGAATTAAGCACAGGACGAGTGGGTAGTGGAGAATCAACAATATTTCAACCATAATTTAATTGTTTCAACCGAACAAAATCTCAGCCTTGTAATGTGACGGGTGCATCGTATCTAAAACGAATGAAAATATGACCAGCAAGCAAGCCCAAAGAAAAAGTCATATAAATGAAGCACTTTCCTCCTATCTGCAGAACTGGGCCTTGTTGTGTGCAGTTATCAAACACACTCAAAAATGTAATTGAGTATCAAAATTCAAAATACAGTACAGTAATCCATCAACCAATGCAAGCAGCTGCCATGTAGGCTTCAGCTGATGTTATAGACTACACAGTATGGTATTGAGCTTTAATAGTTTCTAAGCAAACAGCAGTGTGTATTCACCATTTCAAGGAACTGCTTATAATTGAGTAAGGGAGCAATAGAGCTCACCATCTATATTGGGGTAGACTATGTTAAAGTTAAACAGACCAATCAAACAAAACCTAAAAAGCTGATTAACAAACAAAGCATACGTAACAAAGGTGCTAGTTTTTAACTTTGTGTTGATTCAAACACAAGTATATAATGGTGGATCCAAGGAAAGGGGGGGGCGCATAGGGGATTTATTTGAATTCAGTTGAAACACGTACAGGCTTCTGAACGGGAATGGAGTTGTAATCTTTTATGCATAATTCAAAGTGTGAAAAAAAGAAAGGAAAATTCTCTTATACATGTACTGAAGAGTTTCATTCATTATTGATGGCATAAAACGTGTATATACTTTTGAGTCCTTTGATTCATTGTATCTTTTCTGCAGATTTGAATAAATAAACTTATCCAGTTTCAAGTGACAACCAGGTACGGAGTGAACCTAGATCCCTAAGCATTTACAACAACATAACCCACTAATGTTTGCTTATTACGCACTTGAAGATTCTTTTGGGTTAATATTCTCAAATATTAATATCTCAACGTTTGAATCTTGTATATCAACACCATTACCGGTAAGTTGGTATTCATTGGTAATACCTGATATCTGAAGACAATTCAGAACCAATAACCATGCCATGTCACAATGCCATATTCAGGCTTAGGCTACATTAATGATTAATATTGAGTAGTGATTGAGTAGCGATTGAAGAGGCATTCCGGAACGACAGGTGTGTTCCTCCTCTCAAGGCATCACGTACGCTGAACCACCTGTCTCCCAAGATGCTATCCACACTTGGTGACAGAGCATTAAAAACTACTGCTCCCAAACTGTGGAATAACCTAACGATATCTTTTCGTAACCAACGATCTGTCAATGCCTTCAAAAAATATCTCAAAACTCACCTCTTCTGTTAACAATAAAACTGTAAAGCGTATTTGAACATTATATAAACAATGCGCTATATAAATACATTATTATTAAACAAATGGTACTATTTTGCTGATCATGTCACTTATTATATATGGTTTACTGCTGTGAATCTGGCTATTGTAAAACAAATCACAGAATTTCTGCTGTTACAGCATCGAATAAAGAAAGAAAAATGTATCTTTACTTACCGATGTAAACTGGATATTGACCGGTTGGTCAAATTGTAGAACAGATTTCATTTTCTCTATATGCTTAAAATGATCCTCTTTTCCCATGTCCATCACATCATCAAAACTGAATGTCCCTGGGAAGTTACCTTTGCCCATCATCACCACAGACTTCAGCATCGGAAGACTGAAGCAAAAATACATTCATATCAATAAATATAGATTAAAATGTTTATATTCATACATATTCATGGTTTACATTGAAATTGTTCGATACCCTGATACTTATTCATATATTTATAATCAATTGTTTATATCAATAAATTGATGCATACAGAGTCATCATATAAGCATATTCATAAGGTTATCAATACATCATACATTTACATGTACATAAATTCATATTCAATTGTTTTTATCAATACATTCATACATCTTCATCTATTTAGAAGGGAAAAAATGGGATAATTATCAAATGAAAAGTACTTTATTGACTGAAATATTATTTGTGTCTTATTACATCTTTTAATGTTTCGTTGTAGTTGTTTTGTTTTGTATTGTCACATACATACCGTAAATGTTTAACTCTACTCTCCTCTTGCATCAAGCACTTTCTACTTTATTTTAAAAGGGGACTATCTTGACAGGACCGCCTTGGTCTTATATGGTACCCTTGAGTCCATGAATAATAATTCACATATGTTCTGTATTTCTAATATGTATGTGTAAACGCTTTTATTGGTATTGAATAAAATCGAACTTGGCAAGAGATAATTAGTTTTTATATATCAAGGGTTCAGTAACACAAAGATGTAACTCCATATTTTGCCAAATTGAGTATTTTATATCAAAATTTTCAGAAAAATGTGGGCTTTCCAGGAAACAAAAAGACATAACTCCACCCAACATTCCATTGAATTCAATGGCTAGTGAAACATAGACTTAACTCCTTAAGGCCAAAGTGCTCAGTGACACATAAATCACTTTTTCTCAAAATGGCCAAAATGGAGTTACGTCTTTGTGTGACTGATCCCTCGATATCCACTGTATGCTTCAGCTTGCATTAAATATAAATGGCAATCCATTCCATTATAAAAGGCTAGACAATGAGTAAGTTTCAGAAACTTACTTTTCACTTTTGATGTTGCCTGGTGTTGCTGTTGTCATTTCTGGACAGATTCCATTCAGCATTTCATAGTAGTTCTGGGTTTTGAAAGACTGTGCTGACACAATGGTTTTAACACCGACCTAAATAACAACAAAGATTATAAATATGGAATAAAACGTTTTTGTAAAATTTCCTAGAATGTTCACATGCTACTTTATGGCTCCTCCAATGATGAAAATTCATTTCCCATGACTTTCTTTCTATAATGAAAGAATAATAATGTTCATGAAGGTCCATTCATTCTTAAACAATTAAAGATCTTTTCTACATGTTTCAATAGTTAGCATTCACTTGCTCTTGGATCATTCCAATTACCACAACCATCTCATTTTCCGTTTATGTTGCCCCTCTCTTTGTTTTATCAAGTATGCCTGTCCCTGATTTGGAGGCAACTTAGTATTCATATGACAACTATTCAGAATTGGAACAACAACATGACAAGTTTGATTTGTCAAAGCATGTTATTCACTCCCTTCATTTACATATACTATGCTAAAATGCATTTTTGTACTTAATAGCAAAAATCACAATTTTTTCCCTCTTCTATATTTCATAAAGTCTTTGACACGTGTAAGCAACGTGTGATCATGTAATGTACCGGTATGTCTAAATTGCCTCATGATGCTGACCCCTGCAAAAGGGTTGCACTTTTAAGGAAATCATATTTCCTTCCTCTTTTTCAAAAATGCAAACACTGATTTGATCTGCTTCTGATGGTACAAGAAATCTAAATTCTTATTATATCTACTTAACAGATGATCGGATCGGGGGCCGAAAATTCATGGCTGGGATTACTTTGTCATGTGGAGTCGTTGTATGCCTACATTATAATCCAAGATGGCGGCCCGCATGTTTTGCCTCTTCTCTTAGACCAATATTGTTAATTTCAAAGTTATGAAAAGGCACTAAATATCAACAAACATGGTCTAAAACAACTCCAAATGACAAAATGATCCCAGCCATGAATTTTTTTTGAGCATTTGATTGCCAAAAACTTGAAAATTTTCGTCATTAAAAAAAAAAAAAAAAAAAAAAATCAGGCGATTTTTTTTTTGGCGATCTTCCGATCCGATACCGATCAAAGGTGCGAGGGTGTCGCTCCGATCTTCCGATCCGATCAGAGCCCCAACTTACAGGGTTATATCTACTACTACAATTGTATTTCATGCAAAATCAAAAATCGTATAGCAAACATCAAAGCCAGTTTATCAAGATCTTTACCTTCTTTAAGGCATATTCCAGCTCATCCTGGCGGTACGCTGGGTTGATGTTGACCAGGATAGCACCTATCCTAGCCGTGGCAAACTGAGTGAGAACCCACTCCAGGGTACTAGGCCCCCAGATACCCACGCAGTCATCCCTACCAACTCCAGTAGCTAGCAATCCAGCTGCTAGTCGGTCACACTGAAAAACAAGCAGTAATTAATGTTTAGACTGTCATTCATTTATCTATTCATTTTATTATTCAAAAGTGGTTTGTTTATGAATATGCACAGCCCTAATCTTTTACAATGCACACATAATACATAGAACTGTAGATGTTGTTATCATTTTTGTTGTATTTGTAGTTGTTTAAGTGTTAACTGGTCAACTGCTATTGCCAAATCATAAATACTCATATGATCATTCTATTATCCATTACTTGGATCAATATTCGTTATTTCACATCTGTCCTACTATGAGAGTATCATATAAGCCACTTATTATTATGTAATAAAAGAGCAGTAATTACCTGAATACAAATTAACCCCAATAATAGTATATATATTGCCTGTCCTCATCAGCTGGAGATTGCCAAATATCCTGTTTTTTTAATTATACCGATCGCAAATTATCCAGTTAATTTGCGTCTTCATCAGCCCGAAGTTGCAATTACCGGTAGTGGGATTTTTGGTCGAGATAATCATCCCAAGATATCTTGGGCTAGTTTGCCAAATATCCCGCTATTTTTCTGGTGCCCCTTCACCAGCCCGAAGACTAGCACTATGCGCTGAGCAAAATATCTCAAGCTCGAGTTTTAAGTTTCGAGGTCGAGTCTAGAGCTGATGAAGACACAATTTGTAACTTCGAGATTATTTCCCTAAACAAAAATAGCGGGCTATTTGGCAATCTCGAGCTGATGAAGACAGGCATATTGTAAACCAGTGTGTATTTAGTCAGGTAAGGGAAGGAAGCTGGGTCAGGGTCTTTTCAAGTTGCACTTTTCCTTTCCAGGGGTGCATGGTCAGGTTAATCTTCATCTTCTATGATTCAAGTTGAATGTTGATCACTTTAAAGTGCTTAATATAAAGGGCTTTTTCAGCTGCAGCACCTTCTCTTTGGAATAATTTACCATTTAAAAAATTTGAGAATCATAACTTCCTTAGAGACCTTTAAATCCAAGCTGAAATCTCATCTTTTTTAACAATACCTGTACTTGGAAGTATGACACTCATCCAAAGTCTGTTATTCTTTCAATTTTTCTACATAGATGCCTGTTATTATTATTATCATTAAATAACCAATATTACATTGTATCTTACATTGCTGACAGTGGCATATCAAGTCCAAGAAATCAAATTTGGTACTGTATGGACTACATGTAATTAAATACTTTTTTTTTTCCTTTTCAAGACAAATCTGGATATATAACTTAAAAATCTCTAGGCACTTTACAGATATTATCATTACCCTGGGCATCGGATTTATCCAAGCATTCTACATGTATGTGTGCCCCATGGGAATAATCCTACCATATAATCACTGTGAAGGCATATACAGTGCATCCCAGAAAAAAAGAAACTGAGAATTAGTATCGATGTTTTATCATAACTTAATTACAATTATAATTGATAAATGGCACATATTTGTAAAGCTTAGATCCTCCTCTTTCATTTGATGCAACTCATATGATGCATATGTCACGCATGAGTGATTAAAATATTATGCGATTTGATAATTTCAGCATGTTTCATGCACGCAAAAGTTTTGTTTTTACAATATTCAGAATGGTACTTTTACTATTTTCTCACCTCTTCTCTAAATTGTGAAAATGTTCTTCTAACTTTGTCTCTGGAGAAGACAACATACTCTCTGTCTGGGAACTTCTCAGTTGTATCATCCACTATCTGACCGATGGTCTTCCCTAGGAGGGGCAGAGCGGGGTCAGCCTGGCGGTAGCTTAGATTATGAACACAACTGAAACAGAAAGGATAGAATCGTTTTATATTAGTTCAGGGCAATTATAACAACCTGTAGAGGAAAGCTATATTCATGCAATGAAAGATAAAAGGGCACAAGCAATCAACAATTAAATATAGAATGCTTGGCTTTGGGTACTATTCTATACTTCTTCTTCTTCTTCTTCTTCTTCCTCCGCTCTATCGGAGATCAGCAGCTACCAGGGTACTGCAATTTGTCATAGCAGGCAGGATTGTCAAGTCAAGTAGAAAATGTATTAGCGATTGCATTAGCACGAGCAGAGTGGATATTGTATAAAAATGACAGTGATGCATTAATAAGAAGATTCTTTTGGTTAGGGCAGACAGTTAGAACATTCGGAAGTAGGACTGCCCGCGTGAAGGTCTCAGGGTCATCTGGACTGAATAGAGCGAGTGTCGACTGCTGTACGCCCCTGTGGTGGAGATTGTCGACCAGCTTCTGGCGATGATTCCTAAGTGGTTTACACTTGGCTATGAAGTGTGTGATGTCCTCCTCTTCCGCTTTGCACACTTGGCAGAATCGGATCGTACCCTTCTTGATTTTACACAGCCGGGATTGAGTTAGGTACGTCTGAGAGAGAAGTTGTGAGCGTACAATGATGGCTTGACGTAGAAAACTTGAGGAGATGGACTTCGGGTAAAGGTCATGGGGGGAGCTAGTGTTATTCTTGAAGAAGGCGAGAGATGATTTTGCATTGATGGCCTCACGGACTTTCTTCTGCATAGCCGAGTCAATTGCAGACCTAGTGACTGACTTCCATGTAACGTAGGGAACGGGCTTGGAGAGGAGGGAGTGAAGGTTGGGGAGCTCATAACTTCTCAAAGTTCTTTCCCAGGTCCTCGCCAAGGGAGTGAAGTTGGTGATAGCATGATGTAGTGTGCGTACCTCATATCTTGAGTGTGGCAGATTGATAAGTTGACCTATGACGAGGAGAATTTCTTGGTCAACTCGCATGCTCAGAGGAAAGAGGCCTGTGAGAAGATAGACAGCATCATCGGCAGCACTGTTGGGGAGCCCGAGAATCTTCTTGAAGAGCTGGTATTGGGATCTGTCCAGTTTATTTAGCCTTGTCTGGTTGAGCTTCATGATGGCCACTCCATACAGCATATACTATATTTTTTTTTAAATATAGAATCTAGACTATATTGGTCTTAAGCCCCGCTACTACTCACTACTAGCTACTTGATAACTTGACGAGTAAACTGACTAGCTGACTAGCTGTCATGACCAATGTTCAAATTTCCACATTTGAGACATTTCAAACTTCAAAGTAGCAACATTCAATCTTTATGATGTAACTTTAAAACTTTAGACTTTAGTTAGCCTTTTAAATTATCAATATCATGCGCAGATTCAGAGACAGCTAGAGAAAGGCAAAAGCCAAATTGCAATAGAAAAAACAGGAAAGCAAAACAGAATAAGGGGGATATGACAGAATAAATCAAACAGGAGAGGTAGAGAGAAAACAAATGTTCAGAAAATAAGATAAACATTTGTCTTAGCAACTTTACCTAGTGGTGGATAGACAGCGGCTTGTTAACGCTAACGTAAGGCGATAACAGTCCAGCCCGGAGCTTAGGCATGGCGGGGTGGCACTGGTGGTGGTAGATGAGAGGCCCACAGCGGCGGAGGAGACACGCCTCCCGTGTTGTGCGAAGGTTCGAAATCGGAGCATTATCGTTTATTTTCTGAAGCTTGCCAACTAAATCGAATTAACGAAATGATATAAGTACGTATTGGCACAACGATTCCTGCAGATTTTTTGTAATGGCCATAAACATTGACCTCGTAAAATTACTTAGTAATTTGCTCTCTCCAGCTCCACTCCAGACATAAACCAGTGCAATCCCAGGCCAGAGTGCTCGGGAGCTCGATTAGCTAAGGTACCCTGTACAAGACTAGGTGTAGTCTGATATTCATCCGCCTTTGTGTGCTTTAAAAATATGGTTCACATATATAGAGGAGCTCTATGGGTTCACATGATCTGACCAATAAACTTCCTGATCTGACGTTCTACTTAAAATATTTTTGTTCATCCTTTTAAAAAATTTGACCATAGATAAGGTCCCCACAATACTAGAGGCCCATAATCCATGTTTAAATGAGGACACTGTTAGATTTACAAGGATGACCAAATCCATTTAAACCCAGTCTGCCATTCCTCAAGCACACTAAGAACAACATTTTTGGTATGCCCCCCCCCCAATAACAACAATAAAAATAGCAATAACAACAACAACAATTATGACGATGATAATAATGATAAAAATAATACATAATCATCATCATAGTTGTCATCAATCACCATCATCACCTTACTTACAGATGGAAGCCTCGATTATCAGCATTAATATTGTTCTTGACCATTTACCAAACAGAATTCACAAATTAAAGAGCTTATCATAAAATAAAGATATAAAAATCCACTTCTGGACGATTTTACTTGAAACTCACTTTAGAAATTGTATTATTTTGTGTATATCAACAATTTGCTTCAATATTTGTCTTGTTAAAGAACATGGACAATCAAGTTATGTGGTTGCATATAATTCAATATTTATGACACCTTTCATTCTTCAGTTTTGCTCCTCATTCTCTGACACTGCATTTTACCTCTATATCTCTCTCCTTTTTCAGACCAACTCTTTCCTTCGATAGCTCTCTCTCTCTCTCTCTTTCTCTCAATCTGCCGTTCCTTATTTCAGTCACACTCTCTTTCTCTCTCTTGAAGTATTTATCTCTTTCTCCCGCTTCCTCTTCCTCTCCTCTTTTTCTTTCTTCCATTCTCTTTCTCCCTCTCTCTCTGTATCTTCCTCTATCATTGTTCACCTCTCTTCCTTTTATTTCCATACACGCAACTATCTTTCCTTATTATTGATACAATATGAGCCCAGAATTTGTATGACAAATATAATTTTTTTTTATTGCATGTGTTTAGAACAAAGACAATTTTTTTTTTCAAAAGAAAAAGGTAAACAAAATAAACAAAATGGAGAAAAAATTGTCAAAAAGAAGAAAATAATAACTGCCTATATTACAATATCACATAAAACCATCATGACTGGAAGAAATTTTCTGAAAGAATAGAATCTCTCTCTAAAAATAAACCCAAATCTTTGATTGGCATTTCATTTTTTCTACAGTCAAAAGATTTGTAACCTCAGATTAAAATAAACAGCATCCCCTTTTGGGTTAAATATTAGTTTTGAACTGTGCTGTAAATGATTTATATCTGTAGAAAATACTGATGTTAAGAAGTCACACAACTAATTACTATGAAAAAATTGTTCAGGAAAAAAAGATATTCCAACTTCATTCAAAATTGCATTATTAGTTGAGTTTGAGGTAGAGCCTACATAGTTCTGGCATCTTTGTACTTTGTAAATATCAATAGCATCAAATAGTACATGTACATGATTAAGATCTCTTAATAACTCAATGTATAGGTCCATTATCTTCAAGCAGCCTTGAACATCAATTACAAATACATAAGGCAGAAATATAGACATTTTAATACATTTTAATACACATTACAATATAATTTATATTTAAAAGTTGATTTGTGTCAACATGTAATATCAGGATATTTTGTTCAATTTGTACGGACTAAATATCTTTTTTCATACTTGATAGTCAAAAATTTAGCTGCGTCAATATTTCATATATGACATCAAGATATAGAAATTTTGACAGATTACATAGCAATTTAATTTATAAAAGTTCAATTGAGTCAACACTTTCTATATATATTAGCATCATTATTATTTTTATCTTCTTTTTTTGGCAACAACATGAAATATTTCTGGATTGAACATACTTTGCAAGTCATGCACTAATACCATACTCACTATAAACTCAATAAGACAATCAAATTGTCATCACTATTTAATCTTATTACATGTATTGCAATGTGCATCCATTCTCACTTTAAGTGGAAAGGTATCAATATTCATTAAATTACAATTTTTGCTAGATGCATACTTATACAGGACAGATAAGAATCAGGCTCAGAGCAAATTCTCACATCAGCAAAGTCATTTTTTTAATTGATAAAGAACAAGAGCTTTGAGCTAATCAGATACGAAGACAATTTGATTGCCAATTTTATACTCTACTATTACTATGCAAATATTTTGAATATTTTATAACACAAGAAAGAAAGAGTTTGGATTTCTACTCAGGTATAACATTTTACAGAATTAGTGTCCATGTTTCAACAAAATTGGAATGTTGACAAAAAATCTCTATTATATTTGAATACATGCCACTTAAAGAGAATGTTAAGCAAAGACACAATAACAAGTCACTCCGAGCCAACTTCTTCTAATTAGAAAACATTGCTCAGTCAGAATCAAACTGTTAATCTGTAAGGGTTTGTATGCTCAGATGGCTTGAATTTTGTTTGTGTGTATCATAACAATTTAATGTTAAGACATAATAATCCAAAAAAATGAATTGTGATATCATACCATCAGGTTTTCTCTTTTTTTGTGTGTGTGTGTCTGCTAAAAGCTACCATTTCACACAAGTTTGGCCTTGAAAGATCTCAGTGAACATCAAAGATCTGTACTACAGCATTTTGGAGTAGGACAAAATGTTCATATATCAGTAAAAGGACGACTGCAACCTGTTGTGTCCGTCTTGAAACCTGCATATATTGTGGGGAAAAGATTGAAAAAATCTATTATTACCCCTGCAAATCACAAAGTACAATAATAGAGAATTAAGCTCATCACACACAATAAACCGTGATTTGATTTTTAGAGAAATTTCAATTGCATTAGCTATGGAACATTGTGATTGATTGTAGCTCTGCATGATATGAATATCAAAGAATTAAAACTTAGTACATTAACAAGCCATCTGGTGACAGTAAAGTCTCTAAATTGGATTTAAATCTTAGACAATATCTCTATAATTAGACTAATAATTAAAAGAATAAATAATAGAAACAAGAAATCAAAAACTTTTCGCATATCATCCAAAACTTAAAATTGGGATTGCATTTACGTCTTTCATATTTCTTGGACTTGCTCACTGGAAATTAACAAAATACAAACTGAATATTATTTTCATTAATTCAACCAGAAACTAGATGGAACTTTGACTGCGCGCAGTCGAAAATGATGCCTCCGTCATAGAGCAATTTTTCAAATTCAAGTTCGATTGTAATCCATTAACAGGTTCTCAGAATATCGTGATTACAAGCTTTTTCTCATATACATGTATGATCCTTTGATCTTTGACCTCATGCCCCCCAAATCTACTCATTGGCTCATTGGCTCTGCAAGATACATACATGTCTTGAGTTTGATGGTAATCCATCCATCGGTTCTAATGATAATGTGATCACAAGCTATTTTTGCATACATAATGAGCCCTGTGACCTTTGACCTATGACCTTGTGACCCCAAAATCTACTCAATTAATTGGCTCTGCAAGATGCATACATGACCTGAGTTTGGCCGGAATCCATCAATCAGTTCTTGTGATAACGCGATCACTAGCTATTTTTGCATATATTATGAGCCCTGTGACCTTTGACCTATGACCTTGTGACCCCAAAATCTAATCAATTAATTGGCTCTGCAAGATACATACATGAACTAAGTAGGGCAGGAATCCATCAGTCGGTTCTTGAGATAACGCGATCATGAGAATGGGAGGTACGGACGGACGGACGGACGGACGGACGGACTACCCGAAAACATAATGCCTCCGGCTACTTCGTAACGGAGGCATACAAAAATGAATAAAATCTTACCATCAAAATAGAACCGGAAAATAATTGAATCAACATTTGTCGTTCTGACTGGAGCGTTGGCAAAGAGAGTGGGCCGTACGCCATATGCCATGGCAGCCATGTGGATGATTTCTGGGTCGTTCTTGAAAGGGTAGATGGAAACATCCATAGCTCCTAAGAGAGAGGGGAAAACATTTGATAATCAAGTTAAGTTCTGTAAAGCTGTCTTAAAGCCCCACTGCACTACTTGTAGCTACTTGCTCCCTCTTTATAGAAAACAATGCCTAAGCGGTGCCTGTTGGTCCCGCATGATCCCCTTTTTCTTGTGTTAATTGAGAGCTGATTTGATGAGATAACCACCTGTCAGTGATCTTGCAGGGAGGTCTAATTCCTTCTGGCAAAACTAGTGCAGACAGGCTTTAAGAAAGACAGTATTGGCAAAATCGGTTAAGATGAAAAGCTGAAAGGAAATCTTAGAATATATGTTTTATAAAGATCTTAGAATATATGTTTTATAAAGAGCATCATCAAATTTTGAAGAATAATTAGTAAATGCACTTGCAAATGCATGAATTTTGCTCAGGTTAAATGCTTCATGCTTCTGTGTATGAACATTGAATCAACTGGCTTAACTTCAGAATATCCTACCATGACAGTACAATGTATTAGGGTCAGGAGTAGGTTAAGAATTAGGTTCAGGGTCAGAGTTAGGGCTGGGGTCAGGTTTAGGGTCAGAGTTAGGGCTGGGGTCAGGTTTAGGGTCAGAGTTAGAGCTGGGGTCAGGTTTAGGGTCAGAGTCAGGGTCAGAGTTAGGGCTGGGGTCAGGTTTAGGGTCAGAGTTAGGGCTGGGGTCAGGTTCAGGGTCAGAGTTAGGACTGGGGTCAGGTTTAGGGTCAGAGTTAGGGCTGGGGTCAGGTTCAGGGTCAGAGTTAGGGCTGGGGTTAGGTTCAGGGTCAGAGTTAGGGACTGGGGTCAGGTTTAGGGTCAAGATTACATTTAACATTAGGGTCAGTGGTCACTTGCATTATAGAAGCATCCTGCAGTTATTCCCAACTTCAAGTTAGTAACTTGGTCTACTGTTGCTAACCTTCTAGCGGAATCGTGTGGATGACCTGGAACTTTTGCATGCCCTCGTAGCGGAAGATATTTACTGTGCTAGTTCGGTTGATGACCACCAGGAAGAGCTGGTCGTGGAGCACCACAAACTCCAAGGACTTGACTCGGAAAGCAGGGAGCTCTTGCCAGAGATCTACCTGAGATTCACCATCAGCATCATAGACATAGCTGTATGTCACAGGAATTATTAGATAGTTAACAATTTGCACTAGAAAATTCTCAACTTTTCACATCATACTTTTCACTTTATTCACACAGTCATATTTACAATGTACACTTTACCGTATCACAGAAATCTTTACTACTGACATATTTCTCTACTATTCCCACCATAAGTACTTTTCATGCTTCTCAGTATTCAAACTGAAATATACACTATGGTATTCAAAATCATATACAGCATATGAAAATATTGCTACTGACTGCTGGGCAGTATAGCGGGAAATATTGACCGGACATAGTTTCCAATGAACCCAAATGATAATACTCACATCAATTTATCAGATATTAAGATTTGATAGTATAAAAGCACGATTACTTTGTTAAATCTATAAAATCACTAGTTTTTTCTAGCAGTCTGGTCATCCATGAATAGAGTAAGATTTATGTCCAGAGAATACGCCACTTACGTGTATATAGAGACAGGCACGTCATAGTTTTCAAACGCCAACTGACCCTCAAATTCATTGGCAAAGGCCACAAAGTAGGTCCCATGGAACTCTGTGACAGCCACGTCTGCTGCAGCAGTTGTGGCGATGACTACTTCCTTGACAAAGTCACCCCAGATAGCTGACTCTACCATGAAGGTTCTCTTTGATGTGTCCAGTCGGTTAGCCACAGCCAGATGAAGGATGCCCTCGTAGACGAAGGGATGAATCTGAGAAGAATGGAGAGAAAAGAAAAATGAATTATCCCCAATGAAAAATATGGTACACAGGCTTGTTTCTTCTCATATAAAGAAACATTAATCATCCATTATAACAACAACAAAACAAAAAAATACAACAGTTTGATATAATCAAATCAATTTAGTAGAATAAGAAAAATTGTTAATTGCTTTTTAACTTTCCATTCACAACTCTTGATAAAGAATGAAATCTGCAGTTCACTATTTAGCAGAACAATTTTCATGATCTTTAATATTTAATGCAAACCCGTGGTTATACACTGGTGAATTAATATCTGCTCAAGGCTTTATTCCATCAATGATATATGGGTAAGGGCGATGTTGCAATCGGATCTTAGGTAACGTTTAGGATGAGTTTTACACAACTGTAGGTGTATTGCTTGGTCCTGGGTTTGAATTAGTCATTTGGTTCAACCATGAAAGACTATGGAGCTATTGTCAATGGAACCTGTGTTAAAGAACCTTTGCATTTCTGTTTAAGGATTTTGAGAAAAAATGGTTTATGTGTCACTGAGCACTTGGGCCTTAAGGAGTTAAGTCTATGTTTCACTAGCCATTGACTTCAATGGGGTGTTGGCTGGAGTTAAGTCTTTGTGTTTCCTAGAAAGCCCACATTTTTTCTGAACATTTTGATATCAAATACTCGTTTTGGCAAAATATGGAGTTACGTCTTTGTGTCACTGAACCCTCGATATCATCTCCTACCTTGACAGCTCCCAGAGTGTCGATGACGTTGTTGTGGTTGAAACCAGATGCCACAAACTCCATGCAGTACACTGCTGATTGGACCTCGGAGGTCACATTACCAGAGACTACGGCCTTATGGTTGGCTATGGCCAAACAGGGTTGGCTTGTCTGCGGGTCGGTGTAGTGGTCAACGGACACAGAGCCCACCCCAGCGAGACGTTGGTAGACGAAAAATTGGTCCACGAGAGGGGCCCACACGATGATGAGAATGAAGCGGTCTGTGATTCCCTCGAAGGCTGCTGGGATAACTGTACAAAGACAGGATGAAATATTACAGAAGCTTCATTACATATCTGGTGAAATGATTACACCAGGGCTCCCTAAGTAATTTGTTGGAAGGGGGCCGCACTGAACTTTTTACAGTCTCTATGTATGAGCCCTATGTAAAAAAAAATCATGATTTGGGGGTCTGGCATTTAGATTTTGTGCGGCCATGTGTCTTGGGCACTTGCTAGTGTCAGGCCTGGATTACAAACAATGAAAGGCGGAAGCCTATGAAAACAACAGACACAACATTGACAGCCAGAGGCGTAGCATAAGTTACCTTTTGAGGGGACAGTGGAACAATTGGGAGGGGGGAGGGGCACCATCCTAACTTGGAAAATGAAATGCAGATTTACAAGGCCTCTGATTACTGGCATTAGTGCGGGCTTTAAATCCAGGGCCCCATTGCATAAAACTTACCATTGACGTTAACTTTGGCATTATTGGTAACTTCCATGTAAAAGTTGATTTGATTGGCTGTTGAGTGATGTTGGTAGTCAATATTGATGTAGCATGGTGGAATACACTGGGATTAAAGATGTGTGTGAACATGCGGAGTTGGGCTTGAACTTGAAAGTAGCCGAGTTAAAAGGATCATGAGTCCTAGGGGATATTTGATTGATAAATAAATGGCTTTGGGATAGACTATGTAGCTATATGTAGGTGAAGGGACAAGGGAAAAAGAGTAGAGCAATAGGTCGAGCAATAGGTCGGGTGGGGTTAAGAACGATAAAAATACTTTGGACAACAGATTTGTTTTTGATAGAATTTAGTTAGGTGTTTGTGAAAATGGTGAATGATAACAGAGTCGTTGTGTTAGTAGTTAATTGACACTCTAGAGCCTGAGCTGTCACTGGTATCTCGAGAATATCCCAACGAGTGAATCCAGCATACCCACGCTAAAAAGTATAAGGACTTCCCCTTCATTTGACCAATCAGGAATAAAAACAGGTAAAAAGTTTGTGAGAGTTTTGGAATAGAGAGTTTGGACCAATGGAATAAGTTTTAGCCCTGTCCATTAAGAAATCGACAGTGGTGGGAGATCAGGTGACCAAAAAGTATTATGGGATGGAAAAACAAAGGAAATTAATAAGGAATTTGTTGGACTCGAGGTGCGAGCTAGATGGCTGAACGGTGTGTTAATTAAGTATAAAAAGACCCAAACCTCCCTTCCCTAAAAGACTTGCATCCCTGGACCCCAAGCATTTGCCACCCCTCTCCTTCCACCCTAAGTTTAATCCAGCCACCACAGACATCTGGAGATCCCCGACTTGCAACCAATTTAAAGCTTCGTCCACGGAATATTCTGAAAGTTGTTGAACTTCACATCTTCTGGTCACTGTGTGCTCTTTTTGGACAAGTCAATAATAGAAAGGGACTGAAACGACCAATATATAATACTGCACTTCGCTCTTCGCCAGTAGAGAGAACACTTTCAACCCAGAGTAATAGAAAGAGACAAAGGAGACCGCTGATTATTTTGTGCTCTTTGTGGAGAAAGTCAACAAATTTGACGTCACCGGTAAGACCCTCCGACGTCCCCAGGACATCGACGTCTGCTACGCCCCGACACGAGTGCGACGAGTCGAGTGAGAGGACACAAGAAAGAGCTAAGTGATCAACCCGTTCCCCAATTAAAAAGGCCTATAACCTCTAAAGACAATTAATTATCGATCGAGTAAAGACTCTAAAAGCCCAAGTAATTTAAATAATCCTTTTCCTTTCCCCTTCCCCCTCCCACTAATAACTATATTTTAAGTGAGTGATTGTTGATGTGAATGCGTGGGTAAACGAGCTCCAGTAGTTAAGTAATTAGGTAAGGGATAAACACTGAAGAAACACGACACAAGAAATTGTAACCTTTTATAAAATAAACGACCAAATGAAATTGTAATTGAAACTGTTTAATTGTGTATTAATTTGTGTGGTGGTCTCGTGGGTTTTAACTAACACCCCCCACCTCGGCCGCGGTGAGATGATGCTCTCCGACTGGAGTTAACGGACCTAAACAAAAACAATCTCCCGAAAACATAGAACCGCCGCTGCCGAGGGGTCGGGGGCGTTAGATTGATAACAAAGTTACCATCAATGGTAGGTTTTATGCAATGGGCCCAGGTGTTAATTTTGTTTTTGTCCTTTCCCCCTATTTCTCTTTTCTTGCTTTTCTTGCTTTTTTCACCACTCAATGGGTGGTGGGGGCAGGTCATTGTTTACCTAAATTGGATTGCAGTCAGATCATAAAGTTTGCAGTGGATTTTTTTTGGCAAAATAGAGAAATATATCACTGATCATTCAACTTTTTCTCCTGAAACATTTACTCATGATTTATTTTATCAAAGATATAGAGTGAAGATTGGGATTGTGATGTACACTAGGATTGGAAATTTTAAGCTTAGAGTAAGAAATCTTAAACCTTGTTCGGATGTGCAGCGGTAAACCCCAGCGTTTTTTAAATAAATTGATGACATAAAGTGTAATATGCTTTACATCTCTGTATTTTATGACACAAAGCTCAGAAAATACACATAGGACCTTTGTTGTGCGCAGTTGCTGTCAAACAGCATAACTTAGTCCGAGCAAACTGGTATATATAGTTCAACATCAACATAGGTTTTATTGTGTGAAATAAACACCGACAACACAAACTGGCTGGGTCGGGACCGCCATGATAGAACCCAGCAATAATAATGTGCGGGAATCTAGTTTTACCTGACGCGTATACATTATGGGATACCTTGTGACATCAGTCATTGCGTATCGTAGCTCATGCATAATTAAGTAATATTGCTACAGTTGCCATTCATTAACACATACATAAACTATGGCATTTTATCGCATCACATCTGAAAGAGCTTTTAGAATCATATCAATACTTTACCATCCAGCTTATAGGCGTTATATCTAAATGGTTCAAGACTGAGCGGGAGGAAGTTCAGCTCTTCACAGCCTCTGGCAACGTTTGAGGTGATGACAGCCATGAAAAGCCAACCCTCGTGGTCAAAAAATGCAACATCATGAATGTACGCCAGCTTGAGTGTCTGCATGAAGTACAAACAAACATAATTCTATTAAATTAATACCATTACTAAATTAATGCTCTTATATTCATCACAATCTGAACAAGGCTTAATGAATCAATATAATAAAAGCAGATAGATATAAAGATATTTTGTAGATGGTAAGATTAACAAGGTAGATAAGAAAGGACCACGGCCCTGTTGCATATCAGCCCATCAAATGCCACGAGCATATATCAGTCATTGTAATTTGTTATTGATAACAAGTTTTTTGAAACAGGACCCAGATTTATGAAGGACGATGCAAAAATGCAAAAATTGTCACTCTTTTATATTAAATCAATTTTATTTGGATTTAAGACAAATGTTGTAATTTAACTTTGGCAGGGGGGGGAGGGGCTGAGATAGATCTTCGCCTGTGCCTTTTCTTGTAAGTTTCTTCGTTTGATTATGACAGGTTGTTTGTTTTTTTTGGGGGGGGTTGTATCCATCAAAATATTAAATATAGAAGTGGGATCGATGCGAGTGCATACACATACAGTTCATTTATCAGATTATTCACAGGTCACTTATAATTTCATTTTATAGAGTATGTAAACTTGCAATATCTTTTTGGCAGAAGTAATCATAATGGAAGCAGAAATTTTTAAATATACCGTTCTTTAATGTCCAACATTCAATCATTTGACACAGGGTAGCATGTTTTCTCATCTGATTCAAATTCATTGGTTTTACATTGAAACCAAGATATATATTCTAAGCACTTTTCTCTGACACACACATCTCAAAAGCTAATATCTTACTTTATGAATGATAATATTTTGTTAATGTTTCCTATCTTTTCTTCCTTATCAATTTTTTAAAATAATTGTTGATATTTTCTTACAATGTCTAATAATGTATTTTATGTTTATATATGTTAAGGGGTCATTTTCTATAAGCCAATTTAGTGCTTTCCATGATCCCGCCACTATTATTCATATGTATATGTTATTGATTTGTAAATTGTTTTTAAAGTGGAAATAAATTGAATTGAATTGAACTTTCATGAAATTGGAATGATAATAGATCTTACCTTAAACCTCTGAAATCTGTCATTAACGTCATTCCACTGGTAAATGAACGAATCCTGACATGAATTATCTGCAGTCGAGTCTAAGATGGGGTCACCCATAGCCTGGAACAGCCACTGGACCCCATCAAAATAGTACCCCCTCATCTTGCCACGCCCGTTGGTCTGGATGGTTTGGACTAGCTCTGGGTATCTCAAAATGTAGGCCTGGTCTACATGAGGACAAGGACCAATGAATAGAATTTTGAACATTGGATTCTACAGCATCCATATTGTTTAGCATTTGTTTTAAGAACAGGTTTTAAAACATATACATGCAGTATGTACATGCATGGTTAGCCATCTTTGTGGATAACATAAGGCTTGATAGGAATGGAAAAATCCTGAACATAAATATTGAACATGTAGTAGTATCATTATCTATTTTATCAACAACAAAACTGTGCAAGCAAGAAAATGGGAATCGATACTATCAATGTTTCGAGTTAAGGATAATTTTCATCCATTGTATTAACAGTCAAATTATGCAAATTTAAAAATGATGCTTTCTGGTAATTGCCGGAAGCAAGATTTTGAAATGCAGCTGGTAAATCTGTAAAATAACAGATATATTGCTAGAATGTATAATAATCAACCTAAAATAAACTTTACCTGGCATTTCATAGGGCAATGAATGAAGAAAAAAAGAGTGATATTAGACCAAGTGTACAGAGCGCAAGTCCAACTTGGGCTCCCTGCCGCCCCTATTCTATGCGAGCACGTATTGGTGAGTCTGTGGTAGTCTACTCACAAGTCAATTTTGTAGTCATCAAGAATATATTTATATGTACAGTATATCTCTTTATAGCAGTAATATTTTAAGATTAAATTTTATTATAGTATAGTCACATGGAACCCCTAACATATAACAATAATATTTTGGGGTGATTGGTACCTTTAAAAGTATAATTTATCACAACATTCAGAAATCCTACACACATGCACAAAAGATCATCTTACTCTGGAATGCATCGTGCATGTCGTCAAGGAGATGACACTGGTCATCCAGGAAGTCTTCAAAGTCGTCCAAAGCTGGTGTACTGTGTGTACGCAGATAGAGCTCCACCACATCCTCACCGTCGATGAGAGCCGACGTCGTGATGTCTGAGAAGGTCGGACTGGTCTGCAGCACCAAAGGACCTGTGATAGTTTGTTCGCCTGATACTAGAAGCTGGGGGACAGTAAATTTCAGATATGATTATTAATTGTAGTCTTTACCATAGCAATTGACAGTGATGCAAAACAAAAATTTGTGCAGTTCAACAATTTACAAATCTAAAAATGCCCTCTTTCACAATAGAAAAAGTGTTATACATTCAAACCTGTCTATATATAGTGACCGCCCAAGGGAAACACAAAAAGTGGTCTATATAGACACGTGGTCTTTGTAGAAAGGTTTCTTTAGTGCATGTTTCAATGAGAAACCATTTTCAAGGGAAACTAAAAATATGGTCTTTGTAGACAGGTGGTCACTAAAGCAGGTTCGACTGCATATGCTAAAATATAATATTTCATTACACATTATATACTGTGCACTTACAGAAGTTGTTTTAATGTCTTGTACATCAGCTCCTTGGACTGTACCAGTCACATCCATGTTTCCAGAGAAAAGGACCCCAAATTGAAATGTTTTGATGGCAGTGACTGTCTGGTCTCTGGACTTGGTCATGAAAGTTCTTGGAGAGAAGTTCAGCCCACTGCATAGGCCTGTCACCCTGTTTGATTGAAGGAGGAGTAGACGAAGGGAGACGAAGAGATGGAGTAGAGAGAGGGAAGAGAAGAAGGAAGGAAGGAGGAGGAAAAAACGCAGGAATATTCTGGATTTAGATCCACAATGTCTCTAAGTGATTTACAGACATATTATTACCCCGGTCATCTAAACAGACCCAGAACAGATTCAGTCCACATTCTTGCAAGCGGTATTACTAAAGGTAATGTTTAAACTCCACCTAAGAGTGTAGAGTAATTAGGTAGAAATGACTACAACAAAATTCACATTTCACCCGGGTAGTGCATAGAGTATAATAATGGAGCAAACATTTCCTTCCACGCTGTTTCTACAAATTACCAACACTTATCTTTAACCATTATCCCTCAAAACCGAGGATCACTCACCCTACATCTTCATCAAAGTGAATCGATTCAAATGCTAGATCTGCAGTGATGGTATAGCCAGAGGCCTTCAAGACTGCATGCCCTCCCCAGTCCGATACATCCACTCCGTCAATGGTTATGCTGTTCTCAAAGTTGAGATTCTGCCCATCAATGGCGACGTCCGAGGTGAAGGCCTTGAATCCCGTCACCAACTGGACTTGATTGGTCACCATCACGTTGTCCGAGATGTCCACACCATCGACGGTGCCGTCCACAAGCAAGTCACCTGGACAAAGAATAACAGGGAATGAAACTTGTTTCTTGAGGAGAGCCATCCCAAAACATGACTCTTTTGGATTAAAATATGTTTTCTCTCAGGGCTAGCTTGTATTAAGACCTATATGGACACACCTTCAAAAGTAAGTAAACTGAATTAACATATCTTGAAAGGTGCAGACCTTGTATGAACACATCTTGAACAGTAAAAAAATAGTGCAAATATGTCTTGAACAGTCAAGATCTAGGGTGCACGTGCCTTAAACAGTGAAAACTTTATATGTGAACACATCTTGAATGGTAAATATCCTGTATGAACACGAATTAACTAGTAAAGATATAGTTTGAACATAACTCAAACAGTATAGATCTATACATGCATGAATAAAGACACCTTGAACAGTAAATATTGTGCAGTATGAACTTGAGGGCAGGTGTACCATGGATCCATGCATGTGCAAGTCCCTCCACACACCTGAAGAGAAAAGGGACTCCAATTGAAAATCTTTTTCCACTTCATAATACACCAACATAATTGTTGGTCATCGACATCAGGACATGGCAGAGAAAAAAATAATACAGATACAGATAAACCCTGTAACATTACAGATGTTGTACATATTTTATGAACGCACCTTTGATAGAAATACACTGCTGAAACGTCTTGACACCGTAAATGGTATCCACCGCGTCGTCCATCCAGACTTCCTCATGCAGTTGGTCCATGTCCCACGTGTTCAACAACCCATCTAGGTCCAGGGAATTCACCGTGATAGAAGCACCGGTTGCTATGATAACATTGCCGGTGTAACGCTTACTTCCGATGATGGTCTGCGAGGAGGCTGAACGGCTGAAGTAGGAACTATCCAAGGCTTGGATGTCGACTGTCTGGAGGTGTCCACCGTAGTTGACATTCTGGATGGGGGATAGGGTTTTCTTAGTTAGACATGCCCATACACTATTGCATGACACAACTCGCACAGTCACCCACAGGTTTATGACTATATAATCATGTGACCAAAACAAAAAAACAAAAAAATATTCTACAGTTTATTGCTGATTGGGATCATTCTTTTATTTGAGGACACATAGCACCATGCATGCATGCTTGTCAACTAACCATTTCAGCAGTAACGGCCGACAGAGTGACGGGTGCAGTGATGGTCTGAACAGCATTATTAACGTCCGATGTCACCACAGCACGATCTGCAAGGTCGGATACGTCAACGCCGTCGACGGTCCCTGTCACTGCTAGGTTTCCATTGATTGTGATCCCATCTTAAAACAAAAGAAATACAAGCACAGTGCAACATTTAGATCATTCTTAAGTTGTGACAAGCTTCAAGCAAAGATCATATTATTTTTTCTTTCAAAACTCTCAAAAAAAACCTTGGCATTATGATTTAATGCAAATGTAAAGAAAAATACTTGTATCAAAAGGCAAAATCAACATTACACAATGGGTTTCTTTGTCAACCGATTAAACTGATCCAATTGATTTCAGTGCATTGCAACTGTCCAATACCACAGACAAAAAACATGAGGGAGATTTAGAACCTGTGAAAAGAGCATGGGATCTGGAAGTGGATGGCATAAGAGGGAAAGGAAGAGCAAAGATTTCATGGAAAAATATGGTGAAGAAAGAAAGCAGTAAGGTTGGTCTAAGTGAGGAAGATGCTAATTGAGATAAGAAGAAATGGAGGGAGGGAGTGTTATCATGGCACAAAAGTCGGTAACCCCTAATATAAGAGGGACAATTCTGACTTTAATAAAATGATCATGTTGATGATGCAATTAATTAGATTAATTAGATTTTAGGTGATGAACATCCCCCAAAGGAAAGTAGAACAAAACATCTTGAACTAAAGCGGATAGTATTTCAATTTTTTTAATTGTTTTATTACTATTAGAAACGTATAAAAAATTCACATTAGCCAATTAGTAGTATTGTGTTGGACAAATCTTGCCCCCAGCACTCCCAAACACGAAATGACTACATTTTTACAAAATTATCAATTCTATAGCCGAGTTGACTTGATTTATAAGGGTGGACACTCACTTGAAAATGTTTTTCCGGCTGTGATGTCTTGGTTGCCAACATTCTTAACGACCTTATTCCACAACTGCAAGATGTCAATCGTATTGACCAGAACAACATTGATATCTGCACCAAAGGAGGTTGCAGCTTGAAAGGTCTTTGCTCCTGTAAAAACTTGATCCTGAAATTAGGAGAAGTTATACAAGGGAGTTTACATCATTCACAATGGCATTGTCACAAATAATATAGAGCATCAGTAAACATAAAGAAAACAATTTATTTCTTAACTTTGATTAAATCAAATAGTCAGAATTAACATACCTTTGAAAGTGTTTTGAACACTTGCTTTTTTTTATCCTTACAGGAACTGTTTTACAGGTATACTTACCATAGTTACTTGTATATCATATTCAATGATTAGCATTTAACAATTAGTCTCAGAGCAAACTCTTTGGTTCCTCTTAAATTGTGTCACTGGTCTATCACTTAACCTTGATTATAATTTTACGACTTGGGTCTCTCTATAAACAAAACACTATTATTGTACATTGCATTTGGTATTACTCATTAAGGCCTTTAACCCTTACTGTACTGGGCTATTTTGAGCACCCTCTGACTGGGGGGGGGGGCCTGGAAAGCCCCCCCCCCCTATGATCTCGGCCGTCGAATGCCCGATGAACACGAAGATTTGCATATTTGTAGATATTTACGTAAGGAACAAGACGGTATAATTAGTTTTTATATGCTAATTTTATGCATTTTACAGAAAACTCTACAAATTTGTCCGTAGACTTGTGAAGAATCTTGAAAATGTATTGAATAAATGTTTCCTTCATCTCAAATTCATGAGGTTTCATTATTTTTATGATATTTGAAAATACATAGGTTAATTTGCATAATTTATGAATACGCAAATTACGCATTCATGAATATCAAATCTAGAACTATATTTAGGGAACTAGGATCATTACAAAAATTGTCAGACTCCACTTTTTGAATGTTTTAACTCATTATTCATATGAAACATATTTTCTAACACAGAATAGTTATTTGATGTAATTAATAATGATAATTTATGCAAATTTGATGCGATTTTCAACTATTTATTTTCTTATGTATTTTATTGTTTTTTATTTCTTATTATATCTATTGTTTTATTTCTAATGTATTCTTTTGTTCTGGAATACATCAAGTTACTCTGAGAAACATATAAAAGCAATTTGATATCAATTCATATCTTCACATTTCTGCTTGTACAAGAATATATGCAATTATAGCACTTTTTTGATGACATGCGCATACTAATTGTTATGTAACACCTCACAGGTATATCCGATTTTGACGAAAATGGTATCAAAATGTGCGTAAGACTTGAGGGAAAAAAGTCATGAAACGACATTTCAAAATTCCAAGCGGTTGCGGCGCGATCTCCGAAAATGTCGTAGTTCCAGTACAGTAAGGGTTAAAAAAAAGAGATGTTGTATTGCCCTTCAGGCGCCAATACATGGGTTGGACAGTCAGAAATTATTTTTGTTTAACTTTTTTTTCTTCTTCCTCTTTAGGCTGATATTTCTCAGTTTTGAAAGCTTTAATTTTTGTTTTCTCTAAAAAATAGGAAAAAAAAATTAAAATTAAAAGCAGACCATAGATTTCAAGATTTGGGGTAGGTCGCGAAGGGCAATACAACGTCTTTTTTAAAGGCCTAATGTCCAAGGAAGTATGATCTTACTGCTGTATCCGAGATTGCTACATCTCTGCTGATGAGGATCCCATCTACTGCTCCTGAGGCAGTCACATCATCCTCCGATTCGACATCAGAGAACTCGAGTGGAACTGGAAGACAACGGGAACGAATGCTACTTAAGATGGAACTAAATCATATCAGCAAATAGTTCTAATGATGTACAGCTCTTATAATTTGGAGGCACTGTGGTAGGGTAGAGCAGTGGCCGGTGACCAAAAGGTGCCTGGATCAAAACCAATATCTCTGTTATCTCTTTCTCCCTACTCCCCCTCCCCCTTCTCTATCTCTCTCTCTCTCTCTCTCTCCCCTACTCTCTCTTTTTACATCCATCTTCCTTTCTCTCAAATACTTTTATCTGTATCTTCTTCTATCTTTCCCTCTCTATCCTTCTCTCACCCCATTTTTCTGTCATTCCTCCCATCCCCTCCCTCTTCAAATTTATTTCATTAACAAAAGGACGCATTAAACCCTTCTCACTTGTATACTCAGTATCCGTGATCTTTGCAGAGTGGGTCCACATATCCTCCACCACCAGGGCATTAACGGTGCTGCTGACAATGACGTTGTCCTCCATCGCGACGTCGACGGTTTGTACCGTGCCCTGAACCGTCTGGGTTGTGCCTTGGGTCAGGACTGTGTCGAAGAAGCCTGGAACGCTGATTCCATTCACTACATCTGTTGTTTTTTTATGAAAGAAAGCACAAACAGATATTGATCAACAATATTTAAAAAAGCATTATTTGACATCCGTATTCGCATAGATAATGATTGTAATCTGTTTATCTGGTAAATCTGATTTGTAGTTCAGGATTGAAAGAAAAAAATTGATGGCAAAATTTCACTTAAATTGTATCATAATGTGATAGAGGAAGTCATTTGAGACACATTTCTGCAAGGATTTTCAAAACAAATGTGTTTGATGTCGAATATTGATGAAAGAAGAGTAAAATGTCTATTAAGACCAAATAGGGCTTGAAAATGTGGTAAATTTAATTTGTTTTTTCAGGATTGTATAGATATGCCCCATTTGCATCTATCTTCCTGAATAACTGAAAGTGTGTGAACAAGGTTATTCTGAGTTATACCTTACCATTAAAATCTACATCAGTAAACGTAGGGCTTGCTCCAAACGTCTTGGCACCGGCAATGTCCTGATTTCCCGAGGTAAATACAGCATTATCGTTCATGTCAGAGACATCCACTCCACCAACAGTGCCTGAGACCACAAGGTCATCCCGTACAGTCAGAGACTCAAAGGTTTTGCTTCCTGTTACTACCTGGGCACCTAAAACAAGAACGGGAATAAAACCATCACGTATAAGGCATCACTGCAATAAATGGTATTACTACAATGCATATATCACTATAAAATTAGTTTTTGTATAAATATAAATATAAACTGGATGCGTCCCCATAACATCAATGATGAGAACATTTACATCAAAGTTTGAGTGAGTGATGACATAAAATTAATTTCACACAAAATCTAACAAACTATGTACACAATTTTCACAACTACGAAGGTAAATGATGTCTTCCAAAGGATTGTTACCATGTGTTGAAGAAAGAAAGATGAGAATGTTGAGCTAGATGTCTTGACCATTTGCCAAACACTGCAGAGGACTTCCTATATTTCTTATTGACCGCAACTCAACTCCAGCTTGAAATCCATCACAAATATTTACTTCAGAAAGGGTGACTGTAACTGTACAACTGCATGGAAGTCAATCCATATCAAGCACAACTCTTTCTAAGATGGGGCGTAGATGTAACATCTCAAAGAACATACCTGAGCATTTTAGTGTATCAGACTCCACATCCTCGATGTCTTCTCCATTCAAGTCTCCACTGAGCACTAGGTCACCACCGATCGATAGGCTGGTGGAAGCGGTCACAGTCTGGCTGAAGGAGGTGTCGCTGGTGATCGTCTGGGCACCACTGATGGTCACTGCATTGTCAAGGTCGATGCCTAGAACATTGAGGGAATGGTATAGGTTTTGTGTTAATATACTGTGCAACTGCAAAGAACAGACAGTTCAGGTATCAACGGATGATTGTTTGAAAGCTTGTTATGCAAGCAGTCCTTTTTAGAAGAGTCCCAAATTAGGCCAAATAAATAAATATATGATTGCCACCACTGTAGCATTAAAGAATGTATCCTATCTGGAAGACTAGTGTAAACCTCATATTTCATTTAACTTGCATAGATTTACATGTTTCCACAGCTACAAACTGTAAAGCCAAAAAAATGAAATTCTGCGATATAGTAAACTGTCTTTTGTGTAGCACACACAAAAAAGTTTGGTAGAACCAATTTACAGCAAGAAACCTCAAATTTGTACAACTTGCAAAATTGTGAGTTTCTAGTTTTACACAATAATTACCACTAATGTTGTATAAATTATATGCCCAATATCATTAGTAACACCCAAGAAACATATGTAAACATAAACTTACCATCAATATCACCAGTTACACTTAAGGTCCCTCCTATGTTTACATCATTGCTGAACTGCCATGACCCTGAGACGGTCACCTCTGATGCGCTGTCCAGCTTGACCGCCTCGCTGTAGAGTCTATCGATGGGCACCCTGTTGATGTTCGAGGTGACCTGGACATTCTCACTGGACGTCACTGCGGTGAAGGACTTGGCGCCGGCGATTGTCTCCGTGGTGCCTTGGGTGACCAGGTCCGAGAGCGTGGTGGAGGTTCCAAACGTGTGTGCATTGTTAGTGGTGACTTCATCTTGGAACTGCAGATGGAATACATAATGAATTATTTAATGCACTGCTCAGCTTTGGACAGGCCATTAGAAGTCAAGTGATATCCGACTCCTTAAGGTAATACAAAGTTTTGGTATGGGGTCATGAAATTTGGTTCAAATGAACATATTGGAAGCATATACGATCCGACAATATTCAGCGATCGTCGTTGCGGTTGAAATTGAGTCTAAAGTTATGAAATCGAAAATAATAACTCTTTATGTTGTATAGCCCCCTCTCAAGGTCAAGATATCAATTAAGATACAAAAAAATGTTTTTTGACTAAAATCGACCGATTAGCTATTTCCATTTGTAAATTATATATCACAACTACATATTCAGAGATTTTCATGGTCGCAGCTACCATTAAACGGCCCTAGGCGCTATTTGAAATTTATCACAATTTACCGGGAGCACCAGAAAATGTTAAATATTCAATTTTTCTTGAAAGCAGAAGTGTTTTAAGGGCTTAATTTTCTAGTGCTTATAATACATCCACAGGGGCATCCAAATGTATCAAAATTGTAAAGAATCACTATCCACCCAATTTTCAACATTTCCCAAAACTTTGTATTACCTTTAACCCCTTCTATGCCATTTAACTTCAAAAACAATTACCATAAATTTTTTTTTGAGTGTTACTATGGGTTTCTTTCTGTCCTTCATTATACATGTATGAAGTAGTTGAAATGTAATAACAAAAGCCATTGGCCTGAGAAATTCTTGCTTTTAAGGAGGACGTTATGAACTACTTAACCAATACTATGACATATGAAAACATATCAAAATTACAAACATCGTAGCATGGATCAAGCCATTGAGAGGGTACTGGCATCAGCAGAGGGTGTAGGGATTGAGGGAGGTAGCTAGTTCTTCCTCGGTAAATAAAATGAAAATTAACAATAACAAAACCATTAATTGGGAAGGGGGTCCTAGCTATCATCTTTTATGCTTGTCCTTACCAAATCTCCCTTTCCTTTCTCTTTTTTCCTCTTTTCACCCCTCCTCTCGTAACATCTCCTTTTCTCATCCTTCCCCCTCTCGCTCTTGTCTCCCCCACTCTCCCTATAGCCAAGCAACCATATAAAATTAACAATGACCATTTCTATCATCTTTTATTCTTGTCCTTACCAACTCCCCCTTTCATTTTCTCTCTTTCTTTTTCTCTTGTCGTTGTCCCTAATCTCCCCCTAGCCAAGCCACTGTAGAATACCTCTATATTTCCACTGAAATCCAGATCTCCAATAGAGCTCAGGTCTCCACTGCTGAGCTTGATGGCATTGTCATCTAGATCATTGATGTCCACTGTATCAATGTGCAAACTGACCGTCAGGTCGGCTTGAATGTCCACATCCTTCGCAAAGGTCTTCACACCTTTTGAAAGATAACGTTGAGTATATTGACCATGCATGTACATTCATTGTGGAGGAAGCCTCTAGAAAGTTTGAGATTATATTAACAAGTGGCAATAGAACTTGTGGAAGACACAATTTGAGCATTAATATCTTGCAAGATTTTTGAATCATAAACAGGACATAAATGAATCTAGAACCTGATAATTTTTAGATTTGATGAATAAAACAATACGATTCCAAGCACACAAAAAACTAACATTTGCAGCACTTTGAAAAGGCTTAGAAATTTGGGTTACACAATCTATTTCTATGTGTGTACCATACACAAGGAGGCTAGTTTGCTCAGTCAGTAAAGCGTCTGCCTGTCAAACCAAAGATCGTGGATTCTATTCCAACCCAGGGGGATGACTGAAGCCTGCATTGTGTGTTAATGTGCCCCTCCCCTGTTTCAATGGAGGCCCCGTGTAGAGGAGAGTCACCACCTTTGCACGTTAAGAACCCACTGCACTATGCATATAAGAGTAGGGGGAAACCCCTGTGTAGTGGTTCACCGGCCTGCACACCCCCAATCAGTTATACCAGGAGGAGAGACCCGAGGGTTACAGTGATTCAGTTTGCTTTTCGCCTCCCATATGTATACAATATTATACAATATAATGATAATGGTAGCAATATTTTTTTCTTCACTTTTTCATCCAACTTTTATTTACGTATTTACATTTAAGATGGCAAATCCCAGTAGTGATTCGAAGAAGAATACACAATTAATCTACTTATTTATAAATATTCATAAATTAAAACAAGCCTCATTCTTGATGAATACAATTAAAATTTGACAAACCTGTAATCTCCTGGTTCCCATAATTGAAGACAGTTTTGGGAACCAGTGTCTTGAGGTTGACACCGTCGATCCTGTCATTGATGATGGTGTCATCGTTGAGGTAGATGTCGGTGCTAAACTCAACGCTTCCACTCACTTGCTGAATGTTCTTGGTGTTCGTAGCAGCCGTGAGTAGGAGGTCCAGGTTCCTGTAAGGTTCTGGATGAATTTCAAAGTTTCCCTTGCAACAATTTACTTATTTACTGAACGTTATATTTCATTCAAGTTTAATCTACCTGTATCTTTTTATTCCTCATCAGTTTAAATGAATTGTTTTTTATGTAAATGTGGAACAAATAAACTTCAAACTTCACACTACAATAAAGGAAACATATCAAACTTTAATTTGCCACAAATGTTGATAGGCATATTCTCAAGTGTGCCGAAGATGCCAATAAGCACAAACAATAGGGACCACTCTATATTGATAAAATGGCAAATCCTGGAATTTTGGAATAAACTAGAAGGCATTATTAGGATGGCAAATCCCTGGAATTGTGAAATCAACAAACAGGTATTTATATGTTAAATGGCAACTTCTGAAATTTTGAAAGTATTTGAAAGCATTGGTAAAATAGCAACTTCTGGCATTTTGAAATCAAGTAGAAGGCATTGATAAAATGGCAAATAAATAATAAAAATAAAAATATTCACAATTTCTCAAGTAGTTTAAATCATAAAAAAGTTTTAATTAAGTCAACAAATAATTACATTACATCTTTGCAATGCACAACATTTTTTGCCATAAAAATGGCCATCTTAAAAATAATCACAAAATGTTTAGGTCCCAAAATTGTCTGTTTTTGGCTTGTTAACATATGCTGTGGTAAACTATGTCAAGTTACCACAGGGATTTTCAAAGTACATTCTAGCTTACTGCACTTCACATATTTGTATCGTATAACACACAAATAAGTGGGTATATGTATATGCTTCCCCACTTGCCGTTCATTTAGTAAACTTAACACGGCAGCAGTTAGCTTAAACCCTAGTGGTCTACTATGGCATATCTGAACAAGCCGTCACACAACTGTGTTTCCTCCTTCCTTACCTAGAGCATTGATATTATTGATGTGGTCCCGAAGAACAAGAGACTCCAAAGTGACATCGTTTGCAAACTTTAGAGGTCCCGCAATGTTTAACATGTTAGGGTTATCAATCAGAACAACGTCATAAGGGAAGTTCAACGAGTCCACGGTACCCTCTGTAGTTATATCGCCCTCTACAGTCAGTGGGCTGGTGAAGGTGTATTCAGCTGTAGGAGGCAATAGACCATAAATTAGTTGTTATAAGATGTTTTAACTACGACATATCCCCTCTTTGTAACAATTTAACTGGGAGCAGTAATGTTTCTTGCCAGAATAACATACCAGCTTTCAACGTTGTGAGCGGATAAGCAAATATTTTGATATTCTAATTATGTCATCAAAATACACTAACACGTTATAAAAAAGGACAAATAGACCATCCTCATTTCTAGAATATGAGCAGATGGCAACAAGGCAACAGCTGCTTGAATAATGGTAATGTAAAAAAAAAATCCTTTGGTAACGTAAACACCCCCCCCCCCCCCCCCCCCACCTCCCGGGGGGATTTTTAAGTGATCTATTTCACCTGATACATCCTGCTGCACAGACAGGCGGAGGATACCAGCATCAAGGTCCTCAATGTCCACTCCGTCCACTGTATTACCGGCGGTGACCGTCAGACCGTCACCCATGGTCACTGCCCCATCGAACGTCATGGGTCCTGCAAGGTTACACAAAAGATGAAACTGGTCAAACATTACATTCTAGTACTAAATTATGATATAGTTCTGGGCAATGATATAGACGGACATAGAATGCCAGCGTCAAGGTTCTCCAAGTCCATCCGGTCCATCATACTACCATTATTGATTGTCAGACCACTGGCCATTGTCAGAGCCCATTGAATGCCATGGGCCCTGCATCGACAGCTAGAAAGGATTTTAGTCAAAGAACTTTTAAGGACTGAATTGTAATATATTTCAAGGTGATTCCATCAAGAGGGGTAAAATACCTGAATCACGGTCCTAGACCTCCATCCCTTCACCGTATTACCATCAATGACCAGCACCCAAGGTTTTAAATAGCTCCATCAAACGTCTTGTAACCCGCAAGGTCACTCAGTTGGGAAAACATGACATGAGTTAGAGGCCTTTCACGAGAGTGAACAGATAAGTTACTATACATGTATGTGTGGGCTACAGTGGGAGTAGAATGGTATATTGTTCAAGGCTCTGGATTCTTATACATGAGGTCTTGGGTTCAACCAAGCTTGTGCTTCCATCCTTGGACAAGGTGTTTAGTCTACGTTTGTCCATCTTGACCCAGATGTATTGAATGGGCACCTAGCAATGCTGGGGTCCTATTAATACCTGATGAGGCTTCCCTGGGTAAATCAACACACGTATATGTGAAATCCATGGGATTAAGCTTGACCTCTGTACGTCATTGCCATATGTAGCATGTTACTCATAAGAACATATCGAGGGGTCAGTGACAAAAAGACGTAACTCCATTTTGGCCATTTTTAGAAAAAGTGGTTTATGTATCACTGAGCACTTGGGCCTTAAGGATTTAAGTCTATGTTTCACGTACTAGCCATTGACTTCAATGGAGTGTTGGGTGGAGTTAAGTCTTTGTTTCCTGGAAAGCCCACATTTTTCTGAACATTTCGATATCAAATACACACTTTGGCAAAAGATGGAGTTACATCTTTGTGTCCCTGAATCCTCGATGTGACCAGTCCTGCCCCTTACCGGTGATGTCATGACTTCCATCAAGGTAGACTGCTTCATCCTTGAGCTCTGATAGGTCCACACCATCCACCGTGCCTGTAACCACGACATTCTCAGTAGCTGTGATTGAGGCGCTGAAGGTGTACGTCCCAGTTACGGTCTGAGCTCCGCTGGTCTGCAGGACGGAAGCGGGCGTCAGGGTGACACCGTCGACAGTTCCACTGACATCAAAATCTCCTGCATAGGTGAGACATTGATAATAAATGCTTGACTATACAACAGTATTCATTTAAAAAAATCAGTTTCTTTGGATTTATTGAAAAATCACTTTAAAGTACAAAATTAATGGAGTACCCGGTACGCATTAAACTAAACAAAATAAAAAATAAAATCAATTTTTATATCCACATTATCATTATAAATAAAAATGAAAGGAACATACACTTTAGGTGGAGTATAGTCATATAATTACATGCATTTTTGGTGAGCCATGTAATAGGCTCTTCAACACATGCTGTGGTGATGATTCCAGGGTGCAAAACACCCTAATCCTAAGCATGGCCGGAGGCTTCAAAAAAAAAAAATCTCCCCTACAATGGTATTGGCAATGGTACTGGAGAGGATATTGGCAATATGGTACTGACAATTGTACCGACAATAGTACTGACAAGGGTAATGTAAAGCTACTGACCAGGGTAATGACAATGGTACTGACAAGGGTTTTGACAAGGGTACTGCCAAGGGTTCTGGCAAGGGTAATGACAACGGAACTGATAAGGGTACTGTTAATGGTAATGACCAGGGTACCTACCATGATACCGACAAGGGTACCAACAAGGGCACCAACAATGGTACCGACAAGGGTACTGACAAGGGTACCGACAAGGGTACCATCAAGGGTATTACAGACAAGGGTACCATCAAGGGTTCCGACAAGGGTACTGACAAGGGTAGTGACAAGGGTGATGACAAGGGTACCGACTAGGGTACGGACAAGGGAACTACTGACGAGGGTAATAAATATTTGAATGCACACTCTAAACTGGCATATGTGCTTTGGTCCTCCCGGCCGGGCTTACAACTTGAACTCTCTGCTCTCTGCTATATAACCCTATAGTAACTCTAACTTAACAACTATTGAAACTAAAACCCAACTGCAAACCGTAACCATAACCATATATCTATGACAAAACATCTACATGTTTATACGTGTAATAATATCAAAGCGGGACTGCACTACTGGTAGGTACTTGCGCCCTCTATATAGCAAACAATGCCTAAGCATTACCCGTTGGTCCCCCATGATCCCCTTTTTCTACTGTTAATTGAGAGCTGATGTGATGAGATAACAACCTGTCAGTAACCACACAGGGAGGTCTAATCCCTCCTGGCCAAACTACTGAAGATAGGCTTTAAGGAATTAGTTTCTTACCGTTTGCAGTGATCTGACCGGTGAATGTCTTGACCCCTGTGATGGTGTGATCTCCAGAGAGTGTGACTACTTCAGTCATATCCACGTCATCCACCGTACCCGTCGTGGTCAGTTCTCCTGTCACATCGATACCTCCCAAGATCAGCAAGGAGACAGATATATCCTAGCAAGCAGAATAAATTATCATCATCAGTAGCTCATATTCAGAAGCCAAAAGATTAGCACAGGATAGAGACAAATGGAGAAAGAAAACAAGAAGATGTGCAGATGTGGTCGCCAATCGCCAGCAACTGACGGTGGCAGCCAGGTAGCCAGGTAGGTAGCTCTTATTGAGCCAAGGGGTTTTGTTTGATCCAAGATTGTTTCGGAATGTAAACAAAGTTTACTTTCCAAATATCTACTGCTTTTGCTGATGATACTAACATTATCATTTCAAACATTTCATTTATATAGAAACTATCAAAAAATTCTGTAACTTCTTTGTTGACCATTATTCATAGTAAATGATCAAAGTTAAAGTGTCAACGTCTGAAATGTTGTCAAAAGTCTATGCTACATGTACTACATATTTGGAATACATTATTTGTGCTCTAAACAGTAACATGGATACAAATTGATGATCAAATACAGTTCCTTGTAGAGCAATTACTTATATCAATTATCTATCTTCGACACATTTTCTTTGTTTGCTAATTCTTTTTTTTTCTTTTGTCATTTATCACATGGCGAGAGATCTGGTCTTAAAATGATTATCTTACAAACAATGTCATTCTTTTGACATCTTTATCTAATCTCCTACCAAATATTCTTTCTTTGAATACTTGCAGTTTCATATTCACCAACTTATACAACAAAATACTTCTGAGCACCCCCCCCCCCCCATATTTCAAATAAAAATGAAGATAAAAGTGATACTTACTACATTTGAAGTTTTATCTATATATTCATCATAAAGATCTTGAATATTGATGTCAGTGTTCACAAGGTCAGAGGTTACTGTGAGAGTCGAAGGTGAAAGGTCACCTACAGCCTCAAAGGAAGCAAATGTCTTCAGACCTGTACATAATGAATAAATGTCTTCCAAAAATAAATCACTGCATGTGTTTCATTTAAATTTCAGTTTCTCTGATATACTTTGAAACCTGTATATTATAAAGACCAAAGGAAACTAGAAAAAGGGTCTTTATAGGTAGGGGGTCTTTATGTAAAAGTTTCAAAGGAAACAAAAAAGTGGTCTTCATAACCTCCCCCCCCCCCCCCCCCTCCCCCCCACTCAGTGTTATTTAGGGTACGTGTATGCTCGTTCCCTCCCTTAGAAAGCACCCCCCCACCCCTATCTCATGACTGCCAACATTTCTGAATCAGCCTTTCGCAGGCTTTTTGCGAGCAAATTTCTTGCCTTGGAAACCACAACCTAATCTTAATTATTTGAAAAGGTAAATCAAGAGCATATGTTTCCAGAGCAAATTTCATACCACCAGATTATGTCATACTATTAGTATCATTATCAAGATGGCGTCACCTTTGCCTGGGAGGGGATAGGTGATCTAAATCACTGTAACCCTCTGGTCCCTTCCTCCTAGTATACCGGTATGGATTGGGATGTGCAGCCGGTGGACCACTACAGCAGGGTTCCTTCTACTATTATATGAATATACTGCAGTGTGTTCCTAACATGCCAAGGGGGTGACTCTCCTAGAGCTACACAGGGCCTCCATTTAACATCCTATCCAAGAGACATAGTGTTTTCCTCTATAACCTAGCATGCTTCTATAAAACAGGGGAGGGGCATGTTAACACACCTGTGATAGTCTGAGGAGTTGTATTTAGGAGCACAGTATTGGGAAGCTCGTTCTGCATGGTAGTAATCTTATTTGCATTGGTGTTCATCTTGTTGATGATCCTTTGCAGCTGTTCTTCTTCCGCGTTGGTCAGGACAACATCATCTTCGATTATGACTATTAAGGAAATTAAAATAAGCACATAGTTTAAAACTTGCTTTATTATTTACAAGAGCTTTGTTTGGACTTGCTACATTTAAAAATTAGAGGAAAACTGTCAAGTTTATTGGTTTGACTTTAATATTCTTGCACTCATGACCCTAAATTGACCCTAAATTGACCCTAAAAGTGACTTTCAGATCACCTATGATTGATTTATATCAAGGCACTTAAATTGAACATTTTTTTATCAAAATGTTGAAAGGGAAAAAAAAGAAAAAAAAGATCAAGAGACACTTTGACTCTATAAAATCAAATCTAATTATATTGTCCTTTTGACAATGAAATCATGCTGGAACATATATAGTTTGATCACATTTAGTCAATATTTCCTACAGATACCATGTTTTTTACAACAATGGGATTACAATGCTCAGGAGAATCGAGAATGCCAGGAATCACTCAAATACATGAGCAGAAGGAGCAAAAATATCAGATAATTTTTAGTCTATTTCCAGTGCAGTATATTGTGCCTTTCTCAAATGAGAGCAATTTAATTGTAACTAATAATTAAAGTCTCTAAATTGGCAACCCAGAGTAACCTATAACATCGCTATTTTGTGGCATTATGTTCAGTTACATTTTTGTCATTTTCTTTCACATTGGATTATTCAATAAACATTTTGATTTTGTTCATACTATGAAAAAGTGTAAGTTAATTTTGTACTTCTTGGTGAAACATTGATTGCAAGACACCAGCACAGCGAGAAGAGTTTAGAATGTTAAACTAGCACTTACTTTCATTGAGGACTATGTCCTCAGCTGTGATGCCACTCAAAAAGGAAACATTTCCGCTTAAATCAAATTCGCCACCATCCACAGTAATCAGGTCTGGAATCTTTGTGATGATAGTTGTATGTGTGTGGGTTATGTTCTCATACTCAGTCCCGGAGGATTCGCACACCGATTCAGACAACTCCACATAGTTTGCCAGAATGCTAACGGGGGCAAACTGTAGCTTGAACAGGTTCATCTCCGTTTCATTTTGTTCCGATTGGCTTGCAAGGACCAAGTTGGCCCTGTAACCAGAAACGATCACAGAAATGGAGCAGACTGGGACTGCAAGAGAAGATGGTTCAAACTGCAATGTTGATTCTTGGAATTGCCATCCATCGTATTCGTAGAAAGTGATGGTTGTTGCCGTGTATATTATGAGGTTGACAAAACCTTTATTCTCATCAAGAATGGTGTACCAACCGCGGATATCAGCGATTTCCAGGCACTGGAATGGTATAAATTTATTTTCGTTGTACTTGTAGATGAAAGACTTTGGTGTTCGACCTAAAATGTAAATAAAATTATGTCATGGGATGAAAACATGTTTTTTTAATTTGGTAAAGATCTAGATTTGTCAACTGCTATATTTTAGTATTCCAAATAAATGAGTTACAATTGGTCTGTCATACATGTATATTTTTCACCAAATATTATTTTCAACTTGATTTTCCCTTATTGGAAAGTAAAGGTTTTGTTATTGGATCAAATAGTCTTTCCAACTAGAGCTTGGAGCATGATGATACATGTACAAGTTTGCCTGGTACCTCACATTATAAAGAAAAAGGCTGCGCCCATGTCATTATGAAAGACATGACTTCATGCAAAGAATATCTTCTTTTATATATCTCTTGTACATCTTTGTAAGAAATATTGTACGTCCATAATCAGGAATAAAACTCATCTTTCAGCATATTTACACTTATTTGTTGAGCTCAGGTTCCCTTTCAGAATTAAAAACATTAAAACTCAATTTATAGTCAACAATCCCTATTGCAACAGGTGTACGGTACCTTGCTCATCATAAGTGTTGGCTATAAGAAGAAAAACTTCTAATTCAAAGCCGGAGCCAAACGTGAAAACATCCATATCGAGGACGCCATATGTGGTGATTGTCTGAAAGGTCTCAAATTGATGGAGATGGAGGTTGTAGAGAAGTATCTCAGAATTGGTTATTGGTTCATCGTACATTGATGCACTGCTCGCAAGGCCCAGGAAGACACGACTGAAGACACAGAATGGTATGATACTGACCAGGTTGGGCTTGGGGAAAGCAGCAAATTCATCCATATGACCACCTGCATGAAATCAGAGTAGAACCAGAGGTGGTATATCTATATCGACTGCTTTGAGAGGCCTGGCTGTTTTATAGGCTCAAGGGAGCGTGCACACATCTTGCCATAGTCATGGCAAGAAGTGCAAGTTCCCGAGAGCCTATAAAGCAGTCGATATGTCTTTTATATGCCGAATTGAAACAAAAAACTACCAAGAATTCTTACCTTATCCTTTCATTGAGTAAAGATTGGTTAAAACATCACAGAAAATCTGAGAAACTGTCTGTTTATCTTTGCTGGAAAAATGACTGAAAGTTTCAATCATTTGGGAATCGCAGACAAAAAGCCCTGTATGGTGTCCGTGCTCACACAAAGAACATTTTAACACGTAAACCTATGGGGATCTGAGCACAATTAATTTATGTGGCCTGTTACCCAGGGCAACGGGCATCTTTTAAAAGACTATTGACTGGTAGGCGGGTATGAGGGGAAAGGCAAAAATCGCGACTGCAATTTCGACCAATCAGATGGCTAGATTTCTAAAGAAAGGTATATAATGAAAAGTATATCATCTTTTCTATTAGTTAAATAACGTTAGTTGTCATAAAAATACAAAAGTAGGACAAGTCATTGGTTAATGTCTGGGCAAAGCTGGCTGCATATGTGTATCTGTGGTAAGCAGATAAAAAGTATCATTTCAAAGTCATATTTGGTTTGACATTTTTGTAAAGTGCTTTGAAACATAGATGTAATAATAAGCTTTATTAATCCAAGCTGTAATAGAGTTTTTCAAATGAATGTAATCACCAGCTGTACTAATATCTTAAATCTGGTTGGTAACATATATGGGATGATATACCTGGGACTTGCCCATGAACTGAGTCCAAGAAAGAATGATACACATTATAAAACTTTATATTCCAGATGTTAATTTCTAACCTTTCCATTCGTACATAACGGCAGCCTCTACATTGAGGATTGCATGGGACCTTTCAACTACAACAATAAATTGAGTGTTGCCCCCTATAATCGTCTCCACTGCAGTCGGCTCTGACATTTTTAGCCTTTGTACTTGAAAGAAAGTCTGGGAATCGGTGGGTTGGTCCACGGTCCACAAGTATGTAAAAAGTCCCGCAGACTTTGTGCTTCCTTTGAAGAGAAAAGACAAAAACAAAAAACAAAAACATGAATACTGTATCTTTGTTTCAGGGTAGCATGAAAAGATCCAGTGCATCATTTCAAGAAACCATCGTAAGTACAAGTTCGCCGACATCCCAGTAAAAGACATGTAAAAAATCAATACCGGTATGTATTTTAATGGGATGTTGGTGTTCTTGAAAATATGACGGTTTTCTCAAATGGTGACCAGATTACCAGAACATCAAGCCAGGCTTGGCAAAGGCCTTGAGCATGCAGAAGCACTTGTAAATTAAAATGGTGCCTTAAATTGGGAATGTATTCAATTAAAATGTATTTTGTTGTTAATATGCACATGAAAACATAGGAAAAGGAAAATGACTATTGTAACGATTGATGTTGTTGCTTTTGTATAGATGGTGCTTTTCAAACTGTGCGATGATCTCCTTTACCGGTACATTGATCATTTGGTCACAGACTTCAGGTAGAGAAAGACGGGAGTAAATGTTTCCCGCCTCTCCACTCCATATTTTATGGCGTTCTTTAATGTTTTATGTAGGGATAAAGGTATCCTTTCAATACAGAGAGGACATGAAAGGGTACCATATCTTTGCCAGCATTATTATAAATGAATAAATACATACCGGTAAATAAATATTTGAATGCAGTCCCGTAGTCCTAATGACATAAACTCACCATCCCCACATATTGCTACCACAACATAATGGAGCCCATCATAAATAAAGAAGTCAACGTCTTGGACATCCGGAGCACTTTGGACAAGAACCAACTCTGCCTGCCCTGTCTAGAAAAAACAACCATAAAAAGAAAATGTATGCCAGCAATCTACACAATGAAATTTAAGAAACCAAGATCCTACTATTCAAATAATTATTCATTTAATGACAACTGTAAATACCTATTTTGCAGAAAATGGAAAGTCAATAGCTGTATATACTCCATCAAAAGAGCACTAAAGCCAAAGAGTATTTTGAGCATATGTGGTGGATGTGCATTTTAAAGCATGCAGATTTGTAATATTCAACAAAAACATCCATTCAGTAACTTAAAATACAGGAAAAAATCCTGAGAAAACTACGCCCCCAAAAAGGGCAAAACTTTAAGAAGGGCTGTCCGGTCAAAAGCACTTACAGTGTAATTAACACAGTAGAAGCTCTAGGTTTTTTTTTAAGGCATTGTTAAAATATTTTGCTCAAAAGTAACATTTTTGTCTGGGACAGAGCATATATAGAGAACATTTGAAATATCAGAAGAACTAAAACAATATTTTTTCATAAAGTATTGGAGGTGAAATCATAAACAGACATATGGATAACTATCCAGTCGATACTGTGTCAGAAGTACTTGAAAGATATGCAAACAGTTAGAAAAACCTTGTAGAATAAGATAACTCACCCCCAAATATCAGAGAGGACCTATTAGGTGAATGATATCCTCTTTATACTTCAAATATTTTCCAAACAATAAAAGAGCTAATTAACACTCACACAAAAGACTGATCTTATTTTCAGGAGTGTAAAAAGAGTCCTACTTACTTGGTTGTCAAATTTGTAGATATGGACTTCATCGCAGATAGATGGATTGGATGTGTTACTTGCATGGGTGATGATGATATAGAGATCATCATCGTAGAACAAAATCTCCACATCATTGGGGTAGTCCACAGGGAGAGACAGAACCTCTCTGATAGATACCAGTTCCACCATTCCTGAAAGGAGAAAATTGGCAATGTTCACAACACCAGTGCAGGAATCACAGCAGGTCCAACCAACAACAACTTACCTCGAGACTTTGGCTGCGTTGTGTGTATCGTGCCTCATAGATGCAGGCCATCTTACAGGAAAAAACACCCAGTCCCTTGGATAGGACGCTAAATGGAGGCCCTGCGTAGAGAAGATTTGCCACCTTGGCATGTTAAGAATCCCACTGCATTAATCGTACAAGTGTAGTGGAAACCCTGGTGAAGTGGCCCACCTGCAAAAACCTAATCAGTCATACCGAGAGAGGCTGGAGGAGAGACCGGAGGGTATAGTGATTTACTTTGCTTTTTCATTGCCTCCCACACACAAGTGACACTATATCTTTCTCAAACAAAAGGCCCTGTAATTCTATTTGGTACTTGGTATAATGCTTGGTTATCGCTCTTGTGCAAAATTGGGTTTAACAAAGAAGTCAGTCTAGGCCCTCTATAGGTGAGTGAGGTCTTAGTTTTAGTTTGTTAAACATGATCTTAGACCCAGGGTTGGATTTCAATTAATTCTAAGTAGAATATGGACCCATGTACATGAGGAAGGAATACGTCAATTAGATTATTCATTGTACAGTGCGTCCCAGAAAAAACGAAACCGAGAATTATTGATGTTTTATCATAACTTAATCACAATTTTATAATTGATAAATGACACATATTGGTAAAAGCTTAGATCCTCCTCTTTCATTTGATGCAACTCGTATAATGTATATTTCACACATAAGTGATTAAAATGAACTTGAAGAGAAGAAACCAAAAAGTCATTTGGCGGACGGTATCAAAGAGAAAATTGTATTTCTAGAAATTGAGTTTCTGCCCTTTCATATGACACCTCAGTCAGGAAAAAGAGCAAGGAATGACAAAGTTCTGTTTGTTTAAAGTATTGCTTGCATTTCCATAATTTTATTAAACAAATTTGTTTTCACTGGCTGCCTACCGTAGCAACAAATTGAATTAACAAAAGCCTTAAACTCCATTTCGTTAACAATCAGCCATAGACGAAAGACTTCATGCATGGGTGATTGTCAACGAAACGGAGTTAAGTCTTTTGTCGATTCTGCTTGTTTCTACGGCAGACAGCCAGTGAAAACAAAATTGTTTAATAAAATTATGGAAATGCAAGCCCTACTTTAAACAAACAGAACTTTGTCATTCCTTGCTCATTTTTCCTGACTGAGGTGTCATATGAAAGGGCAGAAACTCAACTTTCTAGAAATGTGATTTCTCTTTGAAATTCAGGTCTGTTGATGTTGCAACGCAGACAGCAATCTCAAAAGTGCACACATAATTCTAGAAACAGTCTTTGTCCACAATCGCCTAGTTTGTGGAGATTTAAAAAATATTTTGAAATGTGATATTAGATCCATGATTTATCATATTCTACTGTTTTTCTATACACAAACTTAATTGGTTCAATTATTACCAAATGGCAAAGCTTTTGACTACGAAAATTTGCTGATCTTTTCGTCAATATTTTAATAATTTTCATCGGAATTGTACATAGAAAATTTCCTTTTTCCATTGGCGGTATCAGATTCTCAAAGTCTCAAGGTCACAAACGAACTATATGGTCACACTCACCATCCATACATCTAATTTCTTCTTCTTCTTCTTCTTCTTCTTTGGGTTAAGTCTACCTCCTTCACAGTTGAAGATTCTTGCAGACTGATGAGTGTGTGTGTGCTTACGAGAGCAAGGTGCATGGTGCAATGCTATTTACATGGTGCAAGTAAAAAGTTCCCGGACTTAGTTGCTGCCTCCCGTCAGGCATTGACGGAAGGCATTGACGGATGAGGCACATACTGTTTCTGATGGCAGGTTGTTCCAACTCCTCACAGTCCTGGGAAAGAAGGACTGCTTATGCTGCTCAGTTCTTGAACGGAGGACTTGGTAGCTATGTGCATGGGCAGTCCTGGAGGGTCTTGTGACAGGGTTGATGTAGGATGCTGTGTCGAGTGCTACCAGGTTGTTGTGGAGCTTGTACATCATCACCAGTCTGTAGTTTTCCCTGCGTTGCTCGAGTGTGGTCCAGTCAAGTTGTTGGAGCATGGAGGTCACGCTAGATGTGTTGTGGTACCGATTGAGGGTGAATCTAGCGGCCCGTCTTTGTACCATTTCTATTTGATGGATGTGGTTTGCAGAGGAGGGATCCCAAACTGTAGAACTGTACTCAATGAGTGGTCTTACTATAACTCCGGGAAGCTCCAACACCGGCGCCGCAGGCGTCGGAGCTTCGGGTGGTTTTGTTGGTTTCTCGTGGGGGCTAGTACAACAGCCGATTGGGTGATATTATCGTTAAATCTGCAAAGGTAGTACTTACAATTTTTACATCATAGGGTGCACGACTCCTCAGGGCTCAACTCCAATCACTTAAATGTATAATTTGAAGAAGTCTTCGATGGGAAAAAAAGGTTAATTCCGGGTACTACACCAACGATTCTTCCATGTCGCAGCGTTGATTCAAAATATCGATGAGAAGGTACGCATGCGCGGCAGTGGCGAAGAAAATATGAATATTCATGTTATCGAGCGCCGATCGCTCGAAATCGCTGAATATGCACGACTTGAACAAACAGAGCCCTTTTCAACCTCGTGCATATTCAGCGATTTCGAGCGATCGGCGCTCGATAGCATGAATATTCATATTTCCTTCGCCACTGCCGCACATGCGTACCTTCTCATCGCTATTTTGAATCAACGCTGCGACATGGAAGAATCGTTGGTGTAGTACCCGGAATTAACCTTTTTTTCCCATCGAAGACTTCTTCAAATTATACATTTAAGTGATTGGAGTTGAGCCCTAGGGAGTCGTGCACCCTATGATGTAAAAATTCTAAGTACTACCTTTGCAGATTTAACGATAATATCACCCAATCAGCTGTTTTACTAGCCCCCACGAGAAACCAACAAAACCACCCGAAGCTCCGACGCCTGCGGCGCCGGTGTTGGAGCTTCCCGGAGTTAGTCTTACTAGAGCTTTGTAGGCAGTACTCTTCAGTTTTGGTAAGTTGATCCGAAGATTTCGTCTGAGGAAGGCAAGGGTGTTGTTTGCTTTCTGGCATATGCTTGTGATGTGTTTGTCCCATTTCAAGTCTGATGTGATTGTGATGCCAAGGTACTTGGTTGATGAGACTGCTTCCAGTGGTGTGTTGTTCAGGATGTACTGGTGTCGTATCTGGCTCTTCTTTCTGGACACTGTGATGGTCTTGCACTTGTCCGTGTTGAGCTCCATCATCCATTCAGAGGACCATTCAGCAAGCCTATTAAGGTCCTCCTGTAGTTCAAGAGGGTCTTGTCTGCCCTTGATCGCTAGGTAGATGATGGCGTCGTCTGCAAAGAGACATACTGGAGAGGTGAGCTTGTCTGGCAGGTCGTTGATGTAGTACAGGAATAGAGAGGGTCCGAGGACAGAGCCTTGAGGTACTCCTGAGTCGACGTCGACCTCAGGTGATGCATGGCCTTCTAGAACAACTTGCTGGGTTCGAATTTATTTAATAAGTCTGTTAGTGTTACTGTAAGACAATATCATAAACTTATAAAGGATCAATATATGATGGTATAAGACTATAAGTGCTATTTGATGCATACTTTTTGTAAATCATCCATGAAAGGCAAAGTTAATGTTGAGCTTGAGCATCCGGACACCTCGCGGCCCACTCCATTCCAGCAAAGCATAGAGAGTCAATGCTAATGCATATTGACCTCTAGCACTGCATACTTGCTGTGAGGCAGGTATTATTAGACCTGTACACAAATATACACACCACACAATATTGCATAGACTGCACACAATCATGCCAATTCGGCTGAAGCTGTAAGCAAAGTTTGACAGTAGACTTACAATTTGAATTTTTAAACTATTCTTTTTAACATCAGTAAGTTTAAAAAAAAGTGTTTTACTGCTATTTAGGTGTCATCAACTGTCCCTAAAGTACCGATTTTTAGTGTACCATGAGTGTTTTGTACAGTGGTGTTTGATAATCATAAGCACAGCTTTTACTACACAGCGTACAGCCAGGATAGTGATGCCGTGTGTCGCCGCCCTCCCTCCGGCCTCCCAGCTCCCAGTCCCATGATCATGCATTATTTTTTCAGTTTAATTAAATTAGATCTAGACCTTCTATGTTCTGTCTAGTTACCTCATCATATCTCTCGAAGTGAAGATAAGGTAGCAAGGTCAGAGAACAAGCTGGTGATCGGCGATGGAATGGAAAGATTGCTAGTTTTCCGACAAGATCGCATTAGTGCACGCACGATGCCAATGGGATCCTATTCAAGCGTCGCGCAAGATTACGTAATAGTGTTTACAGTAACACCTAACCAGCTGAAAATAAATGGATAACTAGTCTCAGATCCAACGTTGCACGTTTACATTACAATTATTTTCCATTTTTGATTGAAAGAATATTGTAAAAAAGCTCAAAATTATATATTTTTAAAGGATCATATGAAATATTTATAGGTTATTAGCATTTATTTATTTGCAAAATTTTGTATAATGTCAGGATAAAATGTTTTGGGATTACCATACCGATGATAAATTACAGAGGCTTGGGCAGTACTGTGTCTGTAGTGTCATCAGTGAGGTTAACGTGTGAATGGATTTAATTAGTCATTTCCTAAGGATTCGGCCCATTTTAATTTGGAAGTATTGTTGCTATGATAGAGCATCATGGCTTCTCCAAATTTTATTGAAAATTTAGAACTTCAGATATCAGAAATTGAACTCCTTGATAGCATGTTTCCAGGAGATGGCGAGTTTTGCCTCGATGACCCTAGCGTGCTGTCCGACGTACAGACTTTCGTAGATAAATCCGCCGAGTCTACAGGCGTAGCCGATCAAGGAATTTCTGGTAACTCGGCCTCGGGGAAAGGAGGCACGGGCGCAATCAGGCAACTGTCGTTTTCTATCAAGATTTCTATCAATGGTCATCATAATGGGATTCCAAATGTAAGTTTGAGTATTTTGTTACTTTTTTCCAAGGACCAATGAGAGGAGGTTTGCAGATTATTTTTAAGTGGTATCTAATCTAGTCATTCCTACGGAGCCCCGGAAGTGACATGGAGAACTTTTTTTTTTCTCGTTTTCCTGAGATAAATTCTCGTTTTCCTGAGATAATTTTTCGTTTTCCTGAGATAAATTCTCGTTTTCCAGAGATAATTTTTCGTTTTCCTGAGATAATTCCCGTTTTCCTGAGATAAATTCTCGTTTTCCTGAGATAAATTCTCGTTTTCCTGAGATAATTTTTCGTTTTCCTGAGATAATTCCCGTTTTCCTGAGATAAATTCTCGTTTTCCTGAGATAAATTCTCGTTTTCCTGAGATAATTTTTCGTTTTCCTGAGATAAATTCTCGTTTTCCTGAGATAATATTTCGTTTTCCTGAGATAAATTCTCGCCGTTTTCCTGAGATAATATTTCGTTTTCCTGAGATAAATTCTCGTTTTCCTGAGATAAATTCTCGTTTTCCTGAGATAATTTTTCGTTTTCCTGAGATAAATTCTCGTTTTCCTGAGATAATATTTCGTTTTCCTGAGATAATTCCCGTTTTCCTGAGATAAATTCTCGTTTTCCTGAGATAATTTTTCGTTTTCCTGAGATAATTCCCGTTTTCCTGAGATAAATTCTCGTTTTCCTGAGATAAATTCTCGTTTTCCTGAGATAATATTTCGTTTTCCTGAGATAATTCCCGTTTTCCTGAGATAAATTCTCGTTTTCCTGAGATAATATTTCGTTTTCCTGGGATAAATTCTCGTTTTCCTGAGATAATATTTCGTTTTCCTGAGATAAATTCTCGTTTTCCTGAGATAATATTTCGTTTTCCTGAGATAATTCCCGTTTTCCTGAGATAAATTCTCGTTTTCCTGAGATAATTTTTCGTTTTCCTGAGATAATTCCCGTTTTCCTGAGATAAATTCTCGTTTTCCTGAGATAAATTCTCGTTTTCCTGAGATAATATTTCGTTTTCCTGAGATAATTCCCGTTTTCCTGAGATAAATTCTCGTTTTCCTGAGATAATATTTCGTTTTCCTGAGATAAATTCTCGTTTTCCTGAGATAATATTTCGTTTTCCTGAGATAAATTCTCGTTTTCCTGAGATAATATTTCGTTTTCCTGAGATAAATTCTCGTTTTCCTGAGATAATATTTCGTTTTCCTGAGATAAATTCTCGTTTTCCTGAGATAATATTTCGTTTTCCTGAGATAATTTCCGTTGTAAAATGAACAGTTAAAATGAATTGAAAAAATACAGTTTTCTTCTAATTTTATAACGTTTTGGCATCTGAATGCCCCCCCCCCCCCCTGAGTACGATGTCATATATATTTACTGTAAATTGCGAGCGAGCGAAGAGCGCAATTAACAAATAAAAGACACTAGTGCTGTCTTACTCGTACAAATTTAGGTACAATACCAATTTGGATGATAAATCTATCTTGATTCAAGAACACTTTATTAACAGACTGCCCGATTACAATAGGGGACAGCCCACGAGGCCGACGGCCGTCAGCCTAGGGCCTAAATCCAGTTTTAGGGGGGTATTCAGCAGGCGCGGATCCAGGATTTCTTAGGGGGGGGGGCCCAAATTTGAAATTTTGCGAGCCAAATATTGGTTAGTAATGGTGACCAACAGAGACGTAATGCGGGGGGGGGGGGGGGGGTCGGTGCAGGGAGGGGCGATTTTCCCCCTCCCTCCTCCGCGAAACGCGGAAGCTTTGACGTTTCATTAAATTATTAGAGAAAGAAGACGATTCGTTGTCGAGTTCTCGACTCTTTATCCTCGTCTGAATTTAGGTTCCCCCCTCCCGTGCGAAGCGCGGAAGCTTTTAAATTTCCTTAAATCATTAGAGAAAGAAGACGATTCGTTGTACCGTTTTCGAAAATAATCCTAGTCTGAATTTAGATTCTCCCCCAACCCCCTCCTCCCGGCGCGGACGCTTTTACGTTTCATTAAATCATTAGAGAAAATAGACGATTCGTTGTACCGTTCTCGAAAATAATCCTCATCGGAATTTAGTTCCCCCTCCATCCCGCGCGAAGCGCGGAAGCTTTTACCTTTCATTAAATCATTAAAGATTCGTATTACCGTTCTCGCCTCTGAATCCTCGTCTGAATTCAGGTTTCCCCCCTCTCGCGCGAAGCGCGGAAGCTTTGACGTTTCATAAGATTATGAGAGAAAGAAGACGATTCGTTGTACCGTTCTCGATTCTTAATCCTTGTCTGAATTCAGTCCCCCCCCCCCCTCCCCTCCTGCGCGAAGCTTTGACGATTCATTATATTATTAGAGAAAGAAGACGATGCGTTGTATCGTTCTTTATACTCTTAATCCTTGTCTGAATCAGGGGCCGTCTTAGGGCCCCTGGGGGGGGGGGGGTCGAGGCGGCGGAGCCGGCCCCGGAAGCTCAGGGGTTTTAGGCGTTTAATTAAGGTCAGATGAGCATTTTTTTTGTATACCTTATTATTTTGTGAGACTGGCACGTCACTATTTGGCGTGGGGTCCAGGGGGCGGAGCCCCAAAATATCAGGGGTTTTAGGCATTAAATTACCGTCAGATGAGCATCTAAGGGCCCGCCGTAGGGCCCTAGGTGAAATCCAGGGGGCAGAGCCCCTGGAAGCTTCGGGGTTTTAGGCATTAATCACGGTCAGATGAGCATATTTTGATGCCTCATTATTTTTCAACACTGGCAGTTAACTATTCTTTCTTTCTTGCTCTCATTCTATTTTATTTCTCTTTAATATACTTTTTCAAAAAATTAGGGGGGGGGGGGGCTCGGGGCTCCCGATCCCCGCCGTACCTCGGGCCCTGACAAGTAGGAATCAACTAAAAAGTGAGGAAAAATCTCGGAAATTATGTCATTTCAGCATTATTTGTAATCCACCGTTGTGGAATTAGAAATAAACCACGTTTGAATTTGATTTCCCCCAAGCCCCCCCCTATCAGTACGCCAGTATCTCCTCTTTTCCTTTTTTCTTTCCCTTTCCTTCCTTCTCTCTTATTTTTTTGATTGGGGGGGGGGGGGGTCAACAGCCTGGGAGGCAAGGCCCTTTCGCCTTCCCCAATCTCCTTCTTCCCCCTTTTCTTTTCTTCTTCCTCTTCTTTCTTTCCCTTTCTCTCTTCTTTCTCTTTCCTTTCTTTTCCTTTCTTCTCTCTCTTTTTTTTTTTTTTTTTTTTTTGCGGGGGGGGGGGGGGGGGGGGGGGGGGGCAAGGCCCGCTCGCCCCCCCCCTGGATCCGCGCCTGGTATTCAGTTATTCACATCACCTTGTAGGTCTCAACATTCAATTGTCGAAATTCGATATATTTATGAAGATAATTATCAATTCCAAAAGGGCCTTAAAGGGGAATGCCACCCTAAGAATATCTATATTTTAATAAAAGGAGACAAATAAGACAAAGTGATTAATAAAAGTTTGAGGAAAATCGGATATGAAATAAGAAAGCTATGAAATGTTCAAGTTTTAAACAAATTAAAATCGATCAAGAAAATCGGGAAATCTGTGATCATATAACAAACGATGTCTGGGGTTTCGAAAGTTATGCAACATGTATTGGTCGGGAATTATCTCAGGAAAACGAAAAATTATCTCAGGAAAACGAGAATTTATCTCAGGAAAACGAGAATTTATCTCAGGAAAACGGGAATTATCTCAGGAAAACGAAAAATTATCTCAGGAAAACGAGAATTTATCTCAGGAAAACGAGAATTTATCTCAGGAAAACGAAATATTATCTCAGGAAAACGAGAATTTATCTCAGGAAAACGAAAAATTATCTCAGGAAAACGAGAATTTATCTCAGGAAAACGGGAATTATCTCAGGAAAACGAAATATTATCTCAGGAAAACGAGAATTTATCTCAGGAAAACGAAAATTTATCTCAGGAAAACGGGAATTATCTCAGGAAAACGAAAAATTATCTCAGGAAAACGAGAATTTATCTCAGGAAAACGAGAATTTATCTCAGGAAAACGGGAATTATCTCAGGAAAACGAAAAATTATCTCAGGAAAACGAGAATTTATCTCAGGAAAACGAGAATTTATCTCAGGAAAACGAAATATTATCTCAGGAAAACGAGAATTTATCTCAGGAAAACGGGAATTATCTCAGGAAAACGAAATATTATCTCAGGAAAACGAGAATTTATCTCAGGAAAACGAAAAATTATCTCAGGAAAACGAGAATTTATCTCAGGAAAACGAAAAATTATCTCAGGAAAACGAGAATTTATCTCAGGAAAACGAAAAATTATCTCAGGAAAACGAGAATTTATCTCAGGAAAACGAGAAAAAAAAATTCTCCATGTCACTTCCGGGGCTCCGTACATTCCTGTACGCGTACGCAATGTTAATAATAATAGTGATAGAATTAGAAATACATGTACAATAGATCTAGACAGTGGCGGATCCAGGGGGGAGGGGGGACCTGGAGGGCCCCAGCCCCCCCCCCCCCCCCCCTTGAGAAAAAAAACATGTAAAAACACGTGATTTTAACCTTTTGGGGGTTGTTGTGCCCCCCCCCCCCCCTGGCGCTCAAGGGGGGGGGGGTGCAAATTTTTAAATTTTCGAGGGCAAAAAAAAAAAATGTGCTCACTACCCCCCCACTGAGCGACTTTTCGGCCGGCGCGATTTTCAAATTTTTTGGAAAAAAAAAAAGAACAAAAAGTTGGGCTCCCTCCCCTAAGAAATCCTGGATCCGCGCCTGGATCTAGATCTACTACAACTTTATAAGATTAATGTCAAGGACCATTTTTTATGTTCATAATGACATTTCTTAAATCCAGGGCATCATTTTACAAAACCATGCAGGTGCATGCAAGTTTGCCGTCATCCCATTGAAAATGTTTAGAAACATTAAACATGCATGTCGATGGGATGTACAACTTCAAAACTTGTACTTCTTTCATTACACGATTCGTAAAACAATGCCTGGAAATATTGTTTTGGCTGTTGTACATGTTAGTTGTCAACATTATCAATTCTCTTTCTATATACTTTGTTTTTTAAATCAATATCTTTTGAACTCAGATCGATCTGGATCTCCAGTGCTGCCTTCCTTTAGACTATCCCAATGTTCTACCAGAACTTAACGTCCAATCCAATGTACTGTCAAGACAGCAGTACAGAATACTCAACGATGATCTGATGGAGCACATAGAGAGTCTAGACAGAGGAGAGCTGTGCATTACAGAAGCTGTCCAATGGCTCCAGGAAAACGCCTCTTGTTACCTGAAAACTGCAGAAGTTCCTAGCCAAGGGAACGTGAAGGAGCAGAGCAAGAAAAAACAGCAGCCCTCATCTTTCACTCGTCTCTGGATACACAGCCATCATATATACAGCCGATCAAAACGGGAGGACATCTTTGCATGGTCCAAGGAGAGAGGTCTCACAGGGTTTAGTCTTCCAGGAAAACCGGGCATTATTTGTGTCGAAGGATCCCAAGGGGATGTGGACGAAATCTGGCATAAACTCCGGAGATTAAACTGGAAAAAGCTGACCAGCAAGCACAGAGAAGATTTTGCCCTTGATGCTGATGACACAGAACTCTTCAGTACGAATTTCAGTCGTCTCAGGCATTTCTCAGATTTTCAGGAGATTAATTTTGCTGTGAGGGGTTCTCGGGACTACCACATGGACCTAGGACAGTTTTTCCAATATCTTGAAAAGCACAACTGTGCTGATGCATTCAAGATTTTATTGGGAGTAGATGGAAGGGTATCTCAAAAGGATACAAGTTGAAACTATTTCTTCTCCAGCTGTAACTTACTAAGTACATGTAGTTTGAGAGATGAAGATGTTAATTGAATTTAAATTCTTTAAATAGTGCAATTTGCACTTTGGCTCAAAGACATGTTCATTTGATTCTTTAGCTCTTGCTGAAAGACAGAAGGCCTAATATCATTAAATAAATGTTTTTATTTTTAAAATTCATAATATTTTTCAACCAATGAATACCATATGTCTTGTTTAGAAACAGAAAGGCGTTAACTCTGTGTAAGATGATATAAATAAGTGCCTTTCTGGCTCCAAACAGACATTATGTCATATCTCTGTATTGAGATATATCACAATGATTTATTATTTCAGATTCATAACATGACAAACCTACCTCAAATAATGTATTTTGTTGCTGGAAGAAATTTCAATATACTCTTTTTCCCCTAAAACAGGCTCTTTTATTTATTTAGAACTGCAAGTACATTATTCTATGTCACATCATCTTAGTGGCAAAGCATTATGTTACCTGAACACTTTTCCAATGGTTTCAAATTTAGGTCAATCTGGTTAAGAAGTAAAAACATGAATGCGACAAACAATACTTGACATTGATGACCTACATGTACACTGTACATTGCGCACTGGCATACATTTTGAATCTCAATTTGTTTTAAATATATTTCATGATTACAATTTTAACAAATACTTTTTTAGTTCAAAACGGGTCTTCCAAATCAATACCCAATACCCAATGTTGATAGATCTAGCCCTGCTGGGGTAGAATGAAATGAAATTAAAACCTGAAACTTTTGAGAACTGAATCTCAATTAAGTTACACATCGTTACATTTTTCCAATGGCCGAAACTCTCCTATTGTGAAAATTGCCATCCTTACCTGTTTGTGAAGGTTTCATGTTGCAAAAGTTTCTAGTTTTACACTTAGTAAATGGACACTCTCAGTGTTGGTCATGTTCATTATTTTATTGTACTTGGTCAAGTTTGAGATATAGGGGGCCCATTATTTTGGGATACTGTGCATGTGGATAGATGCTTACCATAAAGTTACATGTACATGAAAGAACCAAATTATACTGACTCTATGCAATGCATCCCGACCAACACACTTTTCTGTCGTTTCTTTCATCAAAAGATGGAAGTCTCTTGATGTGACCACTGATTCATGGAAGTTATATTCAAATAATCATTTTTCAGTGGCCCTTTCAAGGAATTTTCTTATTTTGATAAAAATAAATGATAGATAAAACATAAAATGCACAGAATTTTCCATCGTAGAAACTACCATCACATCTGAATTTTTGTCAGGTTTCAGAGGACAGTACATCCCACATGAAACTCCTCAAACTAGGTTGAATAAAGATTGAAAAACTAGACATACCCGTTTGCAACTGATCCAGAGTCTTTTGTGTCTCTTCTTCGTGACTTCTCTTTCTTCTGGACAATCTGTCATTTGTTATTGGGTTGTCGGGATGCTCCTGTATCTTCTCCATGTTGTTTCTGCTTGATTTATCTGCATACTGAACTAGACTTTGTAGCACGTTCTGCACTTGAGTGGAACCTGAATGATAAAAAAATTATTTTGCAATATTTTGTTGGTAATTTTTGTTCTAAGATGTATGTCCCTTCCATCAATATTGAACATGTAACTATAAATAACATGTACTTTCACTGACCCAATCATATCACACCAATCGTATACCTTTGATATACATGTCTATATTTTAATTGTAAAGCACTAACACCTAACACAACTCACAACAGTATAATACAGAGAAATGGGACAGGCAAGATTATTCTGTTGAAATGATTATAATAAAAATTCACAAACAAAATTAAAATGTATTTCAGCTATATTTTTTTCTGTATTACATAAATTAGTGAATGTATACATAATAACATAAATCATGATAACACAGTTATAGTGTAATAATTATTAAGAAGATAACACACCTGAAAATCCACTGCCAGAAAGGAATCTGTCTTGTCCATCTGTTATGACAGGTGGGACAAACTGGTCAACGGGAATAGAATCCACTTGTTTCACTATTCCAAGCATCACCATGGCAATCACTATGGTAACCATTTTCTCTTTTGTTTCTGATATAGAATTTAAAAAGAGAGTACAAAGTTAATCATAGGCTTTTGCTATACAGGGGAGACACTTTCATTCTTTCTATAGAGACCTCAAAATGAACATAATGAAATCGATTTATAAAGTCTATGATCACAGCTAAGAAGTTGATGTACTGTATGAAGATATAGGAGCTTGTAAAAAAAACACATCACTACATCATTTATTAAATGAATTACTCGTAATTGCAAATGTATTTGCAATGTGACACAGATTTGTACTTTATGTTCATTATAGAACATAATTATGAACGTGCATGTTTACTTGATTCGAAATTCAGAAGATGGCTTTAACAAAAATGTCTTCTTACCGATCAGATGTCCTGAATGCTATTTCATGATATGTCGATGTCTGTCTGATGAAAGATCTGGTGAATGATGACCGCCAAAATAAACATCTACAAAATAGGAACCAACCTTAAGGTTCGGCGGGAAATTTGAAGCAGTTTTGTGTGGAAATGAAGCCGATTGCGGTGCAACTAGAGCAGTGATACCTGACGAAGAAGCGACTCGACGTGGAGTGCAAAAGGGGAATGCAAGAGAATAACTTGATTGAGATTCCGATGCAGCTGATGAGCACTGGAATCCTCATCACTGATTGGAGGTTTTTTTCTGTTTTGGTTTGCTTCGTTGAGCTCATGTTATTTGCTAATAACATCCCTTGTTACTCAAAGATTTTGGGGTCATGTCTTTGAAGCCCCGGTCCCACGTTTTCAAGAACGGTAACTGCAAATAATTACAATGTTCATATAATAAAAAGGCCAACACCATATTTAAAAGTAAAACACGACCGATTTATGAAAGACCGGACAGATCAGGGATAAAATATGGAGGTGGTGGAATGATTGCCCTTAAACAAAAAATCCATCTTCTTTAAAAATCAATATGATTTTTGAAAAATATTATATTTTGCAATGTTGAAAGAGAAATAAGTCTCTGGTAGCGTATACATAACTGGTTTTGTCATTACTTTAAGTGTGTTTCATCTGAGAGAAATTTGAGGAAAAATATTATCCTCCCTGACTGACATCGTCTTGAGAAAAATATTTACGAAGTGATATAGTTATGTCATTTTCAAATATTTGTCATAGTTTGCGTTGATTAGCAATAACGATTCTAAACAGTATCTTTGATTAGATTTCGTCAGTGGCTACGTCCTACGTGGGACCGGGTCGGAAGAACGTCACTGTCCTTTCTTTCAAAGAGAGTGCAGAACAGTGGTGATGAAGAATGGTGGAGAATAGATCACCATGACAATGCTATTATACGGTTGAAGGATTCGTTGTGAGAGGAAAGCAGTCAAACAAGTCACGATACACGAACTTTCGTGAAACAAAAGCAGAAGACCTCGCGAACTTTCGTAGATTTGCTGCAGGTTTTTCACCACAAAAATAGTGTCGGGTAAATTGGACCAGACTATTTTTAGATAAAGAACTACAAACAATAGATCACTATAACAATGCGGTTGAATGATTCGTTGTGAGAGGATCGAAGGCAGTCAAACAAAGATAACATTTCTCTTGTCTGTCACTGTCTTCGTGATAACTTCCAATGACCCCATAACTTCCACAAAAAAGGTTCCGTTTCACTGACTTCGATTCGCTTGAAATGTACCTCCGTATCCACAAATTTACAAACAGGAGAAGGAAGGTTGATTGAATCTGACTGCTTATAGTGACAGGGACCCCCCCCCCCCCCCCCCCCCCCCTAGACACTCTGCGAGTAACGCTGGCTTTTCTTTCAATATACTGGTGCCATCTTAATGGATACGACACTTATACAAGGGCGGCGGATTGGACCGTCATTCGGAACGGGAATTTCGATATCACATTCAGACCCACTTTAGCAGTAGGCCTATGCCTGCGAAATACAAATCAGCCAGCCCAAAATGAGACCACATCTATTGGACGCCCCCCCCCCCAAAAAAAAAAAACAAACAAACAAACAAACAAACAAACAAACAAAAAATCCTTTACCAGTCCTCTCTTTACAAAGCCTTGCAACTCATTATAAAAATGTTGACTGGGCGTCCACTTGTTTAGAAATCCTGACTGGGTGTGCCGTTCACCTACAGTTTATATAAGGGGCAATGCCCGGTAGGCATAGCATTCACAGGCCAGAATCTTCCAGCCGGAAATTACATTCACTTTATTTGGTACTAGCACCTAACTGGACAAAGCCTTATAAATAGTTTGTAAAAACTCTGACTGGGCGTGCTGTTTACCTACTGTTTAAGGGACAGGGCCCGGTAGGCATATCAACAGGGGAAGAGTCCCCTCTCCTGTGATTTTTTTTTAATTAGGGATAGTTCCCCCCTCCCCCCCCCCCCCGAAATGTTCAAAATGTAAAATAAATATATATATTTATAATGAATAATGAGTAAAGAGTAAAGGCTGCAACACAGTATTTAGTTTCTGAAGTGCTTTAAAATACATTAAGTTTCATTATGTCTCAAACGGATGCACCTTACAATATTGTATTTATATGAAGATATTACAAAGGCCGAGATTCTCCTCTGCTTTACAAGTGCTACACAATGGAATCTCCCGATACGTATTGCAATTCAAGGGCGGTGGTGGATGCTCCTCCCTTGAAATATTACAGGCACCGCCTAGAATGGCCTGGAGGGGTCATTGACATGTGTAAAACTCCGCAATGTAATTTCGGAAATATTTCTTAACCACATAAAAAATTAATAAAGATATCTATGTTTTAGATTTAGGGTCCCGGCCCCCCCACTCAGAGGTCGGAATGACCGCATGCGTGTTGCCAAAATGTCCGGTAAAGGGGTACTTTTCGTGCGACAAAGTCCGGCCCGAGATTTGTAAAAAAAGGGGTGTATTTGACTTTTCACCCGGAGATTTCTTTAAAAAGGGGGTGTTTTTCTTTTTTTCTCTCATCTCTTTGAAATCCTGAGAAATTATTCCGAATTTAGGGGGGTACATTGAGCATTTTTCCTGATTTAGGGGGGTCCCCAAGGCAGGAAAAGCCCGCAAAAAGCCCGCGAAAGGGGGGTTCGGAAATGTTGGCAGTCCTCAGATAGGGGGTGCTTTCAAAAAGAGGGTACGAGCATATGCGTACCCTAAATAACACTGAGTGGGGGGGCCGGGTTTAGGGTATACGTAATCATCGCGAGCGCAAGCGGTCACGAAAACCAGCGTGTTATATGTGCGCTGTGATTGGTTGAAAGTTTTTACTGTGCCGTGTGCAACAATGAGCTCGAAAGTACGTGTAGTGAATACAAGAGTAGGGATCATGGAGGGATCCAGAGGGAAGGGGGTCCTCCGTAAATTCCAATATAAATGCATTGTAAATAAATGATGAGTGCGCCGCTATCTATACTGTTTGAGCTTTCAATCATATACGCAGTGGAAATTTTCCATAAATTCAGAATAGGGAAATCTTGTCCGGTCGCTGTGCTCTATCACGCATGATAAGAACAAAGTGCTTTAAATTATAATACTGCCAGATATGTAAACGATAAGTATGACAAATTCAAAGTTTTCCTTTTACAAGAATGATTGAAATGACCCACAACGGGGGTCCGTCAGGGGCGATGGACAATCTCCATGGTTGGAGACACCGACATAACATGAAAAGTTGTAAGTTTTGAGGGAAAGGTGGCACAAAAAAAGAAGGAATTACCGGGGACTATTTCCCATCCGGTTTCCACTTCGAAAATGATTAGGGCACTTCAGTCGAATAATTAAATTTTGAATGAAGCAAAATGCTCTCTCTTGATATCCAGAGCATGGGAAGCCGGGTATATCATATCGTTGGGATATCGTTAAGGGGCACCCAAGTCTTTAAATTCTGATTGTAAGCGTAACTGAAACCCGGTTGGTTTGACTCAAAACAATCTCACACAGTTTTTTTTTCTCTCTCTCTCCGACACTCTCTCTCTCTCTCTCTCTCTCCTATGTCTCTCCATATATCTTCTTCTCTGATTCTATTCTCTTTCTTTCATTCAGTTTCACAGAACGGGCTTCGTAAGCACATGTCGATTGACCCGCAACTGATTATTTAGAGCAAATGAAAACAAAATGCAATCAGAAAGAGATGTAAGCCATAGTGTTTTAAAAGCATTTTTGGCGGATCCACTGTCCTATATAGGTTCATGGTGTAATGATGGGAGGGGACCGAGGAGCTGCAACTTATCAGAAATTTGAACTCCATAATAGGTCTACACCAACAGAGGACCAACAGATATAAAATTCCAAAATAGGACAGTGGATCCGCCAAAAATGCTTTTAATCATGAACCTAATACAATGAGGTTCATGATTACACCATTATATGGATTACACCCACTACATCCTCGAGGTACAGCTGGAAAAAAAATCTTATCAAATTGTCCCGCGCGCGCTGTAACGTTATCGCATAAAGACCAATGCAAATCGTACGATCTCCGTAGCGCAGGCCACGTACGTACCGGTACGTTATATACGTGTTGTAAACTGACTAGCAGACGCCGTTTTATGTGCGAAACATTTGCACGCAAAGTCTATATGGGAATTTACATGTTAAAGCATGCAGATTGGTCAAGACAGGTAGCATCAGTTTCATAGATTTAGCAATTATTAGCAAAAAATCTACAAATAAAGGACTAATCATGGCGCTTGAAGAGCTGATGCGTGAACTATTTCTAAATCCAATCAACCTTGGTCTCTTGTCGGTATGTGGTTATTTGCTCTATAAAATCGTCAGAGGCAACAGAACACCACCGGAGCCTCCACAGCCGCCTCGTCTGCCGAAGATGAAGAGGAAAGATTTCCAGGTATCAGAACTGACCGAATATGATGGTATTAAAAACGAAGGACGCATCTTGGTTGCTGTGAATGGAAAAGTTTTTGATGTCTCGAGAGGAAGAAAGTTTTATGGCCCAGGTTTGTGTGAAATATATGAAATAATTTAAATGTATTTAACAATAACACTGATCAATCTTGAAATCTAACTTGTTCAGTTGAACTTAATTGAAGATCAAGATGCATGTTGACTGGTCACTCACTGGTTCAGTCACTTCAGTGGTTGAGTTGGTTCAACTTTAAAATTTAGATTTAAGTCCTGAGACAGGAGAGGTCATCACACTGTACACATACTTACTTAGACTACTTTATTTACTTTTCATTCAGTACAATAATGAGACTCATTGAAAGCTTATGTTTGTAGACGTCACAGACACAATTAACAATAACGGTAGGCCTAACACTCTTCTGAGAGAGGGAGTTCCAGAGCTCAGAAGAGTCCGGCTTACTGCATCTTGGAAGATGCTCCTCTGGTAGACTAGCTTTCAGGGAAAAGGAACTATGAATTTCTTGGAATGCCCTCTAGATCTATACAGCCAGGGATGCAGATCTAGATGGAGTGAGGAAAGTGTGTGAGATGTCTATCAGCGAGTTGGTGATATGATAGATCATCACCACCTTAGCATGTGACAGTGCCTTGCATTTTTGTAATGTTGGCCACTTGAGCTGGTTCAGTATGGCTTCTACACTGCTTGTCAGGACTGCGGTAGTCATTGAAGATGAAGCGGACATAGCGCTGTGGAACCATCTCAAGCTTCTTGATGTTTGCTTGCTTTCTTACAAAACTAAAAACAACACCAACAAATGGCAACTAAAGGGCAGTATATCTGTAAAGCTCTTTATTAGAGACATTTGTATTAAGCGCTATATGAAAGTGGAATATTATTTTTTTCCCAGCCAAATTTTAGCCTCTTTGAGTACAGGAGACCATTGCAATTAGTATTAGACAACATGTATTTAAAAGCATGTATCAGATTATTGTTGTAAATCATAACTCAAGCTTTGTATTGTTGGCCTGAAGTATATACCGTATTTGGGGGGAAATGTTAAAGTTGTACCATTAATATTCATGCAATTGTACATGTAGGTCACTTGATATTGCAGTCAGTAAGGAGTGTAAAAAATTCCATTTATCAGCGGCACAATAGCACAAAGGACAGACAACTTTGTCTGTGATAAATGTAATGTGCAATGAACCGTACATGTACTTACAGACAGTACCTTACATCAATAGTACATAGTTTGTAACTTTGTACAGGCCTGAAATGTACATGTACATATTCATGTTCATGTAAAGTTGATGTTAATTTAAACTAATCGAGTATAATCCAAAATAATCTGCATGTACATGTAGGCTTAGGTGCGTCAGAAAACCAAACCATGTTCCATATGATTTACTGTTACATTGCACTTATAAAGAATCATGTTTCTCACAATATGGCACAAATTATGAAAGTATAAAATCCTCGAAGACTTGAAGTGGTTTGCACTTATGTTTAGGTAACATTGCGCTACTAACCATAAATGTCCCCAAAATGTATATCAAGTTCTTGAGTTATGAAAAAACACAAAAAGCATCAAATTAACAAGGGGTATGAATAATTTAGTCCTTATGGTGAAGGTTATAACTACAAAGTCCCATAATTTAAAAAAAATAAAGGTTTGGAGGAAATATGTTGTTTGTCAAATGTTAGTGTTTACCGTTAGAAGCCCTTTCTAATGCAGTCCTTGAAGCCATGCATCCCTGGATCAATGTTCAGAGGGGATCTGCACATTACATGATGAATGCCATTCAGTATTCACTAACCGCAATAATTGCATTGTTGTCTATAAAAAAGAAAAAATCACAAGGACGTTATGAGCTGTATACAGGGTTGGCTTGTTTTCATTAGCTCACATGAGCTCAAGCTTGAGTCTTGAGATTGTAAGATACATGTATGAGACAAATCAGCTTGAAATGGTCTCCATTAGCCTGAGCCAAGCAAATTGGCTTGGTCAGGGAATTAGCTAGAACTTTAGAGCATACCCTAATCCGAGGACACCTTCATTGGCGAATTAGGCACTAATTGGTCAAATAGTGGCCTATTTTAAACCTTAATTTGATTGGCATGATAACTTGGCTAAAGTCCCCAAGCACAATGGGAAAATAGTCCACTAATTGTCTCTTATCTGCACAGTTCAGTTGTGTAGTTTGTGCTACATGTACAGTGTAGTTGTAGTCAGGTTAACTTCCCCAGTCCAGAATCAACAGGCAATTTTTTTTAACTCCAGAAGACTAATGAAAACAGACCTTTAGATTGATTATGTAGCAGAAGCTAATAATGTACAGTGTATAGTACTTTTGCCTTGAACTACTTTTTTTAGACCATCCTATTTTTGCCTAGATGTATGCTGGTTATTTTTTACAATAGTACAGGTTTAAAGGCAATAGACCTTACCAGTCCAGACTATATATTAATTGTTGCTACATGTAAGTAGGCCAAACATTATTTCTTGTCCTACCTAACAACATTTAATGTACATGTATGCAATTCTCATTTCAGCTATTGACATACCATACAATTATTTGTAACAGGTGTATGAAATAATTTATAACGTGGCACTTACAAAGATTTGTGCATTAAATTTGATTAAATTATGAAAATAGCCTATTCTAATCTACATGTACAGTATGTATCAACTTAACCCTTTGACAATGTTTTTATTCTATAACATACATTTCTCATAAACTCCAGCCAGAGAATTCATTGGCATTATCCTCAACGGCTTAAAGGTACATGCTGTTTTGTTTTTTTTTTAATGTAAAGTTAGATTTCCACAGACGGTTTACTTCTATACAGAGGAAACATACCAAACTCAGTAAAAACTTTTTAGAAATAGTGGTCTGTTTGATATTTGGAAAGATGGTAATGAAAACTAATGATCTTTTCATTTGCTTCGGCTAAAAGTTTTATTGCTCAGCAGGTGATGAGATAATGTGCTGTACATGTTAGACAGACCTACATGCACATTGTTCTTGACTTTTAGAAGTGAATTCCTAATTTATTTATTATACAATCCGCCTTTTTAAAAATCATAGGCTGCATGCCAACTTTATTTCAAACTAACTTTTTGATGAAAGGATACATAAACATATATATTTTTAAATACCAAGACACTTCTGAAATACAGTATACTACAAATGCACGGAATCTATTTTTCTTATAGCTCAGCCCTCATTATGTGTACATAATCATGTGGCATGCTTATCTTGAATACTCTACTAGGGTAGCCTTCAAGAGTAAATAGATATGGGCTGATTTTTGTACCTTCCAGTTTGCAGTCTGTGCTGATTGTTGACACAGGAGTAAGGAGACGTGTACTTTATATAGTCCAGTGATTTATGCATTATTCCAGGGACTCAACCTGATAATCATGTTGAAAATGGAATACATGTGCTTTGTCATTCAAAGCACTGTGTCTCGACAATTGTTGCTTCTTTTTAGTTTCAATTTCACAGGTCCTTAGACATGACCTTTAGACTTGAACTGCCTACAGTATTTCATTATCTGAAATCATTTATAACTGTGTTAGGCAGGTTGTTAGCATGAAGCCTTGAAGTTGTAGTTTTAGAATCTCTAATCAGTCTTTATTTCCATCTTAAATTTCAGAGTTTCACTTGAGTGTATTCTAAGGGTGCGTTTAAGCTCAATTTTGAAGGCAGAATGACCGATTTGAAACGCTCATCGTAAACGCTCATTATAATCGCAGTTCCATGGTGTACTGTTTATGCTCACTTCTCTGGCTCCTTCAGACAATTCTTGCTGGGTGGCCTTGCAGCTGGATTCGCAAACCTGCACTGCGCATGCTACGTAGACCCACTAGAGGTCAGTGCGTTGACCCCATTTAAACGCGTTTACAAATGATTGTGCGTTTATGCTTCCCCAGAATCGCCGATTTGCAAAATCGCCGATCGTAAACGCACCTTTTTGTGAGTGATTCTACAAAAGTGAGAAAAGGACGCAACCGTGTTTTAAACTAAACGCGTAACAGATGCCTGATTCTGGCCAGAAAAAGTTGAGCATAAACATACCCTAAGAGAAATACAACTAGGGTTCCTTGATACCTTTGCAGTCTTCCATTTTTGATTTTTTTTTTTTTTTTTTTTTTTTGGGGGGGGGGGGGGGGGGGGGGGGGGGGTTAACGTTCTTGGTTTTATACATGTACATTTACAACTCCAATCTCTCTACGTGTCTTAACAACATGAAACAACCCGTTTCCAAAGGCCTGTTGCCAAAGGCATGTATCCTAATATACATGTACATGTATACAGTGTATGAGGCCTGTTGGCCTGAATTGGTCTTACTTTCTAGCTTCCACTTTATACATACATGTTTTTCACAAGGGTGAGGGTGGGGCCGGGGGGGGGGGGGGGGGACAAGCAAACGATCAAACGAGATGCACTTTTTTGTTGGGGTCTTAATTTGCTGCAGGGGTTGGGGAGGCAAAATTAGAGGGCACATTTTCTTTTTCATAATAATATTATTTCTTATATTATGTAGCAATTTTCCGGTAACTGACCAAAGTACTTACATTATTACTATTACTACAATTACTATTCTGCACATAACAGTGCACATTCTCCTCTCCTTGGGGAGCATTCCAGCTAGTTGCCTTTTGATGAGCATGCATATCATGTATGCTAATCAACCCACAATGACGTTTTGCATTCTACTGGGTACCCATATAACACCTAGGTGGAGAGGGGGCAATATAATTATATAAAATGCCTTGCTCACTGTGTTCTTAAGGTATGCCAGATCCAAATCTGGTTCCCCCCCCCCCCCCCCCCCCGAACCCCCTCCCCACCCTACCCAACCTTTGAATCCGCTACTATTTGTATAACTTCAGGAGGGAGAAAGTCAAAGCTCATCATACTTATAGATTGCCTGACAAAAGATTACAAATGTATCATGTTGACTCTAAGAATTTCTGATTTCTCTTTTTTATAATCACAGAGGGCCCTTATGGTGTTTTTGCTGGACATGATGCATCAAGAGCATTAGCGACATTCTCACTGGAAAAGGAAACTTTGAAAGACGAGTTTGATGAGCTTTCAGACCTCACCTCCGAACAGATGGACAGCGTGAGAGAATGGGAAATGCAGTTTATGGGTAAATATCAGAAAAGATAAAAAAAGTACATGTCGAGGGGTCAGTGACACAAAGATATAACTCCATTTTGTCCATTTTGAGAAAAAGTGGTTTAAAGTTACTGAGCACTTGGGCCTTAAGGAGTTAAGTCTATGTTTCACTAGCCATTGACTTCAATGGGGTGTTGGGTGGAGTTAAGTCTTTGTGTTTCCTGGAAAGCCCACATTTTTCGGAACATTTTGATATCAAATACTCATTTGGCAAAATATGGAGTTACGTCTTTGTGTCACTGAACTCTCGATGTGATGTAGCAGTTGCCCAGGTGCCACTGACCACCTAAAGTCCTCCAGGGCCATCTCTAACCAAGTATGGCAGGCTTCTGATTTCTCAGGGGGCTCTTACTTTACCAATGGTTATTTTTATGAAATTTCATTGATCAGGTGAAACATAATTCCATAACATGATTTAACATATAATTCTGAAAATGAAACGAATAAATGATTCTAAACATTTGTTGTATAACTCTGAAGTATGCAGAAGTTCCATTATTTTTGAAAGGCTGTTTTATCCAATGGCTCACAATTCCCAAAATGAAATAGGGATCATAATTTCAAAAATTACATTTAATAGGGAATTGGGGATCGATTATTCTGTTTTCATTTTAAGGATTGCCATCCTTTGGAAAAAAACCTTCATAGAAATCTTAAGGTTGATGAACTTACAAATTTAATTAAACCTTTGAAAATATTAAATTACTATCTCAAGTGTAGGTCAACATGTATTCATTCATTCAGTTGAACACATGATCTTTGAGTCTAAACTACCTTATTCTAGAATAATGGTTTTGGACTTGTATGAAATTTTACAAACTTCTATGTATCCAGATTGAATTTCAACGTTTCCAGTATAGGCAAGGCTATAGACTATTAGACTTGCCAACTTTTTGCAAAAAGTAGACCTGCTGGTATTACACAAATCACCAACTTTGAACCTTGACAATCACGTGCTTGATGAAGCAAATTGTCCAAGTATTTGCAAATATAATGAACAAATATCTTGATGATGATTATGTTGACTTTATAATCAATCAAAGGTCTTTTTGTATGGCTAGTTAGTAGTTAAAAGTTATTCCAAATCATACCCCAAATTATGCTATGTTTGTATTTCTCAATTTAACCATATTAGCAATTAATTTAACCAATTATTTATATTTTCTTTGTTGATCCTGGTATCCTAACTCTACCTCTCTTTCCCCTATCCCTGTCTTCATTAATTTATTATTTTTCAACACCTCTATCATTATTATAATATTGTGATTTTTATTTCATTTTATTTCTCTTTTCTCTTCTTTTCTCCTTTTTCTTTGTATGCTCTAACTCTACTATTTTGATGTTCCTCAAACAGAAAAGTATGACTACATCGGGAAACTCCTGAAGCCAAATGAGGAGCCCACCGACTATTCTGATGAGGAGGAAGCGGACAAAAAGGACAATTAACATCCTCCTCTGCGGACTTCAAGTTTTGCACCTGCCATTGTTCCTCAATTTTCTTCAATCAAGAGTGCCGAAGTTTCATGTCGTCCCCATTCTCACAATGATTATTAACGTGGGTTATGAATTATGTACGTTGGGGACACTTTCTATACATGTGTATGTGATGATATTCACAAATGATGCGGATGTTGAGTAATTGTTTATTCGTTGGATGTTTTAAAGATTTCTTAGATTTACTTACACAGTTGGCTCCATGCACAAGACTGTAGTATCACTTCTTTCCTTTTTCTTTCTGACCCATTTAAAACCAGGATTTTTTTTGAAAGGGAGAGATAGATTATCTCTCTCTTCTTTAAATTGGCAGTGCTGATAATTGCTTTACTGTGACACCATTTCAACAAGAAGGTGGAAATACTTAAATGAAATTAAATTGAAGAGTTAAGATTCATGAATTTGAGCACGTTGCCAATTTAATAAAGTTAAGTTAATGTTATGTTATTTCTTGTATCATGTAATATTTGCTAATGCAAAAGAAAATGAGCCGAGACTGTTCAGAAATATTTGCATTCTTTGCTCATGAGTTTGATATATTTTGTTTAGGACTGTGATTCAAGATATCGGGCAAAACCTAATGATGATAAATATTGTTCTGGATGGGTAAAAAAAGACCAATTGTTATGGCTATTGTCACAGAATCAGGTTGGAGTATAAACGCCTTCCTTACCCTCTACAGTCGACCTTTGGTATGTGACAAATCTAATTAATTGTAGGTCACAGCCATTCTTAGATGGATGTAGAACTTTTACAGTGAATTCATACTGAATCTTCTTAACCAATATAGTTAACAGTCTTCTGGTTCTTAACAGACGACCTGAGCAGTGTCTCACAAATCCACCAGTGGTACCAAAATTGGCAACATTCTATTGAAATTGTTGTTGATATTAAAACGGGTGCTTCAATGAAATGTCTGAAAATTTGTGCCAACGATTGATTTGTGAAACCCTGCCCTGTGGTCTATGGCAGTCCATGAGTATTCAGAATCGCACTACGATACTACTACGCAAATAGATAGAGGGATGCTTCCATTAAAGGTGTATATTTCTTCCTTCTGGCATTTAGCTAGCAGCTAAAGCTGATTCAAGGTGAGGTAGGAATTGATCACAGCGATATGTCATACTGACTGCCAACCGTAGTTTGGAGGCTATCATCTTGTGTTGTACGAAACAGGTGCTGATAATGTTGATTTCAAGTATGGAAGAGTCATTGGAAGGCACTCTACGTGACGTCTGAAATGTTTGCCTACTTCAGGTAAAATTAATGATGATGATAATGTTCTAGATTTATGTAGTGCCTAATACACCTACGACGATGTCTCTAAGCACCTTGCATAAATTAGCTACTTTTGAGTGAGTATGTATGCAAACTCTATACAGCTTTCAACCTGAAGTGAAACCGAGATAATTTTTTTTTTTAAATCAATACCAACCCTTACATTTTCACTTCATTAATATACTGCTTGTGCACATATTTCTCATGAGCATTTTTTATGTGGATAGTTCAATGCTTTCACATAATGGGATAAAAATCATAATCCAGACATAAATATAAATAAGTGGAATAGAATGTGTTTTTCTCTGCTGTACGGGCTATCATTGTTGGTGAACTTGCAGTGGTACTTTGCCCACACACAAAAGCATTTCTGCCAGATGTTGATCTTCAAATCAGTCTATTGATTTTTCATTTATATTGTCCCGTTTTGAAGACTTTTTTGTGCAATGTTGCAAAAAAAAAACATTCCACATTGCCAGTACAATGATAGCCTTAATTCATACGTGAGGCACTTGGGTAAAAACCAAGCTCTATTAATGTAATTAATATGAAAAGCCAGGAGCTCTTGATAAATCCACATTACATGCATTACATTACATGCTATGTATTAGGTTTCCAGCTTGCTATTTTTAATAAAATAGGCCTTCATACTTACCTTGTAGGGATGTTTTTTTTTCTCACTAGGGTGCTAACAAAAATGTTTTACATTTTTCCCAGTCATGGAAGTAAATCTAATGATTACTTGCCCATGCAACAGATTCACTAGCCTTAATTTTGTTTAAAAAAATATACAAAAAGTTCATCAATTTCATTTTGTATCTGTGAGTGTTTTTCTTCTTTAATTGCAAAGATCTGTCAGTGACAAATGCTGGAATGCTTTGAATTTGAGAGCGCTTTAACTCTGGAAAGTTCAATCGGAGCCCTGGTCAAATCAAAACAAAAAATATATGATACACATATTTTCTGCTTGGAAATTTTTTAAAAGAGCACTTTAGAACGAATGGATATATTTTATGCTGATATATATCTGGATTTTCTTTTTAAAAAACTGTTTGATAATGGTTGTCCTTGATTAATATTGCTTGTAAATAAAGTTTGCTCTGGGATATTGGGCACCTGTTGTTTTCAAAGCACTTTATTTTTGGGGAATTATATTCATTCTTATTTTCTCTTGTTAATTCATAGAAATTATTTTCAAAAGTGAGCTCATCTTTGACACCCTACCACAAATTATCATTGACTTTTATTCCCCTTTACAATGTATAATGATAATTTTTTGTCGTTATTTTTGATGAGATAAAGAGTATGTTGAATTATATTTTGTACTTTTTCTTTTTTCTTCTTCTCATAAATGATATATATATTGTTTTACTGGTATATCCTAAAGGTTTATAAATCATCTATTTTTCCAAAACATTGTATCTTGCAAAACATTTTTGTTCATCAAATTAGTGATACTTTGGAATAATATGTAAACAGAGAAAACTAAGATGGGTCTTCCAAAAGCTGTATAACCATCCAGGCAGTCTCATAGTAACAGAATAAGAATAATAACTTTTACTTATATAGCGCTTTTTATAAGACATTTATATCAAAGCGCTTTACAATATTGAGACACTATTTTCTATCTTTTTGGGGGGTGGGGGGGTCGAAGAGGGTGTTTGGGTTTAAAGGTGATTTCTTGTCCTGAAAATTTAACCCAATTTGATTTTTTATTTTACCTCCTGTTTTTGTGAAATATAGTTATAATGTTATAGATTAAAACAATGAGTAATTCCTTCACTGGTGGATCCAGATTTGCCATGGGGGCAGGGGGGGGGGGTCTAATGGATACGCCCATCTATAATGCTTGTATTTCTAGAAATGTGAAGCACAATTTTACCCTTACATAGTCTTTTTGGAATTTAATTATCAATATGCAAACGTTACAGCAAGCCATCTGCAAGCTTTTTAAGGTACACAAATATATTGTCATAACACGCAAACTCTGTGCACTGCAAAGACGCATGCTACACTTCTGCAGCATTTACTGTACAATAGAGCACCCCTTTTTGCCAATCGTTGTGTTCTTGTGTTATAGATAAAATGAATGAAAAAAAATTAGTGCACATTATTCTTGAATGGGTCGGCTGTAGACCATGAGACCGACAATATCCCTCTTGCGGGCTTCCTGAGAAGATTTCTGAAGGTTCACAAGATCAGTGGCCTTTCCAAGATTGTACAATGGGTCTTCTGACAACTTTTCTTAGGGCTTTTATGAGAACAACATTGTCAATCTATGGGGTATCCCTGAATGAATTTTCGAAAGTCACTTGAGTTGCGTTGATATTGGTAGAAAAACAACTGAAGATGTTGAGAAGAATGCTGTAAGAGATGTTTTTCCTTGTACTCTTTTGTGTTCTTGTTTATGGTTTTCTCCACAGAGAGCAGAGAAAATGCAAAAGTATGACAAAACAGAGGCCAACAATTTTGGTGTCTGAAAGCATTTCTCTTCTTGAGAAGAGGTTTTGGATATTTTTAATAAACAGAATATTTTGTATCTTTGATTGATTTATGCTATTCAATCATCATGCCTGATTTGAAGGTATAGTACATGATACATGCACGATAAGTTCCTGCAATGTAGCATACATGAAGCATTTCTACCTTGCCGATAGTAAAGAAAACTAAATTGATATTTTTTGAGAAACATTGTACACTACAACCAAAAAACAAACAGTAAATGGTTGCTAAATATGTGTCAGCTTAAAGCCTTTGTAGTCATATTCAGTTCAATATTTTGAATGAAATTTATTAGTCAATAACTATTGCATGTATTTCAATGGTTTAAGTTGCAGCTATTATGGTTTTTTTTATTTGTTGTGATTTTCATATATGCTTTTTCAACTCATGCCAAGCTTCAGAAACAATTGATGTCTTTTAGAAGAAAAAGAAAAATATTATTTTTGTTGATGGGTGGTTCCAAAGATACTTTATTTCCATCGAACAAGAGAATATGTTTGTAAGATCTTCAATTCTTTATTTTTTCCCAAAAGAGAAAGGCATATAGCACATCTTTCAAAACTGAAGGTATACAATTTGCCAGAATATATTTTGATGTGGATATTCCAATAGTTATATGCATCATTGGTTCTCTGTTCACCCGTGATGTTTTGGTAAAGAGTCACATTGAGGGTAAGGATTAGGTGTACATGTGGATTAGGGTTACCCTAATCCTTACCCCTTTACTAAACTGGAGGTGCATAATTCAGAAATAACTATGCTTGTGTGGAACCAATGGTGTATAGGACATGTAATTATTTGTACTGCTTGAAATGTGTCATTATGTTTGAACTCTGATGTATATGAAACTAAAATGCTTCCAGGTTATCGATGTATGTACGATCTTCATCTAAACACACATTGTATATTCTATTCAAGATTAAGTGTAATTCATCATTTCATATTGTATTTTGAATGTTTTTGTGTTTTAAGAAATGTAAATAAAGAAAACAAGGAATGATGTTATACATGTAATGTGAGTTCTTTGAAGTAAGGATCATTAAAGGATTTGAAATCATTGATTATCTCTATTTCTCTTATAATTTGCGTTATTTTTGTTTTGCATTGCTTTTCTTTGTTTTAATGTATTTGATGTATGTTAAGAAAATAGACCAGTTCACGGTTAGCACATTACTGCAATGACCCCGAATATCCACAGATCTTAAAACCATGAAGAGGTCCCACTTTGTACATTTTGAAATAATCACTCCTACAGCGATGGAGGTGCTATAGAAATAGCCTTTGTTTCCCCTTTTCAAAGAATACTTCCACCTGTGTATCATGGAGTGCACTGAATGTGCATGAATGTATAATGTTACATAACTTTCATGAGCACGAATCCAGTATTTCGTCTCCGTTAATTTCAAAATTTGTTCTGCAATGACCTTTATCTGCTCATGCTCAGACTGCAACCGTGAACTGGCTTATTGATACATCTATGATCTGATATAAAAAAATAATCATTTGAAGGCATTTTTAAATTTGGTAGTTATTTATTTATTTATTTACTTACTAATTTATATATATAACTTGAATAAAAGACAGGAAGATAGAAAGATAAAAGTATCAAACTAGGAATGTACTATTTGCTCAATTTAATCTGCATTTAATTTGCCTTATATAACTTGACCTGAATGAGGCTGTCTAATCATGAACGCTTAATATGTAGGATCATGTAATTGAATGAAATATAAATGCTACCTGCATATTTTTAATGTTATATTTCTGAGTTATTAAAGTCAAACTTGAAGGTCGCATGTTAAACAATGCTGTGCTGGTTTAAGAAAAATATATATCTGCTATTGCGAGTATTAAGAAAAATCTAATGAAGACAGACGGAAAAGTTCTCTTATAAGTACTAGCATAATAATTATAACATCTATAAAAAATATGCGAGCAAGCGTAGAGGGCGAGCTCTAGGAAAAATTAAAGAAAAAGTGACTTATAACTCGCCTTGAATTAGGGGTGCATGTTATGGAGAAAGGAAAAGTAGGCACCTATCAAAAGAGAAAAGGACATTTATTCGAAAAGAAAAGGTGCTCGTGTCAGAGTAAGAAGAGCAATTATCAAAGGTGAAAATGACACTTCTTGCACCTAAAAAGAGACACTCACTGGAAAGAAAAAAGGCACTTGTGGGCATGGAAATGGGGAATCTGTTGAAGGAAAATATTACCTATCAGATTTTGATAGGGGCATTTTTCAGATGTTAAATGGGTCATTTTGGAAAGGGGGAGAGGCTCATAATTATAAAAAAAGGAAAAGGGGCACTTATGAAAGGGGCATGTGTCGAAATAAAAGGGGCACTTATCAGAGATGAAATGTGGCATTTGAGAGAAAGGAAAGAGGGTTTTCATTACGAAGGAAAAGTACACTTATTAAAATGGAAAAGCTTAGGGCACGAATCAAAGTTTTAAAAAAAGGGCAAAAATATCAAAGGGGAATTTCTCGCACTTGAAGTACTCACAATTAAGAAGAAAAGAGAGGATAAGGACAGTTGTTAGAAAATAAATGGGGCAAATGTCCTATGTCAAAAGGAGCTTTTTCGGGGTGCTTGAAAAATTGGGGGCACAATGCCCCTCCCGCCCCCCCCCCCCCTCTGGGAGTTATGTCTTTACCACAATAGGCAAAAGTGAGGGGAAAAAACGAAAAATCTAGTCTTTCCAGCAATATTTATAAATCACTGGTATCGAATTAGAAATAAACCACGTTTGAATTTTAATTGGGTGGGGGGGGGTCAAC